TTTGTAAAGACCTACGCGTTTAATAGCTTTAGTTTTTCTTCTTTTTCTTAAATTGTGACATTTATCGAAAAATAAAAAAATGTTTCAAATATGGTATATGTTTAAAGAATTTTGAAGTATGAAATGAAATAAAAAAAAAGTGATAGAAATATTTTATGGAATTAAGTCTTTCTTTGAAAATGTACACAACTATAGTGAAGAACATAACAAGCGGGAGAAAAAAGATTTTTCAGACTTACATTTAAGTTATATGACCTTGAAATAACCACAATTAAGGAAAAAATCGAATTCATGTACAGGAAATGAGATCGGTGACACCTATGTTTTTTTTTTCGCTCTAAATGTTCACGTTATCATATTCTAGCATCATGCTCAATTTAAAGAATATAATTGTATTGAACCTCCTTAATTTTGCGTGTATGTGTTTATAATACTGCACGTTTGTTACCTCACTTTCCATTGGATAATCGCGACGTTTATATACATACAATGTACTTTTTAAATACATGGCTGCCGTCGATTCATGAAATTATCTCATTTTTTTCTAACAAAAATTCTTGATGTATTATGAGTTCGTTATAAATATATCCAACAGGTTATTTGACTACAGTCATTTATTACTTTTAGAAACTGTTATTACCTTTAATACAATATGTACTGTGCATGTCACCAATCTATGCCTTAATTTACCATCTTATTGTAAAGTTCTTCTTAACCTTGATACTCTTATTTCATGCTTAAGCTGCTAATAGTTTTATATGTTTTTATTTTCAGAACTGTTATATGTTAGTAAATATGTTTTATGCCTTTGTTATTGTCGGTAAATAGCTTATTAGCTAATGTTTCTTGTAATATGTAAACCGACTTAAAATAAAGTTTCTTGTATCTTGTATCGTGTATATAAACGGTTGTTCGCAATATTAATAGCTATCGAAATTCTTTATAGTACTTGTCATGTGTGTAAAAATCAGAAAATAAAGTTACAAATCAACCAAAATTCTCTATAATTAAATAAACGTCTCGATTTTCCAATGAAAAACTACGTTACAAACATGCAGTATTATAAAGTTTATATATTTATATACACGACTGCTGTTTATTCAATAAGAAATTGTATGTTTATGTAATATATTTTCAAACAACCGTTTATATACGGCCATATTGTATATCCTTTCAAAATCTTTATAACTAATATGATGCTCTCGAAAAAGCCGCGTATATGTGTTAACTTTATGTTTTTATAACTCATATGCCGTAATGCAAAAATATATGCACATATATATCCCTGCCATGCAGCTTTTATTAAGTCAGAAATCGGCATTGGTTATAAGGTATAACACGTGATCACGTGTAACATGTAAATGTCTGACACATGTGATATTTTGGCTGGATTCATCACATCTGTGGAATTCCCTGCACATCGCGAAATTTCCTTTCGGTGGTGCATCAAGGTCAAATATCATGACTCTTAGTTTCCGCCGTTTCCTCTACGGTCCGGGTTGTCAAATGCATGATCCCTAATATGAACTTGGAAATACAAAATTTGATAAAGGGCACTATATATATTCTTACGTTCCTGCGCTTTTCAACTGGAATGGTGCATTCACACTCAAAAATACTTGATACTTAGTAATAAGCCGCAATAAATTGTTGAACGTGGATTATTCTATGTTTATTATGGCTGAAGTAATTTTCAATGGAAGGAAAATGAAAGCGGACCTCGGACATATATTTGTATGAGCGTATATATAATAATTACTATCGTTTTAAACATCAAATAAACACGTTTCTCAGATTTCAAAGCAAGACAAGGGTTGTACTCAATTGAAAAGTGCCTTACGTCAAGTTAAATTCTTAAAATATACAAAAATGGTATCGGGCCCACCGCACTGCGTTGCAATCGAATCCACCGCCGTCTGCGACGAAAACATTTTTGTCATTTATTTTACAAACAGGCAATAATAATTTCCCAATTTTCCAAATTATGGTTAATTTGTGAAAGTATCATTCATTCGATGTGATGCCGATCTATTATGGGGTCGTTTTGCACACATTTGTATGTGTTTTAACCAAAATTAGGCAAAAGTGGCGTCCCCTCATCAAACTGTACAGAAGTGTTTGCATTAACGGCAATGAATTGCACGGTGTCCCTGTAATAGCTTGAAAGAGTACATATGTGGGCTCCAGTCTCACCGAGTGTTGCCAGTAAAACATTAAAACATAAAACAAAATTCAGTCATATACTTACGGACAACAGCAAACGGCCATATTTTATCCATCGCTTCTGCGACGAATTCTCCACCGCCGCTGCGATGGACCCACCGCTTCTGCGAAAGCTATGGCCAGTGTGAAGACGTTAATTTCGAATTTATAAATGCAGTTACGGGTGTAAAAACATAAATTTCCAGGGTAAATTGATTTATTAAAGATCATGTTACTCAATGTTTTCTATGGTTTTATATAATAGATATGCTGCTCAAATGAAGATTTATCAATATTGTATGTTCCAAAAGCATTATTTGTAAAATATATCACCGAATTTACATTTCATGTAAACAAAGGGTGGTAATTAGAAAATTATTTTCGATAAAGTCTAAGCCAAATGTTTCAATAAGAAATGAATGCATACATTTTAATGGTTACTTATAATGATAAATAATATTATTGGACGTTTGAAAATTGTATGAGAAGAATAATTATATACATATATAAAATTTCACTTAAGTGTTGTCACATCTTTAATTACATAATACAAGATCTTTAAGGTTAATAATTAAAATTATCATAAAATATGGTAGAATATACTAGCAAAAATATCTGATACAGTCAAAATATCCGTCCCAAGTGAGCCCGCCCATAAACGGTAAATTGGCAAGCGTCGTTAACGCCCAATGGGCGGGTACCCTTGCGACGGATATTCCGATCCGACCACAATATATGACACATATTATTGTTCTGGTAAAGTAGATGGAAATGAAGGAACTTTTTCTTTCTGGTACCAGGAAATGCCACACGTCTCATTACATTATATGGACATTAACATGAAATAATGATAATTGATCAATTACAAATACGAATGAAATGTTAACACACTGATCTTTATATGAATACTTCCGTCTACGATTCCTTCTGACTGAGTTGTTAAACACCATTATGGATGAATGAAACGTTAACCTTTATGTATAAAATGTTAATAGATGCAGGAAGAGTCCACTTAAATGCATAAAGAGGGGCCATTTTTACTAAATAAAGAGATCTTTTAATACAAATTCTTTTGTTTCCCTGTTTGTGTGTAATTGTCTTGTTTGATTTTACGAACCTTTCAATTGCATACTGATTATACGGTCAATGAACACAATATATTAAATTAAGCTTTCAATTATTTTCTAGTGCAGTCATTTATTGCACCACAGTTCCTTAAAATTATACGCAATAAGATGTGATTTAATTTTATTTATGTTTCACACTTAAAATGCTAACTTCTAAAGTATTTTTAGATAGCATTGTTTAATTAGGAATAAATATTTGAAATTCAATTGGATGAAAATTAATAAATGCCATAACAAATACACAATACATAATGCAAATCGAGACTAAACAGCGTGTCTAAGTTTCCTCCGCGTAGACGACAATTTTGCAAACCATTTCCATTAAAATATACTGCAGAAATAAAGTGTAGGTCTGACAAAATGGCAACTGTAGGGATCGAACAATTGACCTCTCACTAAACTAACTAAACGGCTGTGTTATTGCAGATGTGACGACGATTTATACAGTAAGTTGATGTGACTCCATATCAATTCGTGTAAAGTACACGGACATGACCGACGTGGGATATAATATTTTAATGAGTGTTATAATAATTTCATAACTGAAATGTCAATAAAATCAAACTATACTTACATATGTTCTTTACTCGAAGGGTTAAGTACTGAACGGTATGTATTTTCAACAAAGTGACACTCTCATCCTGAGAAATAAGTGAAAGTGGTCACTAATACACTTGATAATTATTTACCGTACAACATAATGAAATTAAATTGTTTATTTAAAATATAAAATTGTATACAGAAACAAATTTAATTTTTTTAAAAGTTTGTGATATTTTTTTCACAAACAAATAACGATATAATGCCATTAATCTAATGCATATTAACTGATTTATATAAAAAATATTCAATAACATAAGAAAAAAACAGATTATTTCAAACGCACACGCATACAACTCCCTACGCACGCACCCACGCGCGCGCGCACACACACACACACCAACACGCATGCATGCACGCGCACGCACGCACGCAAGCAAACACGCACGCACGCACTCACACACACACACACGCACACGCACACACACACACACACACACACACACACACACACACACACACACACACACACACACACATACATACATACATACATACATACATACATACATACATACATACATACATACATACATACATACATATTTTGTGTGTTCAAGAAACTAAGCTTAAAAATCATTTGATAAATGAAATTGATATAATTCAATCTGAATGCGAGTATGTATTTCGGATTAAATTGATTTTTTTACCGAAAATTTGAAACCGATATCATCCTGGGCTCAGCATATTCCACCACAATAAATCTCGTCTTCATAACGATGAGTTATCTTAATTTGTTATAATAATAAAGAATTAGAAGAGAGCATGTTGTCTTTCCACTGGAATAATTTGGGTCCGAATCATCTATTGAATCATTTTGGGTTTTTTATCTTTTAAAACAATGCATGAATAAATAAATCCTCGAGTACACTTGTTTGTATTTGCTAAGTAGTTGCTTCCCTTTGCCCATGTTAAAGTAGATACATATATTATAATTTTACTCAACATTGAAATAAAGATTGCATATACGAGTATTTTTAATATATGAAAACAATATATTATATAAAAGTAAACCGAGATTTTATAGACAGGTTGAGGTCTAAATGAATCTATTCTTTCAATGAGTATATTTTACGATATGGAAATATTTGGGTTTTTTTTCTTATACAGTCATTAATTGCATTCTTTGACAAACCGCTCATTATTTACTGCAATAATTTAAGAGGAATGAAATTAAAACAGTTGTTAAATAATATTTACAAATCTTTAAAACCAAATTAGCGGTAATGTTTACGGTAGAAACAAGTATAATAAGATATAATAAGGAACAAGACAACGAAAAAAATGCAAAATCAATACTTAACTTGTCAATCGCTTTCACAGTTGACTGCTCCATTGTATTAACTTTATTTAAGTCTGTTTGTACCTAGACAATTGTAACTCTTAACTTGTTTCTTTTAACATTGTCATTAAAACAAGGTATTAAAACATTTCTGATATGAAGAGCTTTGGGTTTTTCGTTGGAATCTATGGAATACTATGTTTAAAGGTTTCACATGTCTACGGAGGCAATGAAACACAGTTGAGGGAATTGTTATTTGCTAAATTGAACAGCACTTACTATTCACCGCGCGTTAGACCAATTAAAGACACAGGAAATACCTTAAATGTAAGCTTTATCGCTTTTAATCACATCTTTTTCGTAAATTTATAATATAAACACGTTTTTTCTCCATTTTACAATGTTTCTTCCATTCGTGGATTGTGCCATTTCATATTGCATTATATTTTCGTTTTAAATAACAAACATTTGCAACTCGTTCGATTATGTTAAATGTGTAAAACTGGGTAATATAAGTAAGGAAATCAGAGAACATTCAAATGTTGTCTAAATATAGTGGTTTTCTACCATCATGCAGACAGATTATCTGTGCTACACCTTAAAGATAACTTTATTCAGCTGTGAAATATATTAATTCTATCAGGTATTGTGAATAAAAGATTGTCTATCACTGTTTCAGCTCACGGTGGACATGTACCTAATAAACATCAATGACGTGAAGGAAGTTGAACAGAAAATAACAACAACAGTTTTTTTAAAGCTGGTGTGGTTTGATACATTTATGGAATGGGATCCAATAGACTACGGTAACCTAACGGAGTTCTCGATTCCTCAAGACGAGATCTGGAAACCTGACATCGCCTTAGCAAATGCTTTCGACACTATTTCCGGTCTTGGTGATAAATTTATGTATGTTACGGTAACAAATGATGGGAAAATATCATGGGAACCGTTTCAAAGATTTGTTAGCACATGTTCTCTAAGGATGAAATACTTTCCATTTGATACACACGTCTGTGATATTCAAATGGCGACTTGGTCTAGTACAAAACAAATGATCAACATTATTACTGGAAGTGATGGCTTTAACATTGATTTTTATGAAGAAAATGCAAATTGGAACCTCTTGAATGTGTCTACGTATGACTCATCTACAGTTGCAACGTCCGGTTTATCTTTCTCATTAAAAATAACACGAAAACCTATCTATTATATTTTGAATACTATTTTCCCTATAGTTCTGCTCTCTTTGTTAAATAATTTTGTTTTTGTATTGCCATGTAGCTCAGGCGAGAAGCTCAGTTTCGCCATTATACTTTTCTTGTCTTTTGCAATATTTTTGCTTATTGTTACTGAAATTATGCCTGAAGGAGTGAGTTCAATGCCTCTTGTCACCATTTATTTACTTCTTGAGAGCATCTTCAGTACGCTTATTGTCCTGATAACAATTGTACAACTTCGGCTTCATAATCGATCAAATAAGAAACCAGTACCAAAACTGTTTAGAAAATACACCAAATTCGTGCAAGAATTAAAACGACGTATCTTTGGAAAATGTTTTTATCAAACAAAGGCCTCTGACAAGAATGTAAAAGTTGATGAATATCAAGGAAAAAGATTTGTTTCTTCTATTGAAGATACAATGTTCGATACAAAGCCAACAACAACGAATGAAAACCTCAAGAGATCTGTGAATGATTCAAACGAAAGGGGACGTGCTTTACCGTTAAAACGAATACTTATTTGCGGGGCAAACAAAATTCACAGCGCTGACGAGATCGATGAAATCAAAGAGGAAGATATGTGGAGAACAAAAATGGGTCAACTAAATAATAAGACGGCATTTAAATTGGCAGATATTCTTGGACACTCGAACAGAGTTGAGCCCGAAGCTTTCTTTAACAAACCAGCAGATGTGGGTCCAATATACAATCCAAATACGAACACAGAAGATGAAATGAATGTACAAACTCTGGAAAACAACGTGTTTGAAGATTTTCAAAACTCGAAAGTGACAAAACCGTTTCTACGCACAGGATCGGTATCGTCCGCAAGCATTTCATCTACAACAAACTCGTCATCTAAAGATGAAATCACTTGGCCCGAGTTCATATTAGCTCTTGACAACACTCTATTCGTCATGTCTGTGCTCATTAATACTATCACAACAATCGTTACATTATCTGTATCAATGTCCAATTAATTAATGAGCCAATGTCTAATTAATAAAGAAGCAAAAACTATAAATTATGACTTTTCCACTAGATTGCTAAATTTTTGTTTGTTTGTTGATTGTGTGGTTTTTGGTTTTTTTTGTTTTTGTTTTTTGTATTGATTATTATTGAAATACATTACACATACCCATGTCAGAGTATCAGATTATTATCAATGATGTGAATTGTGAATTATATATGGCTCCTTTGAAACGTATGTATATGTACACATGCAATTAATTATACATGTAATAGATCAATGAACTAAGACATTACACGGATATAGTTATCTGACAGCTATCCTCCAACTCTTAAAAAGATATCATTATTGTTTTAATAATAAAGAAAATCCATTACTTGCTAAAATGTCTTTGTTTTTTTCTTTCGTTTTCCTTCTAACAGTACGGCAATGGACGTAAACCAAGCACAAAGATTAACATTAATTCAACTATAAATAGCTGAGACTTTAAGAAAAATAGTTCACATACGACAATAAACAGAACATGGATGGTCCAATATTCAGATTCATGCTTTGAATTAATTTTTATGTCTTCCTGTTTATACATTTTATATGCTTGTTTTTTATTATTCTATGCTTATTTGCTGATTTAGATACAGCGCGCAACTTTTCTTCTTTGTCAGGATTACCTAGCTTTTTATGAAGATTTTATTCATTCATTTATTTATTTTAACCAAAGAGAACACATGTGCCGGTATTTAAATTTACAATCTGTAAGAACAAAACATTTCAGTACAATGTTTTACTTTTATAGGTGTCCTCCGAATCATACCGTATGAAATATGGAATGACTTTGTTTCCAGATTTTTGTTTGTCGGGTCGTTTTGTTGTTGTTGTTTCCTCTTTGTTGATGTTGATTTTTTTGTTGTTGTTATTGCTGTTGCTGTTGATTGTTGTTTTTGCATGTAATACATATAGTTAATATAGCTAAAAGTGAACAGGTGTAATGAGGAGACGGATTCGGATGACGACTTTACAGGCAGCGTAACTGATGAACCATTTCTAAATTTCTTAAAAGAAATAACATTACTAATATAATTATGCATAAAATGAAAATACGTTAAATAAAAAGAAAACAAAATTGAAACAAACTAGAAAAATATTGGTTATATAATGTTCACGTGATTCATACAGACAAAAGCAAAAACATCAAAGATACTTTCCATGTTGCATTTGTAAATAGGAAAAATCACTAGTTTAAAATAGAACTTCATATGGAAATGGCTAATATTTGGCATTTAAAAATATCGACACACTTTTGTAAATCATTTGGTTTATGTTTATGTAAATAGGTGATGAATATTTATATTTGATGCTTACAAATAATTTTGTAAATATGTTTGAAAATATTGCTACTCAATGAGCTGTTGAGAAATTAAACAACCTTAAATATTGACAGACTTGAATGAAATAAAGAAGACGTAACAAAGAAAGCAAATGAGCCGCGTCACGACAAAACAAACATAATGCGTTTGCGACCAGCATGGATCCAGACCAGCCTGCGCATCCGCGCAGTCTGATCAGGATCCATGCTGTTCGCTTACAAACACTATAGACAAGTAGAGAACCTGATAGCGAACAGCATGGATCCTGACCAGACTGTGCGGATGCGCAGGCTGGTCTGGATCCATGCTGGTCGCAAACCTATTATGTTGGTTTTGTGATGACGCGGCTCACTTAAGTTTTGGCACTAATTTTTGTTTAATAACTCTGTAAAACACATTGGCCCAGTTGTTCTAAACTTTTGTTTACTTTAACTACAAATAACTTAACTATTGTTAAATTTTAATATTTTCGTTAACTAACGTAATGTCAAAATGAGTTGTTCAGACCTATGTTAAAATTTTCGTTAGTTAAAAAGTGCTTGACGTTTAGTTTGTCTAATTAACAAAAAAAAATAATCCAATAATGCAGTATGTTACTTTCCTGTACAAAAAAAAATTGCCGATTTCTCTCCATTTTTTTATTTTTATTTTCGGCAACATGTTTTACTTGTATTAAATGTCTGTGTAGTTTTCGTCTGCTCAATTGCGTCTTTTGTTTTAAATATCAACGCGTCGCCTATATCCATGTCATTGATATTGAGTTCATTGATCACGAAATGAAACCCGATTGAACTGGAGAATTTCAACGAACATTTAAACATTTGTTCAAAGAGTTACAAGTAAAAAGATATATATGTTTTGCATTTGTTATTTGTCATCGTAAACAAAATGTTTAAATTAGGATGGCTGCTTGTAACGATGTTCTTTATGTACCAAAATACTTCTTGGGTACGTGCTGGTACAGAAGCTGAAATGCGGGCACTACTAGCGGCAAAACTAAACAGCTCAGATTATTCTCCAAGGGTTCGTCCAATCAAAGACACCGGCAACGTTATGACCGTAAGTATTCATTATATATTGTCGTTATGATCAATTGAAACTATTTCATTCACTCACTTATATCTGCTTTTAAGTTAAATTAAATTTTTGTTTATTTATGCGTTTATTTATTTATTCACTTTAGGTTTTTTATGTTATAATTTACATATTTATTTATTTATTCAGACACCCAGTTAATCCTTTAAGTTCAGTTGATTAATGCATTTACGTATGTATCAATTTATGCGTTTTATGCATTTTTATGCAGTATGCATTTAACTAATTTATTATGCATTTTTCATTTCCATTTACACATTAATTGCTTCATTATCTCAAGTTGAATTTTATCCATCTATCCAACCATCCACCAATCAATCTATTAATTCTAATTATATACATAATTCATTTACTATGCACATTGAAATTGCACCTCGGAGTGTCTATAAAACTTGATGTGAGTAATGGGGAAAGAAGTATATCAAATGTCATTATCACTTTCATTCTTCTACATAAAAGTAATCTAATGCTAAACAACAGTGTTATTCATTAACAAAATTAGATTATATATATTCTGTCGTCTTGAAGCAGACTGTAGACGTGTTATTAGTGTTGTTGGAGTTATGTTACCACGGCACGCATATTTAGGGGTTGGATCTTTCGTCGCACACACACTGTAAAGGGTATGATTGTGGCGACTTTCCAGTTTTACTAGTGGAGAAATTCCTAAGGTTCCCCTCCGTTCAGGAACAAACTGGCACCTGAGTAGAAGCACTGACGTTCCGTAAGCTAGGGCAAACGTAAAAAGTGTAATAATTTATATTGTTATTTTTCCGCAAACGGTAGATTAGATATTTATCTGGTTGCTATAAATCGATGTAAATGAAGATAAGCAGAAGGTTACTAACACAGAAAACATAAAGTATTGTTACACATTAAAAATACTTTGTTATTTTACAGCTTACAGTAGATATGTACCTCGTGGGCATTAACGGTGTTGATGAGGTTGAACAGAAGATAACTACCACGGCATACATGAAGATTGTATGGGCAGATAGCTTCATGACATGGACCCCAGCGGATTATGGTAACATTACACAGTTCACCCTCCCACAGGAGGATATTTGGAAACCTGATCTTGCTCTAGCAAATGCTTACGACACAATAACCGGTCTCGGAGATTCGTTTATGTATCTTACTATAACACATGATGGCAATATAACTTGGGAACCGTATCAAGTTTTTGATAGCACGTGTAACATTGATATGACATACTTTCCGTTTGATTCACAGACATGTGATTTGCAATTAGTCACGTGGTCTAGTACCAGAGAAATGATAAGCATTGTAACTGGCGATGACGGATTCAATATTGATGCTTATGAAGAGAACGCAAACTGGAAAATGTTGGGTGTGTCTACGTTTGATTCTTCAACAGCATCTACATCCGGGTTATCGTTTTCAATACGAATTCGCCGGAAACCGATTTATTATCTTCTAAACTTCATGATACCCATTGTGTTACTTTCATTTCTGAATAATTTTGTATTTGTGTTACCATGTGATTCCGGGGAGAAGACTGGTTACGCTATTGTCCTGTTTTTATCTTTTGCCATATTTCTGTTGATAGTTACAGAGATAATGCCAGAAGGAATGAACACTGTCCCTATCATAAGTAGCTATTTACTGGTTGAATGCATCTTCAGTACAATAATAGTATTCATAACCATTATTCAGCTTCGACTTCATAACCAGGGTGATGATACTCCTATCCCGAACTTTTTAATCGTTTTAACAACGTTCATCCAGGGGATAAAAGCAAAAGTATGCGGTATCTGTTGTACTTCTGAAGTTCAAAAAGAAAGCGACAACGATAATGGCGATGAAACCCCTGTTAAAATTCCCCTTTCGGCTTTAAATCAACAGTCAGATTACTCTAAAACTATTGAAAAGTCGGGGAGGAAATTGAAAGAAATTGCACAATCGGACGGAAATACCGTTGAAAAGCCTTCGCTTAGCAGTAAAGCTAAGAAAAGAATGTGTTGCGGTGCAAAAAGTCTCGAAAGTGATGAGAGTGAAATGAAGGAGATGATTTGGAAAGAGGGTTCGAGCGAGACTGCTACAGAATTGAAAACTGAAAGTTCAAAGACCTCTTTCAGACTAGCAGATATACTCGGCAATGAAAACAGAGTAGCCCCGGACGCTTTCTTTAATAAACCACAATCAGTCGGGCCTATCTATGATGGGGAACTGGCTATTGAAGACGTTGACGAAATCGGTGACATAGTACAAAAACCAAAAATGGCCAATGTACAAATGGGTCTTAGACAAGGAGGTTACCGTCAATTTAGGACACCAGAACCAAAAGAGCCGATGAACGATTCAATATCTGTAAATTCGTCAAATGGGGATTCCTCTGACGAAATGTCGTGGCCGGAAGTTGTCTTGGCGTTAGATAACTTGTTTTTTGTCTTGTTTCTTGTTGTCAACACTCTTGCAACCCTTATTGCGTTCGCCGTATCGGGGGCAAATTGATATTTATAGGTATATTCAGTCTTTTTGATAATGAAATAGTGGATTCTTCAAAGTTCAATGTAGTTGCGAATTTGTAAAATGGATTATAAGGTGTGTCTTTATCACAAATATGACGATGTTATTGGGTGATCTGTTAATCTCTTAAATACATGTAAACGTATATTAACTTTATCTTTAAATATGAAAAAAGGTTTATATCATCAGCTATATACATATTATGTACATGTATATGATAAAAAAATAAAGTATTTAACACTTAGATTCTATTGTTTCTTTGAATCCGATTATTTGTCAATAAAGAAAACTGGTAGGTCTCTAATGATAAAAAAATCAATAAGCCCAAGATATGCCATGATTATTATTTCGCTTACGCTTAAAAATGTCTTTTTTTAAAACCCTTTAATTTTACATTTTATAAATTGTTACTCATTAGCCATATACTTGAACTATTGTTTGCTTATTTTATTTTGTTACAATTAATACAGTACTGTTATAGTTATTTAGTATGCCGTATAGATGTCAAAGTATCACTTTGCTACTTTTATGACAAGTTATTTTCGTATATCGCTTCTTTCCTTAGATTGTAAGCATCTAAGAAACAATTTCCCTTAAATTAAGTATTGAAAAAAAAAGAAAAGAAAACAAAGATGATTTGTAAAGTGGAAAGAGGAAACAATGTTCTTATCAAGTTTTGTAAAAACAAATCCGGACACGTTGCCGTACCCCGCGCGTTTAGTCGTCTAGTGTGTGATATTTTACAATTATTGACCAGTGTGCCATTGAATATGATGTGATATTCACCGGCAGGTGACATGTTGATCGAGGCAATAGCCGAGGTCAATATGCCATTCTGCTGCTGAATATCACATTATATTCAATGGCTCACTAGTCAATACATGTAATTGATTTATTATATGAATGGGCTAAGAATATAAAAAAAAACACAAAAAGAACAACCTTATACAGGTACAACTTTTGCCTAATTCGTTGAAGCGCAGGGAAATAAGACGCTCGTGTAAGGATGCGCATACAATAATATACAAATATGGACTTTTTAGCTGTTGAATATGATGTGATATGTACTGAAAAAATTGATATTGACCGAGGCCTTTTGTTTTAAGTGAGCGCATTGGCAAGCTTATTTGTATTGTTCTTTAAAATGTTAAGACGGTAACTAAAATAGACTAATTTGACACTTATTTACGAGTCACTCAACGTTTTTTTTCTGAATAATAACAACAAACTTGGCGTGACGTCACGTCGTAGTCTCGCGTCATTCAGGGGATTTCGATTCGATGTCTACAGTTTATCATACTTTAAGGCTTTAATAGATGCTGTTTCATGTTATGTCACCCAAAAAAATTAATTTTGGGATGACTTAAGGCGGTAAGTACAGAAAACGTGAATTTATTTTGTAAGAGATCTACGAAAATGTGCGGGAGTAATAATTCAATGGTCAAAACGGGCACACACATATCTTTGTTTAAGGTATCATTAGACGACTTTTCCATCAGTAATTTAAATTGAAACATCAGGGTGTTAAAGATAAAATTTTATTACCCCTGTATTACATAATATTACACAATGTGTATTGTACACTTCCTTTAAATAACTGGATTGGTCAGGCGGCAAGTGTCAAACAGATTGGCACCCGAACGTTTGTTCATTGAACCGGGACGTTTAAATATCATGATATAGTTAATCAGTTACGCTTATTAAATGGTTATTTATGTAACCTTTAAATATACCGATCAATGTTTATGGATTTTGAGAAGAGAAAAATTGTGTCACGTGCATAATTAAAAATAAAATGTATTACGAAGAAGCGGATAAAATGTGTGTGATATCTTTTATATAATTTTCAACCGTTTACCTTGAACTAACTCGGAATTGTCTATAAACTTTTACTATATTTCTATGTAGGGCGAAGGATTTCTTGCCCGACGCAGATTGCGCATGCGCGAGAAAATTCTATTTCCGGTCGATTTTTCATAGCAACGGACCGCGTCGTAAAAAGGTCTATACTCTGATGTTGACCTGTTATTTTTTACTTTTAATTGCTTGTTAGCCAATCAGGGAAAGGCATTTCAAAGCTATTTATAGATTTTATAATAATAGTAATTCAAGTTTAAACTCATCATTGCGGTTTGGCCTTTTATGATAATAGTAATGTAATGATATTTTATTCTAGAAATATGCAATAAAGAACAAAACGCAACAATTATTTTTCATGCGCACGCGTAATTAACAGTCTACGGTGTATGTTCAATGAATATGAGTCTCACGAAAATCTAGTTCAGCTAGTGAATATAGTCAGACAATTACATTGATTTTCATATAGACTAACATTATAAGAAATGGTCCCTAATCCTACCTAAAATTGAGTTTTCATGCTTAAAAGGTGATTTTCCTATTCCCAATTTCATTGAACTGTTCTGCTGATCACAGGACTGACATACACTTTTTATCAATGCAAATATCCAAGTCCCAAATTAACATAGAGACTCATTCGTTTTATTCAGAAAACAATAAAGTGTTTTAAATTAATTTTCATACTTAAAAATACCCCATTTCCATCCAATTACCTAATATCAATTGAATCTTACGGGTTTCCCTGCACTTTTTCAGCCAATCGCTGGTCATGTTACATTTCGAAAGGATGAACATATTTCACTTCACCCAGCGAATATGATTTTATAAAAAGTTCTGACAACTACTGTTTGGACCAATAAGATTGCAGCTATATTTAGATCATATAATTAAACATTTCGGAAGCGAGGTCTCTTATATATTATATTCATACATTTAGACCAGTGTACCAGATTCATCCTAATTTTTCTGAATATGTAGAAAATGTATTTAAAAATAAAAGTAAAATATTATGAAGTAAACAAAGAAAGTAATTAACACATCGCAAATGTCACGTGTACATGTATATTTCAGAAGATATATTATTAAAATAGTGACTGACCCACACCTGATACTGGAAAATGTTTAAGATAAAATATAAATCTGTCTAAAATATAAAACAGACTGCCCCGCTCTTTTTGTAAATTGAACGTTACAGATAAATTCCAGTTGTTTCTTCGGGCCACGTGAGTTATTCAACTTTCAGCAAAATAAATGAATAATGGCGATTTATCTTATTTTTACTTTCAGTTGTTCACACAATATACCCCTGAAAGCGAGATGTCATTTTCAGATATTGTTTTTGCAATTTACCGAAGATAAGCAATAATAAAAATAAAATGAGCCGCGTCACGACAAAACCAACATAGTGGGTTTGCGACCAACATGGATCCAGACCAGCCTGCGCATCCGCGCAGTCTGATCAGGATCCACGCTGTTCGCTTACCAACTCTATTACAAGTAGCGAAACTGATAGCGAACAGCATGAATCCTGATCAGACTGCGCGGATGCGCAGGCTGGTCTGGATCCATGCTGGTCGCAAACCCACTATGTTGGTTTTGTCGTGACGTGGCTCAAATAAATGTACCACTCTGGTGGTTTACTGGTAAATTTACAGTCGCTCTTCTAGCTGCTGTGGATGAAACATTACAGACTCAATTCATGCTATTCAATCATCATACAAGCACAAACAAAAATGCGATCATCCATATATATCATATACATAAAAGATATAAATCGTCATGACATCATCAAGCAAATATATAGTCAATGGATGACGTCTTGTTTTTTTTTAGACGTCTATTGTTGTTGTTTCAAATGTTTACATTAGTTGAATCGCTTTCTTAAGTTCGTTAAAAATAAAGTTATATGAAAAAGGTGATGATCCTCTGGATGTTATGTATACCTCCCTCAGTATTTGAAATCGTAACACCTTGGTCTTGACAACACATGGTAATTTTATGTCAGGTCATTTTTACAGGCACGAGTATCTGACCTGGGAAGAAAAAAATATGACCTGATTGATAAAAAAACCTGTGTTCATCTTAAAAGTGTCAAAAACCAAAACATGTAAATTATGACACCCTTTAAAAATATACTATTATAAGTTTTTTTTTATCAATCAGGTCATGTTTTCTTCCCAGGTCTGATACTCGTGCCTGTGGTCATTTTGGTTTTACCAGATCGTGGTGCAACGGAAAAATTAAACATATGTAGCATTGCGTGGTGCAACGGAAAAATTAAACATATGTAGCATTGCGTGGTGCAACGGAAAAATTAAACATATGTAGCATTGCGTGGTGCAACGGAAAAATTAAACATATGTAGCATTGCCATGATGATTGACTTAATAGTATATCTAATAAGTACATCATGAAAAAGCAAGCAAAGTTCATATTACTAGATATGCTTGGTTTTGTAATAATTACACAGTAATTTGGCAGGTTTAATTCTTGAAATGAATTTAATGCCGTTGAAAATTGAAGCTCTTCACAATTTAAATAAGACTTGTTCATTTTCTTATTTGACTGTTGTTTTGTGATATTTATATATGCTTCAGCTATATTCCTCTCTTTCTCTTAATCATTGATAGGTAGCTCTATACATGTACTTTGGTTATCTATTGTGATCACCTTTTGTGGTCGAGATGCTATGCGCTAGCCCAATTTGGAATAATTATATGTTCTGTTCTGTTCTGTGACATTAAAATAGTGTATACCAATATGTTACACGTGCTTTGAACTAATCATTGCAGTATTTTTCGTCTAATTAGGAATCAATTAATCAATTAATTATCAATTATAAAGTGAGCTTAATGTAAAGGAAAAAAAAGATCAGCCCCCCCCCCCCTTAATGCTTATTGTACTGTTATATATTGTACTGTACTTTACTGTATTGCACTGTACTGCACTGAAAAGGTTCATTGCGTTCCTGAATAATACTTAAGCACAGTAATGGGCACTTAGCTGATCAACTCCCTTAAAAGTGGAACCCAAGGTTTGCATGTTTATTAAGACATTGTTTTACAATTAGCTCTCATTTTTACACCATTTCTAATGTATAGATACAAAATTATACAAACTTAATGTATCACTGAAAGATGATTTAAGATCTAATTTGTATTTTTTAGTTTTAATCAAAACATAAAATGAGCCGTGTCATGACAAAACCAACATAATGGGTTTGCGACCAGCATGGATCCAGACCAGCCTGCGCACCCGCCCAGTCTGTTCAGGATCCATGCTGTTCGCTTACCAACCCTTTTACAAGTAGAGAAACTGATAGCGAACAGCATGGATCCTAATCAGACTGCGCGGCTGCGCAGGCTGTCTGGATCCATGCTGGTCGCAAACGCATTACGTTGGTTTTGTCGTGACACGGCTCAAATGTATTTTCATTTGTATAAACTAAATACAATGTAGATAGCGTTTATTTAAAAATGTTGTTTTTGTTCTTTTAATTTTTAAATCATTTGGATCTCATTTCATTTCAAAACATTAAGTTATTCATTATTCATTTTGAATAAAAAACGTAGATTAACCTCTCCACCTTTTTGTTACGTGAAATTGATACCATTGTGAAAAATTCATTAAAACCGACATTATGAAAAAAGATATTTGGCAGGTATTCTAAAGGCAGTTTGTAACAATGGGCTGATACAATGTGGACCCTTTCATACTTTCTATTTTTGTTTCAAGTTTAACAAAATGCACAATTAATTCCAATGCTCTGATAAACTCAAAAAGTAAGTTAACTTTCGAACGTAAACAGATATCAATAAATATAGTTTATCTGTTCTTAAACCTGGTCAAATACAATGCAATATATGACCAATGTTAAGTAATATGATTTCAAAAACTTTCCTTTATATTTTCATTGTAAAAAGAATTAAAAAAAACAGTAACGTGGATATACTTTAAATATCAATCCCACGAGAAAGAAAATGTTGTTTTTCAGTAAACTTATATTATTTTCTGTGTTTGGATACATACTTTGCCAATCAGGTCAAGAACTTAGCCGGTTAAAGACTAAACTCTTTACTACTGACAGTTATAATACAAAAATTCGTCCTGTGACAGAGCAAAATAACGCAATAACTGTTTCTATAGACTTTGCTTTAGTTGGAATCAATGCGTTTGATGACGCTGATCAGAAGTTGACCACCACAGGCTACCTGACAGTGGAATGGAAGGATGAGCTATTAACGTGGACACCCAGTGACTATGACAATATTCAGTCTATATTGGTACCGCAGAATGAAGTATGGAAGCCGGACATTACACTTGATAACGGAATGGAATCTAAATCTTCACTCGGACAGTCTTTTATACAGGTATTATTAAAATTCTTAAACTTTCTAAACTTGAATCGAAAGGTTTATGACATGATAAGATGACAATTTATGTACGTTCTTTCATTTACATTAAGATATTGGTTACTTTTGCTTTGATTGATTGATTGATTGATTGATTGATTGATAATAATTGTATTTTCCCAGGAGTACTAAATTCAAGCTAAAAAAACCGTAACAAATAAACAAATCCGGTCCATTATCAATTTCTACATTCATATCAACAAGCAAAATAAAAATATAAACATGATTTCTTATGAAGCAATATGTATTTAATTTGAATTATATAAACTGACTTTTGTTTAATGAATAGACGTCAAATGACGTGTAGCATTCCTTTTTTTATGTTGTGCATATATCGTGGAGTAATACACTTGATTGTTTTATCCGTTGTATAGGGGAATAGTGCGAAGCGTGTTTTGAATATACAATATTACCAAAAGTTGCACATGAGCAACGGCTACTAATACGGTTTAATCTATTTTTATTCTAACATGCCTTCCCGCATTGTCGGACTTTCGTTTTGTCGTCCTGTCTCTAGCGACAACAAGCCAAAGCCCCAAACGGCGCGTTGTCGTCTTGTCGTCCTGTCGCTAGCGCGGCACGCAAAACAGCGCGTTGTCGTGCGGCGCGTTATCAATCAATCCTTCAATTTGAACCGAGCGACAAGGTGACAACGCGACAACACGCCGCACGACAACGCGCCGTTTGGCGTGCCGCTCTAGAGACAGGACTACAAGACGACAACGCGACAACGCGCCGTTTGGCGTTGTGTCTGTTGTCGCTAGCGCCAACGCGACGCACAAAAGCGTACCAAATAAGCTACCATAGTGAATATATCGTGTAATAATGCAATTGACAGCCCTGTTTGATAGGGGAATAATGTAAAGCGTGCTAGAATTTGTTTTAATAACATAAAGTACATAATTAATTACATTGTAACAGTATGACGTGTAAATATGAATTTATATTAAGGTACAGTACAGCAAACTCTTCTTTAAAAAAAGTAAACGTCAATTGGCACTGAACTATACCTGTTCTGTCTCTTTAATTAAGTATATTTATTCAATGTCTTTGTGAAAATATCAAAGACAAGTGAAGGAAATGACATATCTTTTTCACAGGACGAACAGGCAGAAAATATGACTATTTCTAGCTTGATTCCAGAGATTGCTAATGTTTAACTTAGAACAAATTTAAGAATCTGTATTTTCATTAAAAACTATTATACAAACACCTAGTATCAATGGTACAATTATTTCTTCTTCAATTACAGGTGACAATATATGCTAATGGGACAGTCACGTGGAGTCCTTATGAGGTTTTTCATACATCTTGCGCTGTTGATATTGTCCACTTTCCGTTTGACAAACAGACTTGCGACATTAAGTTTATAACTTACATGCATGATGATGCAAAAGTAACATTGCAGCTTGGTTCACAAGGTTTCTACCAATCCAACTTTGAAAAGAACGGTAAATGGGACATAACTGCAATGTCAACATCTACAGAAACAAATGGCGGCAAGACAGTTTTAAGTTACACACTAAATCTTCAACGGAAGTCTTCATTTTATATTCTTTTCCTCATTGTTCCCGCCATTTTGTTGTCAATACTGAATGCTTTCGTGTTTGTGTTGCCAGCAGGCTCCGGTGAGAAAGTCGGCTACACAATTGCTGTGTTTCTTTCGTATGCGCTTTTCTATACGATTCTCAGCGAGTCACTACCAAAGAATTCCGACACAGTATCGACCATCGCTGCATACTTATTCTTCATGATGTTTCTGTCCACCCTTGCCACCATTATCACCATTATTGAGCTCAGAATCTACAACAAGAAGACAAGAGGAAGGGTAAATTTACCTTGTACTTTTTACAGTATATATCCCCCTCCGTAATTTTATCGTAGATTTACACCACTCAAAAAAAACTTAAAGTCTCCTACGGTTCAACCGGTAGGGGACTTATTATAGGTCTTTATTTCAATGTTAAATCTAGACTGACTTTTATGTACGACATAATGACATACATGTACTTGTAGTAAAATATGTTTAGTACTAAATATTTGGAATTAAATTATGTTTGCTTAAAGCAAGTATAGCTTTAACTGTTATCACTTTTTCATTTAATGAATTTATTGTAATCTTTTAGTTTTAGATCACTAACAGATACTTGCAGGCGACCAAAACTTCGCATAACTAGGATTTCGTACTTATATGGCAAGGTTATTTTTTCGCAAATTTCTACTCTTAGTTCTGTTAAATCCCTACGATACCTAGGTACATAGCAAAGTTGGCAAAATTAAAGTCGTTGCGTAAAATTTCTGATTTAATAGTATACGTTATATTTCAGTTGCCAATCGCTCTCGTACATTTTGTCAAATGTATGCTTTTCCAACGTTGTTTGTGTAAGAACAACTCCATCAAAGATTTCTCGGCCGACCACCTGGATGGCAACTGGACAAAGGTTATTGGTCCGTGGCTTGACTGCGACTGGAAGGATTTTATAGATGCTCTTGACTTCATTCTTTTCTGGATATTTTTGGTTGGGACACTCATCTTTACAGTTGTTGCTTTGGTCCTTGCTTCAAGCTATGTTACTATGTTTTAAATAACATGTTATTATAAATGACAAGATGAAGACTTATGTGGTATTCTAATGTTCAAAGGACACAGTATTGATGTTTGTGTTACTAAAAAAACTTTTTATATGCAAGTCTATGAATAAAAGTAATAATTCATGAAATTCCTGTTTAAAATGTTTATTCATGAAATCCCGTTACACATTCTTTTATGGTTTTAAATCATAAACATGATGCTCAAATTAAATTTTATCAATATTGTAGGTTCCAAAAAGCATTATTTATAAAGAAATTACCAATTTAACATTTCATGTAAATAAAGGGAGGTAATAAGAAATTTATTTTCTATAAAGTTTAAGTTAAATTTTACAATAAGAAATAAATGCATATACTTTAATCATTACATTTAATATGCACAACTATTTGCAGTACATATTTTACATATTATTTGATGTTTGAAAATTGTTTTATTTGCGTAATTATGTATAATTTCACTTAGTGTGGTTTACCACTTTGATCACAGCATACAGGATCTTTAAATGTTTAATAACATTTATAATGTTTATCCTTTATTGTAAAACAAAATCCAAAATAAACTTTGCAAAAGAATGAAACTAAAGGGAATATTTATATTAGAATGATATGTTTTCTAAAGTCAAGGACATTTTGCATGTTATGATAGAATTTTTCTATTAATAAAGTAATCAAAATGAAAACTTAATCATTTTATAAACATGAATTAATATTATTTTGAAAATGACGCTCAATATTTATACAATCATGTTAATTTATGTTACTTAAAGACAAAGTTACATATTGATTCTACCAATGGTAACATCATAAAGTTTTACAATGGCTAACATGAAGATATTTTCCAGTCTGTGTTCATAATCGATGCGTTAAATGGTTTGTGGAGTGATGTCAGTTGCATGTTTATCATGGCCATAAAATCAGCCTCTGACTTAAATAGTGCCGACAACCGTTAAGACTCCTTCACGTCTATGACAGATCATGTTTTCAAATTATCAAATACAATGGAAAAACGCTTAAAGTAAGAAAGTATAAAATGATTCACTTAAAACTAATACATCGAATGTCATAGATTAAACGTATCGTTATTTTGCCATAAACATTTATCAGTATTGACGTTTGAGGTACAAAAATATGGTCACACTCATTGCAGAGTACTGATGTACTTATATTTACACTCAAAATCTGATGAATTTATTTATATTATATAAGAGCTCGCTCCTATATCTCTATGTTAATATGGTGCATTGTTTGTATAGACTGGTAGTTCTAACAGTGAAAGTATGTATTTGAACCGGAAATTAAATAAAGATTCTCAATACGAATGCAATTTGACTTAGTTAATCGCATAATGTCGGTAACTATTGTATTTGTAACAGCAAAAGGTAACAAACATGAAATGGAGTACGACTCAATTTATACCAGTTACAATACAGCTTTTAAGCGTGGTCCTCGAGCTTAAAATTACGCCATTTTCTACTTTCAGGAACCGCTTCATAGATATTATATTTCATATAAAATAGTAACTACAAAAATGTGTTTGTTTGGTTAATTTTTACGCCAAGTGTATCAAAATAGAGACAATCGTGACTGAGCCAATGCATTGGTTATCATTACCTGGGGTGAACAGTGGTGAAACTTAAATTATTAAATATTTATTAAAATAGGTTTTTTAGCCATGCAATGGTTTGAACTTTTTAACATTTCAGTATAATTATATAAAGATTGTCATATACATTTGTATGTTAATTGTATGACAAATGTTCAATTCAGATTTATACCGCTGCATGTGAAGCATAGATTTTTCAGCAATAGCCGAACAAAACCAAAAATTACAGTACGATTGTAACAACATATGAATGTTAATCATAAATCACTGTTTATTGTTTTCGAACTTTGATTTGCGACATGATTGTTTAAACTTTTGTATAAATTAATGAAAGACTAATTAAGTGATAAAATTCCATGATGACGATATATGCGTTTATATTTGCAATGGCCTAATTACGGGTGTTCATTTATTCCTCTAATTGAATTGTTCTTATGTCAATACGACGAGATTCTAATTGTTATTATCATTTTTAATCTCTTTATTATTATTATAACTGGCTCAAACCAGACATCATGCGTCTCTACAGATAAAAATGTTCAAGTATCAAAGAAAAAAAATGGCATTCCTCAAAAGCAAGATAGCTTTGTATTATTCATTATGAAATGTGGGGATACTACACGAAAACCAATTGCTTGAAATTCATCTGTTGTTTTACTTGTTTACTACATCACTGTTTTAACTTTTCTATTGTTGACTTAAGTATCCGGTATTTAGAAGCTGAAAACGCCCATTTGAAAGAGTAAATGTTATCAGAGTTTCATAAGGAAAATATATGATTATATGCACAATAGGTATGCTTTTAAGCCAAATGTTGAGCTTTAATTAGTTAAAATTATTACGACGGTTAGCAAGTTGTAAGTTTTATCTTTCTCAGACGTGAAGTCTTCGAAAATTTCTTTCAAAAGTTCTATTAGCATTTTACGATAAAATGGCTATGAAAATATTTTTCATATTAGCATCGCTATATTGTGTGTCTACAATGGTAAACTGCCGATTTGTATTATACGATTCAGACAATTCGGATACAAAAGTGGACGTGGTATCTCACTTTGATGAAGTTAAGAAAATGTTAAACAATATCTTGTCAAAAGTGAATGCCATTAATGAACAGGAAAGTGGTAAGGATTATTCTACATTGAAATTTTGAAAATACATTAATTAATAATATTGAGATAATTTGCAAACAAATTAGTAAATAAGTAATTGAGTTATTTGCATGAACGGATGAGTGTAATTTTTATTTTGTATTATAAAGGAATACACGTATTATGATATTCTTGAATAAAATATGATACTTATATCTCGAATAGTACATTAAACTCTCACAGTTGTTTTAAATGGTATATATGACATTTTGCAGTCAAGACATGAATTAATCTACATCATGTTATACAGTCTTATCACAGTGTACAAAAATATAAGTAAATAGTATTGGTTCAATTACAGTCCATAACAGAACGTCTTTGGAGATAAGCACTTACAAAAAATTAAACACACTATCTAGGAAATTAACATAATATTATGTTTTGATTTGCAATCGTCTGTTAAGTTAATAAAGTCATGTGATAAATATGTACTGCTTATAGGCATATTTTAGCAGGACATTTTACTAGACTGTTTAAGTATACTTGTAATTTGTAGCAGACATATCTCTAAATATGTTGTACATTTTATAATTTGAAAATATGAGAATTATTATTACAGCATTTCCTGCATTTTACTACAAGATCGTTATTGTTTCAGGAAATGTTACAAAGTGTGATGACGACTGGTTCAAATATAGAGATTCCTGTTACTTTGTGATCTCAAAAAAAATTGGTTTCAAATCAGCAGAGGTAATTTTTATCCATTATAATGGTTCAATTCAAGAGAGAAATACTTTATTATAACAGTCTGCAAACGATAGGTTCATGTAGTATAAAGAAGTAAGATAACTATAAGCAATTCATTTTGAAAAAAAAATCGAAGTTGTTTTGAAAGATCTGATTTTTTCCAAACAAAGGAATGCGAAAATTTCAATTCAGAATGGCATAGCAATATTATAAAATGGATTTTTTCAATTCCGGGTTAAACATTGTTTTATTCATGATATTTAAAGAAATAATTGCCAACATTAATAACAATTATGCAATAAGGGTTTCAGGTATTCGGTCAATAGTCTGTTTGATAAATCCTTATTTTTGGAAATAACACAAGTTTACACAAGAAATGACAATTGTTATCATTAAATTATTTTGTTAACCATTTGTACCTATATCAAACTTGAACCTTACATTTTACAATAATTCTGAAACAGGCACTGAAAACTAAACAATAATTATTAGATTGAACATTATAATGACATGATACTGTTGAAACAGTTAATTAATTAAAACTAAGATTGTGTTACCTGTAATAGCTTGTATCTTTGTGTTTCTTTTTTTTCATCCCGTTCAAGAATTTCTCTTTTCCTCTAACATTTTGTACAGACATATGACCTTTTACTCCTTTTTATACAATAACTTAAAATGATTCTCTACATTTCAAAATCAAAATTTCAAAAATGAAATTTCAGGACGAATGTAGACAACTGAATGCACATGTAGTTCGTTTGGAAACAAAAAAAGAAAATGAGTTTCTGAAATCTTATATGGACAATCATGGTATGAAGTTTTATCTAGATTATGATAAGAAATATTTAAAATGTATTCATATTTTTACGTTATTCTCACCACTTGTATTCCTCTATTAAATGAAAAGCGGAACATGCATACATAAAATATGCATAAAGAGGTGTCAGACAATTGAGCAAGTTTGAATGTTTACATAATCAAAATCTTTAATTCATATAAGCTACTTACAATATTCCCAATTTATAAAGCTTAGTCAACACTAAACTAAATCATTTAACAATACAAAACTGATATATTATGATTTATGCACACTCTTAGTTAACCGTCTACGATGTAGAAATTAATATTTTTGTGCGCATTTCAGTTCTTCACGGTAGATATGACATCGTATACAAACTGTTCAGCTAATCGAATTCGAGAACTTTATTTGCATTGTTATGATGATGGGTATTTACATTCATATCAAATGAGTTAAATATCTGTAAAGGTGTTTCTGCCAACAGAAGTACCGTTGTTTCTTTTCAATTTTAAAACTTTAGTCAGATATAAATCAATTTCAGATATAAAAACATACTGGATTGGAATTACTGACGTCGAAAAAGAAGGAGTGTGGAAGTTATCAGGTACAGACAGAATTGTACAATATACAGACTGGAAAGGCGATGAACCAAATAATGTAGGAGGAAATGAAGATTGGTCTCACTCAATGGTTCAGTTGGGTGGATGTACCTTGCGAAAGAAGTTACCCAGCTATTTGTGAGAGACAGAGAGAAAGAGAATAAATAATAAAACATTTGGAATGTTTATCCTATTTGTGTAAAAAAAAACTCATGAAGTTTCTTCTTTTTTGTTAGTTCATGTTAATACTAAGTAGCATATTGCTTCTACCTAGAGTAATATCATAAGATTTACAATGCCAATCATGAAGATATTTAACGTATCTATGTTCATAACCGTTAAAAGTATGTTTGCATTTGAAACGAAACTTAAATAAAGATTCAATATGAATAGAATTTGACCTAGTTAATCGCATAATACCGATAACTACTTAATATATAACAACAAATAATAGCAACCCTGAAATGGAGTTCAACTCAATTTATTCCAGTTACAATTCAGTTTTTATGCTTGGTCCTCAAGCTTGGCAATTCTGTTATTTCAGGAACTTTTTTATGAATATAACATTTCATATAACACTGAACAGCAGCAGCAGCAACAACAACAACAAATTCCGCCCATTTTAACAAATGTTGGTTCTATCTCTGTGACGGGTCTACCTATCAGGCTTAACTTGATAACTAACATGTAAATACGTAATTTTCTTCTTCAAGTGATTAATTCCACATGATTTCCTTATCAGCAGTGAGAGACATTAACAAATCAATGCTCTTTTTTTTTGAAAAGCAGACAGCAGCATTTTAACATATATTTTCATATAAAATTTTTAAAGGGAGACAACCCTGAACAACCAATTGGGTTATTATGAGGTGAACATTTTGTGAAATTTAAAATTAATTTTATTTAAAATAGCTTTTACCATGAAATGTGATTTTTTTAAAAATTTCAGAAACATTAATTATGTAATACGCCCTATATTTTTAAATCGTATGAAAAATTTTAAAATCATTTTTATACCGCTGCATGTGAAGCGTCACTTTTTCAGCAATAGCCGAACTAAACCAAACATTACAGTACGATTGTGACAATATATGCATGTTACTCATAAATCACTGTTAATAGTTTTTTTCCTTTAATTTGCGACATGACAATTTAAAGCTACATTAAATAAATTTCATGAAAAAGGAAAAAGCTACATATCGTTAACTAAATATGTTTCATATCGATCTCCGTGCTTATTTTGGTGTCCAGACAACCAAAAAGAGTTTCATAAGCCATAAATCTACAACCTCATTGTGGCTAAATTGGAAGTACAATTTCTATTCGCATGAGAAACTCCGCCTTTGGGTCATCCGTAAATCATTAGAAAATCAACAAACATTTGTAAATAGCAGTCTGAAATTAACGGTATATTTCCGCATTATATAACGGATGTTTTCATACCAATTCAATCTTTTTATGAGATGATTACTTTTACTCTATCTTATGTCGAGAGTAAATCAATTATTCTCTAATCTACTATAGCAAAAAAAACAACAACCAATACATAGGAATAACGCTTAATATTTGGTAGTACATATTACAAATCAATAGAATCAATCGGTATTTATCTGTATCTGTTAAGGGGGCAGGGGACCTAAAAATGAAAAATTTTGTATTTCAGTGTGACCAGAAACACAATTCCAAATATTTCAAAATCTGTTTCACAGGCAGATAACCAGTTGCACAGCATTATTCAATGATATATGACATACATTGAAGAAAATAATAGTTTGCATGCATTGCTCCTTCAAAAAATGACTGACAGCAATTTATATTTACCCCCACCCAGCCAAAATCACACCTAAAATATACCAATATAGGCAATCTTCATGAAGGTGCAGCATACTCCAGAATCCGCCCGATTCCTTTAAAAATATCAGTAACACGCAGTGCAAGCTATGGCATTTTCAGAAATTACAAATAAAGTGTCTGTCATACGTTTAGATTTTTCACAAAATTTATCTGAAATTTCTTACTTGTTTGGCGCCAACTGTCAAAGCTTGATTTTTAACTTTTTCACCTCCATTCGGAGAGTCAGAAATACATACAAAGCTACCAAAATGCTTAGTTTCGGGTAAAAACTCAAAAATATATCTCATTTCCTACATACAAACAAGAAAGAATTACAATGACAGAGAAATATCAGAAGTTATCAGTACCTTCAAAACACCATGTCTGAGTTATTTAAAAAATTTGACCGGGGCCTTCATTCGAATATGTCCCCTGCCCCCTTATGTTCTTGTATTTGGGATTCATCAGATGTATAGCATTGTTGCTTTCGCTTCCGCTCAACGAGGGGCAACACTTCCGCCCAACGAGGGGCAACACTTCCGCCCAACGAGGGGCAACATTTCCGCCCAACGAGGGGCAACACTTCCGCCCAACGAGGGGCAACATTTCCGCCCAACGATGGGCAACACTTCCGCCCAACGAGGGGCAACACTTCTGCCCAACGAGGGGCAACACTTCCGCTCAACGAGGAGCAACACTTCCGCCCAACGAGGGTCAACACTTTCGCCCAACGAGGGGCAACATTTCCGCCCAACAAGGGGCAACACTTCCGCTCAATGAGGGGCAACACTTCCGCCCAACGAGGGGCAACACTTGGATTCAAGGCAAGCATTCGATATAAAAAGATATTCAAACAGAATGAAAAGAATATATAATCTTCCTTAATCAAACTTTTACTATTACAAATGATTCATATTAGGTTAAAACATAATCACTGATATATAAAGTAATAATTTCAAATCACTATTTGATGAAATAAATTCAAACAACAATTTGATGTGATAATTTCAAGTCACAATATAATGTAATAGCTTCAAAAAACATGGCTATTGATTAATAACAGTGTCAATTATAAATGAAGATTTTATGACACAGATAATCGGTCCTTCAAAGAATCTTTTCAAAGAAACGTTTTAGATCTAAGGCTTCACTCATTCGTAAAAAATCAGCGTAACACAAAATACACAAGGTAACTATTATCAAATTTCCCAGAGAACAATTCTTAGAAGCAAAAGTATATAATAATCTTTTCAAAATATCAGGAGAAATAGGTTGTTTTTTCTGCACTGGTCGACATACTTTCCTGACACAACCTTCCAAACATAATTTTAACCAATTCTCTTTACACGGATTTTCTAAAGAAGCTAACTCGTGAGCACAGTTAATAGCATAAAAACGCTTATTTAATTTTGATTATCCCATCAACCCACTCATTCTCGAATGAATTAAAACACTAATACCAGCTGCTACCGTTACATTGTGAGGCAGGCAAAAAAGAAAACTTATACCGTACACCATTTTGAAAATTTTCAAAAGAATACTATAATTACGTATCGTATGTTCTTTGCTTGACATCACAGCGTCTTTCACTCTCTGAGAAAAGCTCCTGGTTTTTAGGCAAAAATCTATACATTTCTTGTACATCTAACCAACGTTGACTGGTTAAAATGCCTGTAAAAATTGACAAACAATAATAAAACAAAATATTTCATTATGCTTAATTATAGCATTGCTTTTCACAAAAAAAATTGACCTTTAAACAAATCATTAAAACATAAAATATATAAGTCAAAACTAACAACATTCTATTCTAGCAACAATAACCATACTAGTAAAGTACATAGATCCAAAAATAGTTGCTTTGTTTCTGACTTGAACATATATATCCTTTGGATCATTAGACAAAAGTATTTCACAAACAAATTGCTTAAGATTTGATGTTTCCCAAAAATCATTGGGGAAAGGCTCGAAGGCCAGTAAGGGGCTACTAATGTACCATTAGCTTTAGAATATAATAAATGGTTTAAAGACTTTGGTATCAAATAAACTGGAGGAACAATTAAGAATATCATTGTTAGGTTGCATCGAAGTTTCCCAAAATTCTAAAGCATATTTTAATCGACCTTTAACTGAATAATCAGAAATATTAATACTACTTTCTGTATATTCACAAAATATCTCGTGATAACAAAAATGTGAAAAATTAGAGTGCAAATTATCAAAAACAAAAAAAAACAAAAACAAAAAATACTTATCATATTCAAAAGAAGAGTCTTGTAATTCATTGTTTATTAATCTTGACTTCCTGCTTGTCGCATTCAGGTGCTCTTGACTCTGTTGAGGTACCCATGGGTCTTGTATATGGACCGGTTCTGACATGTGTACATCCAGATGCGATGTGTCCCAACTGTCCACACTTGAAGCAAACGACTGTTGAGGGAAGTTGTTGTTGCTATGATGATCCGCCAGCCATGGCCAATCAAGATTCTGGTGTTCGGCGAAAGCTACGAAAATTAAACTGAGAGCTTTGGTTAGAATAAGTAGACAATTTGGCCTTTTCGATACGAGCTTTGGCCCGGTCTTCAGCTTTACGAATTCTTTTATCGTCACCAGAATCGCTAGCCACATCCAATTTCTCATACTTTTGAATGGTGGCCCAACCGGAAGGAGAATTGTCAGCAATTCTGATCAGTTTATTTCTAATTTTAATAAGATGTTTTGCTTCAGAAATATACTCATGAGCTTTGCCTGCATTTCTTAGCGAAATAGCCTTATCAATACTGTCGAGCGTATTTTCTTGCATATCAGACCGGCGTTTCCGTTAGTTTTACCCATGCCGGAAATTTCATCTGGCATGGGGGTTCCAGATAAGTCGCGTGCTGTACAATGGCACGATAAAGATGACGTCATTTTACCGTTATGAATGATTTTGTGATTCATACGCTGTTGAATGAAAGTAGTTACGATTGAATTGATATAAATTTTCATTGAAAATAAAGATAAAGAATTTAAAATATAATGGAATATGGTAGAATATGCAAGAAAAAATATCTGAAATATGTATGCGGTTCGGATCGGAATATCCGTCCCTCGGTCATCCGCCCATTGGGCGGTAACGAGGCTCACCTCGGGACGGATATTCCGATCCGAACCGCAAAATATGACAGATATTATTAATCAAGTTCACAATTGAATTGATACTGTTTATTGTAAGATAAACCCTTTAAAGTAACAGATGGATTTTTTCTAACCTTTTTTTTGTAGCTTCTGCAATCCACTCTGTATCAGTCTGAACGCTCCTCTTAAAGTCGTTGAATTTAGAATCAAAATAATTCTTCAGTTCATCAACAATTTCTGCTCTTTGTGACGATTCTCCACGTGGCTGAGAATACCGATTTTCTTCATCACTCATACTTTCGTATTTAAACAGGTTATTTAAGTACCACCAAATGCAAGCGTAGAGTGAAGAAAAACCGCTAAATCACTATATATATACCCCCACTAGCCCACGAAATACACGTGCACCGTTAAAAGAAAATATATAAGGTATTACTCCATATTTAGACCACAGCTGTTTTCTCTCGGTCAATCAGAGAGGTTTAAAAGTGTTTGATATATCCCACACGTCACAGTGAAGTGTTTGATATAACTATCATCTTTGTATTCAACTGAAAGCAAAAAACCGTTATGTGCACGCTTTATGCGGGAAAAATTTATATGTTTAATATTATAGTACAGAAAAAATTAATTTCGACATTTCATCATTTTACAAGAATAGTTGCTGTTTTTGTTAATAAGAAAAAAAAACTAGCAATAATGAAGAAAAATGCGTTTATCAATCTATTTTTACGACCGCTTTTGTGCTAATATTTTCAAGCACTGTGATTTCAATAATCGTATCCTGAATTATGCCCGGTGCACTCTTAATAGCAGACATTGTAGATGTACATTCATTTACTGGTTTGGGAAGAGGAGATACCACTGGTGGGCGTTTAGAACGGTGACTGGGCTGCGGTTTCAACGCTAAGGAAATGCTATGCTTTAAAGCTTCAGAGGGACGTTTGTAATATTTTTTAAGTTCATGAATAAGGTAAAAAAGCCATTGCAGGATGTATATAATGCATACAATAAATAAACGAATCTATAAGTCAAGAATAATATTTTCAACTTCAGCCGGACAACCAATAAATACCCTGAACCCTAGAGTTTTTAAGGAAAACGTTTAATAAAAGTTACCTGCCCGTTTCTCCAACAAGCCCACTCTTGATAAGCAGCAATCGCCAATGATTTCTGTCTAAGAGTATTTTTCGGTTAGCGGTCTTGCTTCTCCACTTCTCGTACTGTGATATGTCATTAAATCATTTAAATGAGGAATCAACAGGAATAACAACAAAATCTCTCAATTTGCGAAATTGTAAGGTTATTACATTTATAAATGTTAAATCCTTTCCAATTTTCTTCTGACAGCACCTTTGTGATAGAAATTAAAAATGGAATATGATATCTATCATTCATAAGAGTGTGTATTCAGTAACTTATGAAAGAACATGAACTATGCTATTTTCTCGTGCATTTGTTTTGCCTACAATAAGGCAAAATAGATTGAATAAGAAATATTTCGATATCCCTATGTAATTGTCGGAGAAAAAAAAACGTTTACGCATGTTTAATCTTCACCTTAAACAGAGAAAACTACCTGTGGTCTAAGTCAGATAGATCGCTCGTACCAGTTGGATGTGAGATTTATCAACTCGCTTCGCTCGTTGATAAATCTCACATCCAACTGGTACTCTATCCTATACTTAACTTACAGGTACAGAAACCATACATAAACACTCATTCAAGCTATATCCGATACGAGAATAATTTCATTTTTTAAACATCAGGGCTAACGACCGTGAAACTAAAACGGTAAAAGTTTGTTTGCACAAGAATATCGCGTATTTGCTATGATCCACATGGTTACAATTGATTTACCATTGTGACATAGCGCATACACCAGCTAACTTTACAAGTCTTCATTTGCATGTACAAATTCGTATACGTACTTTAATGTTACCGTGGGGTCTTCCTTTTAAAATAAAAACTTATGAACATTTTTTAATGAGATTTACAACAATACTGTTAAAGATGTTCATGAAACTATAGAATGCTTGTTTTTTAAGCTGACGAAAAACTATGTTTACATATTTTATTTAATGTAGCTTTAAACTTTTGTATAAGTTAATGTAAGACTAATTCAGTGTGATGACATGTGTTTGTATTTACAATAGAAGAATTACGGGTGTCCATATATTCCTTTAATTGAATTTTTCTTATATCAATACGAAATACATTTGCTCGAGATTTCAAATCTGAAACGTTGTTTATATTTTCTTATATTTATTATTACTTTCTATTCTCTTTATTATTATTAAAACTGGCCTGAACCAGACATCATGCGTCTCTACAGATAATTATCTTCAAGAAACAAAGAAAAAATAACAAATGGCATTCCGCAAACGCAAGATAGCTTTGTATTATTCATTACAATATTTGGGCGTACAGAACTAAAACGTATTGTTTGTAAGTCATCTGTTGTTTTACATGTTTACTTCATCATTGTTTTAACTTTTCTATTGTTGACCAAAGTATCCGGTATTAAGAAGCTGAAAACGCTCATTTGAAAGAGTAAATGTGATATTGTATCAGAGTTTCATAAGGAAAATATATTACAATTTATACCATTCGTATGCTATTTAAGAGTCAAATTGTTGAGACTAAGTTGAAATTGTTTCGACGTTTAGCAAGTTGTTACATCTTTCTAAGACTTGAAGTCTTCAAACGTTTATTTCAACATTACTCTTACCATTTTCCGATAAAATGGCTATGAAAATATTTTTTCATATTAGCATCGCTATATTGTGTGTCTACATTGGTAAACTGCCGATTTGTATTATACAATTCAGACAATTCGGATACAAAAGTGGACGTGGTATCTCACTTTGATGAAGTTAAGAAAATGTTAAACAATATCTTGTCAAAAGTGAATGCCATTTATGAACATGGAAGTGGTAAGGATTGTTCTACATTAAAATTATGAAAAGACATTAACTAATTATATTGATATAATTTGCAAACAAATTAGTAAATAAGTAATTGAGCTGATTGCATGAAAGGATGAGTGTTATTTCTGTTTTGTATTACAAAGGAATACACGTATTTCGATATACTTCAGTAAATAGAGGATATTGAATGAGTGGAAGTTTAATACTGAATTTATTGCACGAGTTGAATAAAATTATATTATGCGAGCCTCTGGCGAGCATAATATTATTTTATTCAACGAGTGCAATAAATTCAGTAATGAACTTACACGAATTTAATATTCTATTTATCACATACCAAAAATAAAGACCGTTTAAGGTGAAATAAGAGTCATATTTCATTGACGCGCCTATAGTATAACGCTAACATTTAGCGCGTCTTTACACTATGTTTGTATAACGCTAATGACGTCACGTCAAAATATATGCACGGCCGTGCAATACCATATTTACGGAGTCGCAAAATCGGCACGGTGTGTGATAAAATATGATAACAATATCTTGAATAGTAAATAGAACTCTCACACTTAGTTTTAAATGGTACATATGACACTTTGCAGTCAAGACATGAATCAATCTACATCACGTTATACATAGAGGATATTGAATGAGTGTAAGTTTAATACTGAATTTATTGCACGAGTTGGATAAAATTATATTATGCGAGCCTCTGGCGAGCATAATATTATTTTATTCAACGAGGGTAATAAATTCAGTAATGAACTTACACGAATTTAATATTCTATTTATCACATACCCAAAATAAAGACAGTTTAAAGTGAAATAAGAGTCATTTTTCATTGACGCGCCTACAGTATAACGCTAACATTTAGCTCGTCTTTACACAATGTTTGTATAACGCTAATGACGTCACGTCAAAATATATGCACGGCCGTGCAATACCATATTTACGGAGTCGCAAAATCGGCACGGGTGTGTGATAAAGTCTTTTATTTCATGCTTACCAGTGTTGTATTATAATATATCAGATGATTATATTCTGATAATCCACTAGTGAAATTTATCAAATATAATTTTCACTGTAGCCGGACTATATCTGAATGCGGATGAAAAGAAAATCATAACTAAATGGAATAACAGGTAGAAATAAATGCCGTCATGCCTTTAAGAAAAAAAGTCGATGTCATCATACATCATGTTAAAAATCTAACAAAAGTAGAGAAATTTAACAGACCTATGTTTCAAAATTGATGATGTGACGTCATGATGTGATAACCTCACAAAGAGAATGCGCGACGTTACGCGGCAAAATCAGTAAAAAATACTTAAAATCATTTAAAAAGCATAAAATAAAAAGAAAATTTATTTGTTTTACATATAAGATTGATATATATTTCATTCGTGGACACCAGCTATTTTTTTCTATTTTTACTCCACTCGTGAAAATATTGCATCTGGTGTTCAATGAAATTATAATTCAATCAAACAAATATCCTCTATATCATATTGTATAAAAACATAAGTGAATAATATAATAAATATTGGTTTGATTAAAGTCCATAACAAAACGTCTTTGGAAATAAGCATTTACAACAAATAAAGCACATTTTCTAGGAAATTAACATAATATTATTTTACTGTTTTGATTTGCCATCGTCTGTTAGATTAATATAGTCGTGTGAGAATTATGTACTGCTTATGGACATTTTAGCAGTACTAGTATAGTTTGTAATAGTCATATCTCTAAATATGTTTTATATTGTATAATTTGAAAATATGAGAATTATTATTATAGCATTTTCTGCATTTTTACTACATGATCGTTATTGTTTCAGGAAATGCTTCAGAGTGTGGTGGTGACTGGTTCAAATATAGAGATTCCTGTTACTTTGTTATCTCAAAAAAAAATAGTTTCCAATCAGCAGAGGTAATTTTTCATCCTTTATAATGGTTCAATTCAAGAGAGAAATACTAAAATATAACTGTCTGAAAATGATAGGTACATGTAGTATAAAGAGTTCAAAGTAGTATAATTATAAGCAATTCATTTTGAAAAAAAAATCCAAGTCGTTTTGAAACATCTGACTTTTTCCAAACAGAAGAATGCGAAGATTTCAATTCAAAATGACAAAGCAATAATACTAAATCGATTATTTGAATTCCGGGTTGAATATTGTTTTATTCATGATATTTAAAGAAATAATTGTCAATTTTTTATTATTCACGATATTTAAAGAAATGATTGCCAACATTATAATAACCATTATGCAATAAGGGTTTCAGGTGTTAGGTCAACAGTCTGTTTGATAAATCCTTATTTAAGGAAAAAACACAAGTTTACACAAGAAATGACAATTGTTATCATTAAATTATTTTGTTAACCATTTTTACCTATACCTATACCTTACATTTTACAATAATTCTGAATCAGGCACTGAAAACTAAACAATAGTTATTAGATTGAAAATTATAATGACATGATACTGTTGAAACAGTTAATTAATTAAAACTAAGATTGTGTTACTTGTAATAGCTTGTATCTTTGTGTTTCTTTTTTTTCATCCTGTTCAAGAATTTCTCTTTTCCTCTAACATCTTATACAGACACATGACATTTTAATCCTTCTTATGCAATAACTGAAAATGTGTCTTTTAACATTTCAAAATCACAGTTGCTTTAAATGAATTTTCAGAACGAATGTAGACAACTGAATGCACATGTAGTTCGTTTGGAAACAAAAGAAGAAAACGAGTTTCTGAAATCTTATATGGACAAGCATGTTGAAGGTATGAAAATCTGGAAAGAAAGTGATCCCTCGGAAGCATTAATCACGACAAAATTACAAGAGAATTGCAGACTCGGTTTGATTGAGTCTGTACATGAGGGATAATGTAAAGTGCAACATCCCTCACGCCCCCTAGTACCGGATTGAGCAGTACTCAATTCTCAATACTTAATAGTGCTGGCATCAATGAGCCCGAATGACCAGAAAAATAAGTTTTATCTAGATTATAATTAGAAAGGATTAATTAAAAAGATGTATTCATATTTTACGTTGTTCTAGCCACTTGTTTTCCTCTATTAAATGAAGAGCAGGCAGAACACGAATACATAAAATATGCATAAAGAGGTGTCAGACAATTGAGCAAGTTTGAATATTTACATAGTAATCAAAATCTATAATGCAAAAAACTACTTACAATATTCACAATTTATAAAGCTTAGTCAACACTACACTAAACCATTAAACAATACAAAAAATGATATATTATGATTTTATGCACACTCTTAGTGTAAAAATTGATATTTGAGTGCGCTTCGGTTTTTCGCGGTCAATACGGCATCGCTTACAAATCGAATTCGAATTCAAGAACTTTATTTGCATTGTTATGATGAAGGGTATTTACATAAATATCAAATGAGTTAAATATCTCCAAAGATATCTCTGCCAACAAATATACCACTGTTTCTTTTCAATTTAATAATTTCAATTCAGATATTGATCAATTTCAGATACAAAAATATACTGGATTGGAATAACTGACGTCGAAAAAGAAGGAGTGTGGAAGTTATCAGGTACAGGCAGAGTTGTACCATATACAGACTGGAAAGGCAATGAGCCAAACGATTTCAGAGGAAGAGAAGATTGTGCTGTATTACATCATCACACTCAATGGTCCGGTTGGATGGATGTACCTTGCGAAAATAGTTACCCAGTTTTTTGTGAGAGACACAGAGAGAGAGGGACTGAATATTAAAACGTTTCGAATGTTTATCTTATTTTTGTAAAAAAAAAAAAAAAAAAAAAAAAAAACATTACTCATAAAGAGTTTCCTTTTTGTAAGCACATCTTCATTTGGAGGTAAATAAAATGCATAAATTTAGCAAACATTCCTAAAAAGTATCAGTTCAAACGTCAACGAGATGAAAAAGAATAAAAAGTGCAGGATAAGGTTTTTTTTAAGTAATTATGAATTTTTCGTACATTTTAACATTGTATTCTTAATCATAAAAGCATTATACTGACACAACGAAAAAATCTTTCAACATAAATATCGACTTAAATGCAATTTTTATACTTTGATCATTTTGTAGAGTTGAATGAATTACTGCGAATGAATAACGGCATTTATTTTCCGTTGCAAAACCCGTATTATTGACATTGATAAATAAATGAAATAAAACAAAATAGTCATTTACATAGTATTCAAAAGTAGTGTTTTAGAAATAAACAGTAGCAACATACATGTGTATATATTCCATGATTTGCAGCGTTGTGGCAACTTTAATATGTACACATAATATTGTTGAATCTTGGCAGAAAAAAAAGAAACATTGTAAAAAGTTTGTTTTAGTGTAATGAAGAATCCTGTTCCACTTCATATGACTGAGGCTGAATAATATTTTCGCTCATCTTGAAATGCTGTAAAGCCATAAAAAAATAAGAGAAAAAAAGAAAGAAAACTCCAGCAAAGCAAAAACGCCATAATAATAGAGTAAATTCCCTTTGAACAGTTTTTCTAGGGCGTTATACGGATAACCGCATATTTGTGAATTAGACAGATTTGTATATTTTACCGACAATACACGAGATATTCAGGAAAACAATACCATAATGAGACGGCTGTCAGAGTGGCTGTTGTTATTCTCTTGGCTACGCTTTCGGGTAAAACACCAGTTCCAGGGTTGACAATATCCACAATTCCCCCAAACATCCATATAAAATGTGACCATATAACTTAGCAAATGAATGATGTTTGCATTATGTTACAGTCAAATTATATCAATCTACTATATATTTACTACTTACTTTTTGTGAGGTTAAGATATAAAGGAAGATAAGATACGATAAAATCTATAAGAAAAGTCTAAATTGTAGAACTTTTTACCTATAACGAAGGGAATAACTAAAAATTATATATCTTGTTTATTTAACTTTTTCTTTCAATACTAAGCACTAAAATAAAATAAGTGAAATATATTAACGGCGTGTTTAAAATACAGGACACAGTCTATCCGTACATATTTATCAAATAATATAATGGAATTTTTCTTTTTCTATCTTTTATAGTACGGCAAGGAATGGGAATCGGCATCAAACATCAACTATTTTTCAACATTATATCCGTAATGGACAAATGATTCAGAACTTCAAGTCTTATAAATATGCCTATTTATTGATATATACTCTTACAGTCCATTGATGAGAGACGATTGCATCTTTAGCTCCTAATTTCTTAACATAAGAACATAAATAGCGTGGCCATAATGTTGTAAAAACGTAACCGTAAATATGACTGAAATTTTATTTTTTGGACTGTAGAAGCCAGAGAAATATCAAATTCAGCACGGCGCCATGCTTCGCTTTGTGTAAAAAGCAACATTTAATAACATAACTTAGATACTAACATGTTCTAGATAATTTGTCATCCTCTATCATTCAAAAGCAAATGCTTGGAAAATAAGAATTGAGAACTTTTGGACTTTTAAGTAAAATTAATTACTTCCAGTTGAAAATGATAAATAATTGTAAACATTATTATTGTTATGTAATGTCTTGCTTTAGATGGACTCAATTTTGTTTGACCTTTTCACAAGCTACATAGGCGGGTCTTGTGCTGCAATTTATGTCAGCCCATTTGAAATTTGCATGCGAATTAAAAGCAGCACAGTCTTAATCGATAAGGTAATTTGACTTGTTTTGTGGTTCTCCATTCGCCCAGTCGAAGAAAGAAACCACATTGTCTGTCCCTGTCATTTTCCAAAGTCCTTCTTTGGCTTCATCAGTCATCCCAATCCAAACCAACGTTCTGAAATAAATTCATATCAACAATTAAACAAAATAAATCATAAAACTGTTTTTAAAAGAAACATTAGCTGTTGTACGAAACGTAGTTTGCCTTAGAAATTAGAAAGTCACATAAAATATACTTATGTGTTAAGTTGTTTTAAAGGAAATCTTAAAAGCAAATTTAAACTACATAATGAGCCGCGCTATGACAAAACCATCAGAATGGGATTGCGACCAGCATGGATCAAGACTAGCCTGCGCATCCGCGCAGTCTGATTAGAATTCATGCTGTTCTCTTACAAACCCTATAACAAGTAGAGAAACTGACAGCAAACAGCATGTATCCTGATCAGACTGCGCGGATGCGCAGGCTAGTCTGGATCCATGCTGATCGCAAACCCATTATGTTGGTTTTGTCATGGCGCGGTTCATATGTGTAACGCTTCGGATGCCGAATTTTGAGAAGACCATATTTATCTCCCTTTAAAATATTGAAACATCTATACGAGAAATGATCCAATATTTCCAATGACACCTCATTTCCTCGAGAAATGTTATATTTAGTAACTATTACTTGCACGTGATGCGGTTCTTTAACTATTGTCACGCGGCAGGACATTTTTACCACATATTTTAAGTAACCACAAAACAAAAAACACGTGGCGGCATGGCTGAGTGGTTTACACGTCGGACTAGTAATCAAATGATTGCTACCTGCATGGATTCAAACCCCATCAGGAGCAAGTCGTTGTTTCTGTGAGCAAGAAACTCGTTGCTCACTGCTGGTTGGTTCAAGGAACGGATTCGAAAGTGTTTTTAAGCTTTTAGCTTAATACACAATCGAACTAAAATTAATTCTGTATATAAAGAAAACACGATCGAGATGTTCAAATGAACCCATATCAGAGTATGCAGATTAATTTATGTCAAGTAAGTTTGATGTCATTTGAACGATGCCATAACATCAAAATTGCAATGTGAACAGTATTTTTAATTTGAAAGTGTTGTCGTCAATTCTTTGGTCGCATAAAAATCAAAGTAAATACAGAAGATGTGTAAATCAACCAAAAGTGAATAATTAGTTATCAGGAAACTTTTATTAGAATGGACAATTTTTTCTGACAGTCCGAACAGCGTAGAAAATTAAGTGGCTGTAATGGAAACAATTTGGAAGAACGACAATACTTAGCTTAGCAGAAAACTGTCTTTAGCTATTTGATATAGCATATTGCACCATGGAGTTAATACTGTACATTTTGTCGTGGACTTTAAGGAAATTTAAAGGTTCAGCATTTAATTCATACTCAATAAATCGTAAGATAATCTCTAGAATATATTAATACATGCAACAGATTTGAATAAAAGTGTTCGTAGTTACACATTTGACATGGTTTTGCTGGGTGTAGACAATTATGTTAATGTTATCATTAATTGTCTTATCATATCATTAATTGAAAAGAATTGACTATATATTTCTTTAATGTAGAAGCAAGCAAAAATTATTTGAAGATGGGATTTGTTTCCCTATTATTTATCCATCACATAAATAGAGTAGCAGTCGAGTTATGATGACTTTTTTTACTTTATGACAGAGTGTGTTCCGCGGTTACGTCATATTTTACGTTTTTGGAGAAGGGGTTTCTTTGGTGTGCTCCTTTGCATTTTGCAAATATAAAGACTTAGTGTAGCGTAAACTATATCACGAAGCAGATAGAAACAACATTATATCTATAAATCTAATGAGACACTTAATCATATTTACCTGCTTTATCTTTATAAACGTTTGGCAATATTCTTTGCAAATATGCATTCTTTTCCTTTGTTTCCAAATGTATCAAATGAGCGTCATGTTTTCTACAGAAACTCTGAATAATAATATATAAGAAGAATGTATAATAAGTTAAAACAAGTTTATCTTTTTTAACATAATCAGATGTTTCATTCGTTTGATGCACAACAAGCTCATCTACACAAACAAAGCATTGAATAAGAAAGATCGGTATACTAGTATTGCCTAACTAATTCATATGATATAATTTGCCAAGCGCAAATAGTTATATTTAACTCACATTAAACAAAACAAGATTTGTTTCAAATGTCTGAGTTGTTATAAAAATGAAACAATCAACATTAGCTACCAATCTTTTCTATTCTTTCAGCAGTATGTATGAATGAATCAGTCGAACAACAATTGCCCATTTGAGGTTCATATACCACGTTTAATGTGAAATGTGTCCCTGATCTTGAGTCTCATTCTTTATCCTTTATAAACATTAGAGAATGAAGTTTGGTAGCTACTAAATAATTCAATCATTTTATAACAAGCTTTCAAGGAAACAAAGAGTACACTATCACAACAGTCGATGATAAAATAAATATACACATTAACGATTTCGAATATTAAAATACATCTCGTCTTTCAGGGGATAAATCAAATGTTCATTGACAACATGTTGAACACATAGAGCATAAACAGATTTTTCTTTACTTGATATCACACCCAAATATATGTAACACATATTGTCGCAGTGATGGGCAATAACCCAGCCAACATTCTATATCGGCCCGACATCAAACCGACATGGTTTTCTAAGACGGCCCGATGTCGGCTTTAACCTCGGCTGCAAATTGGAATGATGTCGGCCCGACATCGGCAGCACAATATCGGGCCGATATCTTACCGATATAGGCCCGATATTTCTTGCCGACATCGGGCCTACATCAAAACAATAGTGGTGCGATGTCAGCCAACAATAGAAAGATATCGGTCCTATATCGACCAGGTATCATCCTTATGCAAGCATGTTGATGACATCTAGCAGCAATCATTTGGCATATCCTGCAAAAACACAAAAATAGAAGATAATCATTTTACAAAATAGATAATAAAGACATATATTTTAACTTAAATGTGCAAATGACAATCACTACCATGCTAATGCATGTCGCGAAATCATGTGACAAATTATTTCAAACATTAATTTTACATCTTAAAAAGAGACAAACAGATAAATTGTATTTTTCCAATAATTTTAAGTGTAAAAATCAAAATTATTAACAGCGTTTACAGATTTGTTGAATATCATTACACTAAAAAAAACATGCAATCACCTTCCTTTGTTAGCTTTTCTTTTTGGCGCTTAATCTGTTAATTGTAGGACTGCAGTGAATATTTTCAAGCTTTTCATTTAAAATATAATAAAAGAGTGATTTTTAAGTAGTCAAAACATAAATATTGAATTAATTACAAACCACATATCATCTCCAACTCAAACTATAATTATTTAGAAATTCATTATCAAATGTACAATTATTTGCTGCATGATTTTCAATTCAACAGAAAACGCAATATCGTACCGATGTCAAATCCGATATACAAAATAGTTTGCATTGATAGGTCATGTAGGCCCGACGCAGACCCGATGTATCTTTTTTTGATATAACACAAAATGTGGTTAATGTGGTTCTAGTAATTGAAATCATACACAGGATAATTTATTCACATTATTAAGTAAACAATGCCATTGCAATTAAATTTTTTCAAAATACTCAATATGTCGGCACTGCAGCGGCCCGACGTCGGCAAGTAGTCGGCATATTTTGCCGACATGCCGACATTAATCCTATATCGGCCCGATATAGTCATGCTGGCTGGGAAGAACTTTCTAAACTATGTGCCTATTCTATATCGTGTCAATTATATTTGATACTTCCTTCCAATTATACTTATACATACTTACATCCGCCGTAGAGAAATTCACAGCAATGAAGCCAAAGAAGAAGAAGGATTTTTTAAACGGAAACCATGTCTCATGGCATTTTTCCGGTTTAACGACTCGTCCCACTGACGATTCGCCCAATAACGCCCCAGTTTATTAACGATTTCCCCACTTGATATCATTAAAAATTATACTCATATATTATTTCATTATATCTCATTTGTGTATTTTTTCATAGAACTTTCAGAGCTATCAGTAATGAAGTAGATTGATGCTATAAATTAGCGATAATAGTTTATTTACATAGATTTATTCCTTACTTAAAGCATATGTGTTGTGTTTTTTCTAGTACTTCTATGTATGCTGAATATATAATGATGTTTTTAAAACTAGGAATTTACATTTTTTAGTAACGCAAGACCTTTCAGTAAAAAGATGATAATTGCAGTGCATCCAACAAATATAATAAAAACTAAACTTATTTTCTTCAAATACAAAGAATATATCATATCCAACGGGGCGAGTTGCTATTGGGCGATTCGTCAGTGTGACGAATCGTTGTGTCATTTCTATTTGATACTTTCTACCAATTATACTAATGAATAATTACCTCCGCTGTAGAGAAATTCACAGCAATGAAGTCAAAGATGAAGCAGGATTCTTTATAGAGAATCCATGAATATGGGCATTTTTCTTGTTGTGGTGTTTTTGATGATAACATAGATTCTGACGTTTTACCTATAAATCACATCGAATTAAGGATTAAATCGAATAACAGCAAAGGCACAAAGACCAGAATGTATTGGCATGGGCACAATGTGATTTACTAGAAAACCGGTAATTCTATGTCTTTGTTAAGGCATCTATAGTTAGTTATAGTCAACACCTTCATTGTTATAAAAAGTAAACGATTAATGATTATTTATTTTATACATTTAAATACTTTAATAGTGTATTTTCTACCTTCAACAGAATTCTCTAATTGTTTGACACGGTTCTTCAAAATACCGATATGTTGCTTGACAGAGACCAGTTCATGTTTGACATCTGCAATCTGTCGTTCTAGATGCTCACTTTCACCATCCCATTCTAAGACTGGGTGTTTAGAATCCTTAACAGTACCATATATTATAATATGTCCGCCTGTCATTGACAGAGTTTGTAAAAACAACAGAATTAATCCTGATATCATTGTTCTCTTTTAAAATTTTAAAAGAAAAAGCAATTTTTGTCGTTGTGATGTCTTTACGTGTGTTCGGTTTGACATCTGTTGTTAAAGTAACAACTTTATCAATTTTCAAAGTTGTATACATGTTAAAGGCCGTTCAACTTATCTTTGGCAAAGCCAACTGTTCTAATCATTACCAGTCGGTTAGCTCAATTGATAAAACGTAAGACTGTGAATTGGGCGACTCGGGATTGATTCCGTGGCAGTACAGGCCACTTTCGTTGTGATTTATCATGTAATCTTTTCTACGGTCATTCGCATGAAAATGAAGGCGCTAGTACTAGTAAACTCTTTCACAGTCTGCCCAGGAACGATGCAGGGGCTGAACATTGTCCTGGTGAATTCAAAGTGGCTTACTGCAGTGTACTAGAGAGTTAACTACCAACACTACCACTTGTTCTAATCAATGTACCTTTTTTATTTCATTTGGTTCTATAATGATGTAAATGGCTAATCAATTGTTTACGTTTTAGGAAATGTGTTTTGTTGTTGATTTTTCCTAATATATCTGTTCTGTGGTGTATGTATTTTTTAAAATCGTGTTTGCATTTAAGTTTGACATAAAAGGTTAATTTGGTGTCTTTTATGAAATGCGTGGTATAAAAATAAGTACAGAACGTAACATCACTTGTATGAAAAATAACAACACTTAGTTTTTATCATTCCACTCATTAAATATCTGTCAAGAAAGAAATATTAATGGGAAAACTATAAAAGACAGACACTTATATTTTCGTTTTAAAAATTATTATTATTTATAATGAAAAAAAAACGAAAAAGAAACATGTTTTCTTATAGTCTAGTGTTGAGTAAAGCACGATTTTATTCATTACAAATGCATATGATACAAAACAAATGAGCCACACCATGACAAAACCAACATAATGGGTTTGCGACCAGTATGGATCCAGACCAACCTGCGCATCCGCGCAGTCTGATCAGGATCCATGCTGTGCGTTATCAGTTTCTCAACTTGTTATATGGTTTGTAAGCGAACAGCATGGGTCCTGATCAGACTGCGCGGATGTGCAGGCTGGTCTGGATCCATGTTGGTCGCTTACAAACCCATTATGTTGGTTTTGTGATGACGCGGCTCAAATGGAAATTATGAGGTTGACGTCCTTTAAGCTCTCAGCAACGTTAACAAGGAGGAAATACTCTTTATGACTATCATTTAAGATTTAAGACAAGATATTCTAAATCAGGAGTTGTTCTTGTTCTTTGTGTTCTTTATCAGCACGTAAATATCTTGACATGAATGCTTTCATATCTTCTTTGAATTGTTTTTGTATTGTTTTAAGATGCATGCATATGTTTCTGTACCTTTTATAAAATTCTTGATTTAGTACAATGTTAGACAGAATAAAAGACTAAATTTTTTAATTTTAAGGGTATCTTCTCGTTGTTTTCCGTCAATCTTCAGATTAGGTCATCGAACACAATGGTAAGTATACACAGAACAGATACGGTATTTCGGTCTTACTAATAGTACATCAGTTAGTATTTTATTGACTATGATTGTAAGACATGTGTTCAATCATAATTTTACCGAAATAGTCTTTATTTTCTTTTGGATATCAAATAAATGCAGTCGTTCTACATTATCACTCTCTTTTTTATTTACATTTAAAACCATGTGGTAGAACTACTTTCAATCTATCTTAAGGGTATTAAGAATAAAATCCGACGTGCTCCGATTGATGGCGTGTGTGTTTGTTGGGATGTTTTCTATTGTATCTACACTGACAAAGTAAGCTCTTTTGGCACAGTAGGACCAACACGATCCAATCCAATGTACAGTATGTCAGGCTTTTGCGAGTGCCTTATGTTATAATCGATGGTCTTTCGTAGACTTACGCTTTTTGAACCTACCTCAGTGATTCTATTTATAGTAACATGAAAATTCCTGTTTTATTTCTAATTCATTTGTCTCTATAACTGGAATTATTAAAAGCATAAATCAAACTTCAAAAGCAGCCAGATGAACAAGTGCTTACAATTAAACTAGACAAAGTGACAAACAAAAGAAAACTAAACGTGACAACAAAATTGAATCTGAAGATGATATGAATATTTGTTTGAAATTATCTTTTTTGTAGGTAAAATGACAAAGTACGTGAGTTAAGACAGCTATTCATGAGTTATCAGTGTACTTTTTCAAAGATTGGATTTGCAACATATAAAATGTGATATTTTATCATATTTATTCTCCTTTCCAATTTTCTTCACAGACAGGACGAGCTGTTGATGTGCATGAAATATCTCCCCATTTGTAATTGTGTTCTTGCGCAAATCTGGCACAATTTTCTGTCCTTGTACCGCTTGGTTCTCGGCTATTTGCCCAGTCGAAAAACGAAGTGGTTTTGTTTTCCCCAGGTAACATCCATACGTTTTCTGTCTCAATGTCTGTCATGCCTATCCAGTAATGTCTACGGGCTACAATAAATAAAACTAAATTTAAATTAATTTCTTCTTTATGTCAACCGGCCATCAGACAATACAGATTCGTAAACCTTAGACATAAATGACAAGAGCATAGTTTATGAAAAATTTTATTATCACATAACATGTAATTTACTCATCTACAGCACTTTTTCATTTTATGCACATGTATGTTTTAGTTTGATACATTCATTTTTGACCATTATCATCTATTTGCTTGTTTTTATAACCTATAAGATATTTTCATCGGGAAACTTACTTCCATAAATAAGTATTCAAAGCTAATGCCAAAGAGAAACTATTATTTCACAACTTAGAAAATGTAACCAATGGACTTTTAGCATTTGCACCATGTAAACTTCGAGTGAATATCATTTTTGGATCAAATCTAATAATCCTATCAATAAAGCCTTGTTTTCATTTTTTGAGTCCAATAGCAAATACATGTTAAACTCGATCTCTTGTTTCAATTACTCTTGGTTAATTCTTACATATTCGGGGCACTGAATGTATGGCATTTCGACCACAACGAGCCTTTTGCGTGTAAGAGGTTCTATTAAAATGTTAAAAGTATGACGAAATAAGACAGTGGCTATAATATTTAATCGGCGAGTGTGATATGAAAAGTTCATTATATATTGTTCACTCAAAACTGATTCTACTGTACTTGTCAGATCTAAAAACCTATATTTGACAGGGTGCTATCAGTATTTCATATGTCTATGTACTCCACTAAAAGAATTCAAATTAATGATCAAATAATGAATAATAAACTTAGATAATATAACACCCAAGTTACGCAGAGTCATCGGTGATTGATCGGTAGTTTTTTTTAGCCAAATTATGGAGTGAACCGATGACAACGTATTTAACACCGATATCACCTATTGGTCACCTGTTTTCCACCTATCAACTGCTATTGGGGAAAGATAAGTTTCATCGGTGAAAAATTACCGATTGGGACTTTTTAACATGTTTAAAATTCTCGATCGGTGAAAATATTTTACAAATAACCGACGACTTCCTATATCACGAGATATGCAAGCTCTTAATCACCGATATCGCCGATCGGACAAAGATAACCAAATATGAATCACCGGCCATATCTGACGGAAAGTGTTTAACAACTGATGACTAGCTATCAAACACCGATTAATCAGCGTTACCCCCGATTTAGCTCCGATTTACAAACGATAAAAACCGATAGTATTTCAGCATTTTTATCACCGACCCAACCCCGTTTGAATTTGCTTTCTGTCACCGATGGCCGTTTACACAGAAAAACCAGAAATAAAATCACGCAAGACAACCGATCATAACAGCGAGTAAATTTAAAATCAAATGACCGATTGGCGACCGACCGTCTGTGTAACTGGCCCCTAACAAAAGACGTATACGATAAGGCAAATGTTCGTATACATACAAATTACTTACAATAACTATGGTTCTGCATGAATTTCTTTAGAAATATATTTTCATTGTGACTATCGACATGGACCAAATGTGCCCGAAGAGATTTGCAATATTGCTGAAAAGAGATACATACTTTTCCAATACAAAAATGCACTTAATGGTGAATTTGCATGGCTTTGGCGAATTTTAAAATTATATCATGCAATATTGTATCCATATTGTTTTTATTTTTTATCTATTTATTGTTTTAGGTTTTTTCAAACATATTAAGTATTAAACTTCGGCAGTCACACAGTCTTTATCATCGTTATCTTTTGATGTGCATGCATTTAAAAAAAAATATGTGCATTTCCATAAGAAACGTGATTAGTCTTGATAATAGCAAAGATATAAGGCATATTTTTAAAGTTTTGTTGTCTATACGTTCAAAAGAATTCTGTTCCTATTTCAAAATTCTATCCGTATTTATCTGGTATTTTTTGTTCAGCTTGTATGGCACTAAATAATAATTCCATTTGATAATGAAAATAATGATAATAAGAAAAATAAAATCTAAAAGTATATTTAACAACTTACTACGAGCAAAACACAATAGAGTGTAAATATATGGTATTACTTACATCAGCACGAGCATAGTTGACTTCGTTTGAACCAAAATAGTAGCAAGACCCTCCATACGCCATCCAGCCATCAAGGCATGGTGTTCTTGACGATGCTAAATGACCTGCATACATAAAACATAAATTTGCGCCAAATGATAACTGATAATTGACAACATAGGAATTAAGTTTTCAAAACTGTATTGCATTATAATACCAACCTGTGGTTTTTATTTTAAGGTTATGCGACTATCTGAATTTGGAGCTCGAGCAGATTTACAAATCTAAGATAGCATTCAGGACAGCAGTTAATCTTTAATACCATGGCGACGAATAATATCTTTTAAAACTAAGCGTATATATAAATAACACATATATTTATAGAAACAGAAACTGTACAGTTTTGTACTTTGAAAATCAATTGTTAGAAATACGTTTTTTAATTGTCACAGTCAATGTTATAATGGATTTCTAAGTTTAAAAAAATCCGCAATGGAAAATCTACCAGCATTACTGCTTATCTGTTAAGTTAATTTAATGACATAGTAACCAAATAAATACTTAAGTATATATTATTGCAGCTTAAACGTGAGTAAGGGGTAGCTGAAAGTTGTCTTTCAACATTAGTCATACAACAATATGAGTAAATGGTATAATCATGCGTGTTTTATATCTAACAACGATATCACTAAACAGATGTTTACTTACGACGACATATTTCTAATTGTTGCTAAAAGCAAGAAAAACAAGAAATGTGCTTATGAACAAGAGTTGGATATTTACATGTTCATCAAATAAATATTGTTAAATTGTGTTAAAACATAATTCATCAACCGTGAACTAAGCTTGTCTGAAAACTGAAATAAAAAAAATATCATTTCAAAAGTGCATTCCGTATACCTTTTCGAATCTCTAAATTATCGACACGGTTTTTCAAGAGACCAATCTGTTTGTTGATAGAGACCACGTCCTCTTTAACATCTTCAATCTCTAGTTCTAAATTTCCACTTTCACCATCCCATTTTACGACTGGGCGTTGAGAATCTCCACCTGTACCATATATTATAATATGTCCGTCTGTCATCGAACAAAATTGTAAAAATAACAGAATAATTCCTGAATTCATTGTTCCCCTCAATGAAAGATATGTGATATTTAGTTGTGATGTTTTTATTACTTTTACAGTCTAGCGACCGTTGTTATACTAACAAGTGTATTAATCGTCTGCAAAGTTTTATAATACTTACTATCAAAGAGAGCAACTTATATTAGGCAAAGCCAAATAATTGTTAAAATCATTTATATGTATCCATACTCAATGGATTTGTTCCAGAAAATTATTTATCTAGTGTTTTTTCTTATTAAGCTGACTATCCCAAATTCTTTTATAGTATATGGTGTTTATGTATATAAGGTAGCATCACTTGAAAATAATGGCATGTTTTTATCATTTCCCCAATTATGTATGTTTTAGACAACCAGGACAAAGTATGAACTATGTATTTCTTTTATTATTGAAAACAGTTATATTTACTTTATTTTTTTTTATTATTTTTTTAGTTTTATTTTTCATATAATTTATATATATTTTAATTGAGTCTTATGCCAAAATGACACAATTTAGGTCATATTGTCAATTTCCAGCTTTAGTGGTGCATTATTTCCGACAGGAAGGGGCTCCTGAGTAGAGCCACAGACATACCGTTAATTTGCTGGTTACCTTCCTTACATGAGAGAATACACACACACTGGCTGGTTTTGAAAAGAATTGGAAACAAAGTGATCCCTCGGAAGCATAAATCACAACAAAATTACAAGAGAATTGCAGGCTCGGTTTGATTGAGGCTCTACACGAGGGATAATGAATACGTGCACCATCCCTCACGCCCCCTTACACCGGCTTGAGCGGTACTAAATTCTCAAAACTCAATAATGCTGGCACCAATGATCCCGAATGACCAGAAAAACAACAACACTGAAGTGAAATACGGGGAAACTTTTTACAGCTGCCACACAGCACTTGACACCTGCTGTTGTGAAGTATAAAAATCTGGAAACAAAGTGATCCCTCAGAAGCATTAATCACAACAAAATTACAAGAGAATTACAGGCTCTGCTGTTGTGTAGTATAACCCACAACGATGAGGTAAGTGGTTCGCAGCCAACGACCTTAACAACTTACCAGCGGGACACCTTAGAGCCCGATGGAGTTTCAATACTGGTATGCCTAAAATATATAGTTTGAATACAAAAAAAGTTAAGAATAGCAATAGGTCTGACAGTAAGTGATGCACATCTTAAATTTAACTTTTTCTTTAGATGAATATTATGTTATTGATAATAAGAAGCGGAGAAACCAACTTAAGCAAAGCGCTGCCTAGACTACAGACTGTCAGTAACCCCTTACCCAAGGTGTGATATTTGTTTAGTAAAGCATTATGTTATTCTTTAAAGTTTATAATAATTAACAAACAAAAACAAGTGGAGATTATTATATTGACTTCCTCTACAACACATGCAACATCAACAAGGAAAATTATAACATTTTGGATTATCTTCCGCCTATGTTATGATGTAAAAACCAATGTCTTCTAAATTTACAATTGTTTCATCGACACGCGATGATCTTAAATGTTTGTTTTCAGAGTCTTTGTTAAATAATGAAATACACATGTATATAAAAGTTTACATTTGAAAACACTTCCTTATTTATGACGATTTTTATACAACAAAACAAATATTTTGATAATTTTGTGTGCATTTGTTGTAACTTTTTTTAAATCTTCTAACGACACTTATGAGGTCTACAGCAGCCAGGATTTTAATTGTCAGTGCAACACCCGTATCCTGCAGCAAACGTACAACATCACAGAGTTCTTTTAAATGCTTGTATAAGGAAAACATTTTCTATATAAGAAATATTCAAACATATACTCGTATCAATTTAAGAAAATATAGGTATTATTTTCCAACATAAGGCTTTGCACAATACTTATTCTTATTACTGGAAAAAGGGGTTCAAAATTTTCCTTTCAGATGTATTGAAATTTTAAAACGTTTTCTATGATTTTAAAAAGTGATAACATTTGACAATATATTTAAATTTTGCAGTTTAACTGTCTATGAAAACAAGTTCTCACTATTGTATTGTATGTAAAATTAAGTTTTCTCAAATATTAACTAACAATAATATCAAATTTAAGACTCTTCCAAAAGAAACATACAAAGAAATTTACTATATGACTAATATTGTCCCTTGTTGCAATCGGTCTAAACACGGCCAAGTGCCTTTCCGTGAATAAGACACTTTGTGATAATATTCAATCCTGTAATATAAAGAGCACCGAAACACGAGGCTATCTGATTTGTACGAGGGGGGGGGGGGGCGTAGCCTCCGAGTATAAATCAGATTGCCGAGTGTTTTGGTGTTCTTTCTCTTTTGTATCATATTCAAACATAACAGCACGTTCCCTGTTTTCATACCATGTTATGATAGATGACAAGATATTCTAAATTTAGAGTTGTTATTATCGTTTGTGTTCTTTATCAGCACGCTGGCATCTTGACATGAATGTTTTCAGATCTGTATTTGTATTGTTTTAGGTGCATGCATATGCTACTGTACTTTTTATGTAACTTATTAATTTAGTACAATTTATGTTAGACAGAATAAGACTAATTTTTTTTCAATGGTATCTTTAATGGTATTTTTCCGTCAAACTTCGGATAAGGACCTCGATCATACATGTCATAATAGTAAGTATACACATATGCATGCAGAACGGATATTAAGGTATTTCGGTTTTACTCTAACCAAGAAACTAAACACGTAAATAAGTAGTAATTTAATGCTAGGAAATGTTGACTTATTTTATTCGGGTAAAAATCAGTCTAGATCAGTAAATTTATAGATATTTATGTCAACCGAACATTTTTTTATATACATGTACTTATTAATCTTGTTATAGAAATCGAAAGTACGAAATGTCTACCTGTTGACATTGATTCGGATTTGATTATACTTGTACATCAGTGGGTATTTTTATTGTCTATGATTGTCAGACATATTTCAATCATAATTTTACTGAATTAGTCTTTATTTTCTTTTGAATATATCAAATATAAGCAGTCGTTCTACATTATCAAAGATTACACTCTCTTTTTTTCTTTTTTGTTTACATCTAAAACCACGTGGTAGAACTACTTTCAATCCGCATTAAGTCCGAGGTTATTACGATTAAAATCCGAGGTGCTCCGATTGAAGACGTGTGTGTGTTTGTTTGGATGTTTTCTATTTTATCGACACAAACAAAGTCTGCAGCGGCCAGCAAGCTCTTCTGGCACCGTAGGACCAACACGATCGAATTTACAGTGTATCAGGATTCTAATAGTGTCTTATGTTATAAACGCTGGTCTTCCGTGTATTGAAGCTTTTTGTGGATTCTAACCCACTCGTGATTCTATTTAAAGAAACATCCGGTTTTATTTCTAAATGATTTGTCTCTAAAGACCTACAAAAAGTATTTATCAAACTTCAAAAGCAGCCACTCGTGACAAACAAAAGAAAACTAAAAGTGACAACAAAAATGAATCTGAAGATGATATAAATATGTGTTTCAAATTATCAGTTTAATTTTTTAACAATGGGATGTGCAACATATAAAATATGATATTTTATAATATTTAATCGCCTTTCCAATTCTCTTCACAGGCAGGGCGAGCTGTAGATGTGCATGCGACATCTCCCCATTTGTATTGGTGTTCATACGCAAATCGGGCACAATTTTCTGTGCGTGTACCGCTTGGTTCTTGGCTAGCTCCCCAGTCGAAAAACGAAGAGGATTTGTTTTCCCCAGATAACTTCCATACGTTTTCTGTCTCAATGTCTGTGATGCCTATCCAGTAATGTATACCAGCTAGAATAAATAAAACTAAATTTGAATTAATCTCTTCTTTATGTCAACTGACCATCAGACAAAATGCCGATATATAAACCTTAAGACTCAAATTACTTAGACAGTGCATATTTTATGTATAACTTTATTATTACATAACATGTACTTCACTCATTTATAGCAGTTTTCCATTTTATATGCATGTATGTTTTTGTATGATAATTCATTTTTAACCATTATCATCTATTAGCTGTTTTTAAACCTATAAAATATTTTCATCGGCAAACTTACTTAATTATTTCACATTTAGAAAATGTAACTAATGGACTTTCAGCATTTGCACCATGTAACCTTCGAGTGTATATCATTTTTGGATCAAATCTTATAATCCTATCAATTAAAATATGATAAACAAGATCAACAAGGAAGGGTGGCGTTCAATGAACGCAACCCCCAAGTTTAAGTTAAGCCTAGTTTTCATTTTTCGAATCTAATATCAAATTCATATTATACTCTATTTTTTGTTTCAATTATTTCTGCTTAACTCTTACATATTCGGGGCATTTTTAATGTACAAGTTCACTGTGACTGTATGCCATTTCGACTACAACGAGCCTTTTGCGTGTAAGAAGTTCTGTTAAAATGTTAGAAGTATGACGAAATAAGACAGTGGCTATATAACTTTTAATCGGCGAGTGTAATATAAAAAGTTCATTATATATTGTTCACATAAAACCTGATGATACTTGACTTGCGCACATTTAAAAACCTATATTTGACAGGGTGCTATCAATATTTCATATGTCTATGTACTCTACCAAAAGAATTCAAATTAATAAACAAATAATGAATAATAAACTTAGATAATATAACATAATACATAAACGATAAGGCAAATGTTTGTAAACATGCGAATTACTTACCACGACTATGATTCTGCATGAATGTCTTTAGAAATGTATTTTCATCTTTATCTTCGACATGAACCAAATGTGCTCGAAGAGATTTGCAGTATTCCTGAAAAAAAAATTACAAACTTTTCCAATAAAAAAATTCGCTAAGTGGTGAATTTGCATGGATTGGTGACTTTTAAAATTATATAAGGTAATATGGAATCTATACGGTCTATAGATTATTATTATAATAATAATTATTATTATTATTATTAAAAACATATTAAGTATACAAGTTCGGGCATTCACACAATCTTTATCCTCATAAATTTTTGATATGCATGATTTTTTTTTCAATTTATGTGCGCTAGATCTTCCAATGAAAACTACAAAAAAGAAATGTGATTAGTCTTGATAATAGCATAGATATTTGTTTTTTCTTTAGTTTGGTATGATAACATTACTTACATCAGCACCAGCATAGTTGACATTGGTTGAACTCAAATAGTAGCAAGACCCTCCATACGCTATCCAACCATCGAGGCATGGTGTTCTTGACGATTCTAAGTGACCTGTGTATATATATATATATATATATATATATATATATATATATATATATATATATATATATATATATATATATATATATATATATATATATATATATATATATATATATATATATATATATATATATATAAGTCATAAAGTTGCACTGAACGATAACTGATGTTTGACAACATACGGATCCATTTTTTTAGGATTAAGTGATCGAAAAGGTATAACATTATATTACCAAAACATGTGGCATGTTTTTTATTTTAAAGTAATGCAATTTTATGAATTTGGTGTTCGAGCGGACTGACAAATCCAAGATGGCGTTCGGGACAGCAGGCAATCTTTTAATATCATGACGACAAATAATATCTTTTAAAACTTAAGACAAATCTGTAAACAACACATATATTTATAGAAATAAAATATTTATTTTGTACATCAATGGTGTGAGAGACTTAGTGTTGTCACAGTCAATGTCAAAATGAATTTCTAAAATAAAAATCTGCATTGGAAAATCAACCAGCATTACTGCTTATCTGTTAAGTTAATTTAATGTCATAGTAACCAAATAATAACGTAAATATAAAGTATTGCAGCTAAAACGTGTATAAATGGTAGCTGAAAGCTGTCTTTTAACATTACTAATAAAACAATATGAGTAAATGTTATATTTCTGCGTGTTTTATGTCTAACAACGATAACACTAATACAGATGTTTACCTTCGACGACATATTTCTAATTGTTGTTAAAAGCAAGAAAAACAAGAAATTTGCTTAGGAACAAAAGTTGGATATTTACATGTCCATCCAATAAATACTGTCAACTTGTGTTAAAACATAATTCATCAACCGTGAACTAAGATCGTCTGAAAACTGAAACGTATCATTTCAAAAGTGAATTCCGTCTACCTTTTCGAGTCTCTAAATCTTCTACCCGGTTCTTCAAGACACCGATCTGTTTATTGATAGAAATCACGTCCTCTTTAACATCTTCAATCTCTCGTTCTAAATTTGCACTTTCACCATCCCATTTTAAGACTGGACGTTGAGAATCCCCACCTGTTCCGTATATTATAATGTGTTCATCTGTCATCGAACAAAATTGTAAAAACAACAGAATAATTCCTGAATTCATTGTTCCCTTCAATGAAATCTAAGTGATAATTGGTTGCGATGTTTTTATTACTTTAACAGTCTGGCGACCGTTGTTGTACTAACAAGTGTATTAATTGTCTGCAAAGTTTTATAATAAAGCAACTTATATTAGGCAAAGCCAAATAATTATTATAATCATTTATATGTATATAAAGGTATATACTCAATGGGTTTGTTCCAGTAAATTGTTTATCTAGTTGGGTTTTTTCTTATTAAGCAGACAATCCCAAATAAGAACTTTTTAAAAGTTTTTTTTAAGTATATGGTGTTTATATGTAAATAGGGTAGCATCACTTGAAAATAATGGCATTATAATGTATGTTTTAGACAACCAGGACAACGTAAAAACTATGCATTTTTTATTTTTGTTTTATTTATTTACTTTGTTTTATTTTCTATTTTATCTTTTTTTTTAATTTTAATTTTCGTATATGTATTTTTCGGTTGAGTCTTATGTCACAATGACATACTTTAGGTCATATTGCCAATTTCCAGCTTTAGTGGTGGCAGAAGACCTTAGGTGCCACATTGTGCATTATTTCAGATAGGAGCGGGCTCCTGAGTAGAGCCACTGACATACCGTTAATTTGCTGGTTACCTTCCTTACATGAAAGATGTTCTTTTCTACATGAAATAATACACAGTCCCTGGCTGGTTTGGAACCCACAGCGATGAGAGAAGTGGTTCGAAGCCAACGACCTTAACAACTTACCTGCGGGAGACCTTTGAATATGAAGTGACAGCTCGATGGAGCTTCAATACTGGTATGTTTAAAATTAAGTTATTTGAACAGTTTTTTTAAAGTTAAAAAAAAACAATAAGTCGGACAGTAAGTGATGCACATCTTGATTTAAACTATTTCTTTAGATAAATATTATTGATAATAAAGAAGCGGAACAACCAGCTGAAGCAAAAGGATGCCTTGACTACAGAAAGCTCCTTACCCACGGGGTGATAATTGTTTAGTAAAGCATAATGTTATTCTTTAAATGTATAATAATAAACAAAACAAAAAAACAAGTGGAGATTATTATGTTGACTTCCTTTAAAACACAAGCAACATCAACAAGGAAAATAATAACATTAATTATAATAACATTATCTTCCGTCTATGTTTTGATGTAAAACCAAATAGAACATACAAAGAAGTTTATAATATGACTAACATTGTCCCTTGTTGCAATCGGTCGAAACGCGCCTGTCCGGTCACATGTCTGTCCATAAATAGTGGCATTGTCATCAAACGAAAACGACATTCATTTAAACTACAAAATACGGCATAAGCATAGCGGCATGACTTATTTCTTTATGTTATGTCGCTTGTCAATTGTACTTTTTAAATTGCACACGAAATGGAAAAGAATAGTGAAATATATGTATATTAGCAACTTAAAATAACATATTATAGTATAGGCAATTTAATAATAAGTATTAAAAAGAAACTGGTCGGTTATATTCAAACCATATACCTAAACCTCGATTATAGTACGGAAATGATTGGTCATATGTATCCATTGTTTTTAACACAATATCTGTAATTTGCAATGTTCTTATGCAAATGAATTAGCTCTAAAGCTTTGTGAATATGCACATAATGCCCATTGATATTTTCATTTGCACGGAAGGGCACCTGGGTTCTCCTCAACTACTAAAGCTTCAAAGTCGCCCAATGACATAAATTGTGTCGGTGTGAGTTAAAATGACATTATGCCCATCTAAAAGTATATAGTGAGTGAACAGGTGAGAGTCAAAATAAAATTTCATTTTGCCAAAATACCTTTTGATTTAATAATTTACTTCGCATAAACAAAAAATAACCGCATAAACAATAAATAGCCACCGGATTCATACAAAATTTCAGTAAATATCATTTAGAATTTACCTGTACCGTTCAGTATAAAAAAGAGTGGGGCAGTCTTTTTATATTTTAGGTAGATTTTAAATTTTATCCTAAACATTTTCCAATATAATCTGTTTGTCAAACATCATTTAAACAGTTAATCTCTTGAAATATAAAGTTAGTTCAGGTCAACTTGACAATAAAAATATTAGCATAATTTCACTTTAAAGCCAGACCTGGAGAAATCAAGACTTGCAGTCAATTTTGGAAGACGATTACATCTTAAGCTGTATAAAGAACATACATGTACATGACAAGATCGCTATATTGTTCTTAGAAACAACTGCTTATATGCATTTTTGCTTCGGTGTATTGTGTAAGCCAGAATGTGCGTAAACCATGTAAACCAGTGACTAATTGAAAAAGGCAAAATAAATTCAATGTGTCACTCACTTTCGCTATGGACTCAAAATACCTGACAGAAACTTAATGCCATGTCGAAGTTTTCCCAATCTTTGAATTTTGAATGCATCTTCAAGCTGCGCAATGTTTTGTGCAAAATAGGTCAGCTTATAAATTAATGACTTGACACTTTACAAGAAATCAAAAACAGAAGGCATAAATAATCGTATGAAATGACATAAATTGGAAATATGACCATACGTAAGTTTTCTTCTATCGTTAACTAAAACACACAAAGGTGAGTGTCACGCTCGACTAACTGCCTTCGAGAAATACATGTATTTAAGGTAGATTGTGAAGGAAACTTCTTGCCCCGTTTCCGTTTCCTGGACCCAACCAGTACTAGTGTCATCTGATAAAGCATAGCCGGAACAGAAGAATTTTAAAACAATACTTAGATCACTAGTTAAAGCAAAACTGTTGCGTTACATTATCATGCCAAATGCTAAGTACAACTAACAATAACGTAGATCTTGAACTAATGTAAATGACTTGTCCGTGAATTCGTTAGATGGTTTCAGTATCGAAAACTAAACTAGTTCACAGAATTTGACGCGCGGGCTGGCCTAGCTCTATAAAATTACTATTACTGAAATGTCGCTATTATGTGATTTTTGATAGTCAATTCAGCACATCTGACAATGGAAATATGACCATAATGTGACTTTCATTATATAACTTATTTAAATTATATCAACTTAAACTGTACATCAAAATAGAGCAAACCACAATCTCTAACGAACGCTCAAAGCCACATTGCAAACCCGTTTGGATTGAGCCGCCTGTGCAAGCAAAGTATTAGTAGTAATTGCATTCTACTATTCACGCCTCCTAACACTGGCTTAAGCAAAAGTTTACATATAAACTTGGCGAAACTTTAAATAAAATATATCAGTAGGTGTGTCAAAGTTATATTTTAATCATAAACATTTATTGCGTTAATAAACGCACAGGGTAATTGGAGAAAGAACTATAAGCGCACATTCAAACAGTGAATTCGGAGATGTCTTTTAAAACAAACAAGTTCTGCTATTAATCTATGTAATGATACTAAGTATGTATTTATTCAATGGTACACACGACTTAATAAGTTATATACAAATTAAATAGGCACATTTAACGCGAAAATATCCTCAGTTCCTTTTTGTAATTTACGGGTTCATTTAAGACTGCTTGAATTTTTCTCACAAACCGCTCGAATTTTCCAGGTGCACGGCGCATCAGCCCAACTGAAGGAATTGACAGGATAAAATTATGCACAATCTTCATTTCCTCCTGCATTATTTGGTTAATTGCCTTTCCAGTCTGTGAATGGTACAATTTTGTTTGTGCCTGATATCTTCCACAATCCTTCTGTTTCTATGTCTGTCATACCAATCCAGTAATTTGTGTCTGAAATTTATAGTATGTAGTTCAGAATATAATGTTTGACTTGAATATATCTTTTTAAATTCTACCATTTCTTGCAATCATTTTTTTTTCAATTTTTGAAGAAAACTTAAAATTATATCTCACCTTTAAAATATTGGCCATGAATGATTTTAGAAATATATTTTCTTCTTGTGTCTCTAAACGTACTACATAAGCTTCCCATTTACCACATTCTCTCTGAAATACCGCAAAATTACAAAATAATACATATTCAAGGTATATTTATATCAGAAGCTATACAGAACATACGTATGTCATTTTTGCCATTGAAATATAATCTGAAAAAAGCTCTACGTTGTCATTGAACCAAACGTGAATACAAATACCTTGTGTCTTTATATTGCAACAGTGTTTATGGTAAGATATCCGCTGTTAACATATTTGCTTTTGTAGTTTTTATATTTTTTTTATTTTTATTTGTTTAAAACTTAGGCTTTCCATAACAGTACTTTATCCTTGCAAACCGTTTGGTAAATTGTACGATAACAAAAGGTCTATATGCCAATCAAGGAAAATGAGACACATAACTAATTATATAAAATGAATTCTTTCAAGAAGCATACATAATTTCTAGACATGGCTTCTCTGTTCTTAAACCCATATCATTCATAGTTTAAAAAGGCAAATAGTAAATAATGATAAAATTATTTTTTATTCTCAAATGTCAAAGTTTTGATTTATATATCCTTCAATGTTTGTAACGAATATAAAAATAATAAATGCCAACATCAAAGACTAGAATAATTCAATAATGTTTATCGATTAACTAGTTGACATTTGAACATTCCACATATTTAAGATAACAATAGAAATATAGATATAGACTCTGAAAATAGTAGTAGCACAAGGTGCCTCAGCTGATTGAAAATCGAGTTTTTTTGTGTCAAACAAATAACACGAATCTTTAAATGTGATCCAGCCGTCCAAACATTTCATATTTCTTGGCATCACTGACGTCAGGTTTCCTGCAAATAATTAATAATGTCTCATTAAGAACAAAAAATCTAAGTTAGTATCTATAAGTGATTTTGCTTGTCTTTTCTTATATATGTGAATAAATTTACATATCTTGGTATAGTTTTTTCTTGTGGGGGTCTTTTGAACACACATATGATGCATTGTCAGGTCAAGCATTAAAAGCTATTTTCAAAATGAAACAATACTTACAGAAATTTACTTATATAGATATAAAACATAAAATTGAATTGTTTGACAAGTTAATTAAACCGATTTTATGTTATGGATGTGAAATATGGGGCATGAATAAAGCTGATAAAATAGAAAATATACATACACATTTTTTGAAAAATATTTTAGGGGTAAAATTACAAACCCAGACTAATTTTGTATACGGCGATTTAGGTAGAATGCCTTTAAAACAACAAAGAATATTACAAGTTTTAAAATTCTGGTTAAAGATAATTAAATACGATAACGTGAAACTGATTAAACAAACATTCAATTTGATGCTTGAAGATATTGAACGAAACAATGAAATTACTAATTGGGCAACATCTGTAAGAACAATTCTTGAAAATTTAGGCTTAAATTATGCATGGATATTTCAAGAAATAGGAAATGAAAACATTTTTATAGCAGAAATCAAGCGAAGACTTGAAGATAATTTTATTCAAACCTGGATGTCTGAAGTTGAAGCTTCACCCAGGGCCGACACATATAAACTTTTCGCTACTTTCGGTTTTTCGAAATACATAGAACAAATTAATATCACTAAATACCGGGCTGCTTTAACAAGATTTCGTTTATCGTCACACAGATTGTATATAGAAACCGGCAGATGGCATAAACCGCATCCGATTCCAAGAAATGAACGCAAATGTATCTTATGTAACACACTAGAAGACGAATTTCATTTTCTTTTAGAATGCGAATTATATAAAGATTTAAGAATTAGATATATAAAACAATATTTTCGAAAAAGACCGAATATTCCAAAGTTTGTTGAACTTATTTCCAGCGACCAAAAACAAATAAATACAAATCTTGCCATATACTTATTTAAAGCCATGGAACGCCGTAGCATAGTTTTATATTAAATGTGAGTCACTTTTCTCCACAAAATATATTTTTACATTTTTCTCTTGTGGAAGACTCTATTTTGATGTATTAATTTTTGTATACGTGTGCATGTGTGTATGTGCGTGCGTGTGTGTGTGTGTGTGGGTGCGTGTGTGTGCGAAGTTTTTTAATTCTCATGTTTAATATTCATTGTATTTTTCAAAATCTTATTGACGTTGACTATAATAGGTGTATAACTGTTTGAAAATTTGAGAAGATTTATATAAAAGCATTTATGATACTGTTGTTTCACCAATCGCCTCTTATAGTTTGCAAACTGATAATGATTGCATGCAGTGATGATTGATATTTTTTACGATCTCATACATTTATGCTGATTTATATAGAATTGGACCGCCACTGATTATTTAAAAAAAAAAAAAAAAACTTGTATTATATGTATGTATATATGTACTCACAGGTATTTGCCTTTTGTTCAATAAAAATTATTATTATATGTGCTTCAATAGTACCATGGTTGAAATAATTTATAATAATGATTTATATGTTTGTATGCTATTGTATATTAACATGTCTGTCTAAATGTTTATGTAAATATTGTCAAAATTAATGCATTTCTCATGCCGATCGCAAATTAAATTCAAAACATTGGATTATGAAGAAATAATTACTAGTACTTTGCTATGAATATATTCACTTTACTAGTCCCACATTACACAGCAAAATATACGTTGTATAGAATATTTGTCTTTTTTTAAGATCTGGTAGGGTCATCAACTTCAGATATATGCTTACATTTATCTTTATTACGACAAATAAGATTGTTTATGAGACAATACACATTTTATTAAGTCTTTAAAGTTTGATACATGTCAAATCTCACTTTTAATGTAAAAATATCTAAAAACAGTTTTACCTTCCTTTCGACTTTCTAAGACATTCAGTCTGGAAAATATATTCTCCAACATCTTCTTAACAGTGGCAAACGGTGTTCCAATGTCCACGTTTTTATCAGAGTCATGTGGTACAAATCGACAATTTACCATTGTAACAACACAGAAAAGCGATGCTAATATAAACCAAATGTTCATAACCATTTTGTTGTTAATTTTAGTCCAAAGCCAAAAGCGATTACAACTTAGAGAAAATGTCAGTCGAATGGATTGGGTAACAACTGAGTAAAGGGCGTAATAATATAAAGTTTGCTTGTTTATATAATAGATACATTATTCTTCCTTTTGTAAGTTATAAACATTAATTATTTCATACGGGCCTTTTCATCTTCTTGTTCTTTCACAATAGGATAGTTAAAACAATTAGGTAAATAACATTGGACTGTAACAAAAGTTTGTATACAAATATTTCAATGAATAATGAGGGTCGTGAATTCTGTCAATCTTTCGTGCCGACAAAATTATCTTGATGATGAAGAATGCCTTAGGGAAATAAAATGGCTGTAGATCGTTGTTTTTAGATATCTGTACAGAAGAAACTTGTCATGTCTGAGCCAAATACAATATCGCAATATCTTTCATTCAACAGATAAAATAGCGAGATCTAAAATTTTCATGAGTGAAGTTACTGCTAATGATAACCAAAACATATTCTTCTGTAGGCCCGTACCAACACTTACTTTGATTTTTTGCTTATCTCCTTCGAAAAACTCCTGGTAAATTCGTCCAGCTAGAAATAAGATCCTAATTAGTAACAAGCGACATTAAAGATAAATCTTCACGAGGCTCTAAAACAGACCCAAGGGAACATACTTTGATATTTTGATTATCAAAAGTGTCATCGTATTGTCTGTGTCTACGGTTAAATGTAGTTATGAATATTTCTGCTACAACAACATAAAATCACAATCTGAAGTAGTAGATCCTGATGTCTACAAAACGAGTACAACTCGTTTATTTGTTATGTTCCCAAACATCAAATTCTTTTATTTTAGAGAAACAAGTTTGACAGTCAAACATCTCTATTTCTTCCTTATAATTCAGTCTAGTTCAACTGATTTCCTAGCAATTCATTTGTAAGAACTATATAATTATAAGACATTTAAAGCCTTGACCGTTCGAACTGTTGCATACTAAAATTTATAGTAGTATGATAAACATATATTATGTCAAAATGTGAGCTCTTGTTTCTTTTTGGTTTACTTATACAAAGAAACAAACATAGATATATTCAAACGACGGTGATCATGTTAACTTCAATGTAAAATGATCCACGTCAAATTGCGTAAGATGCCCACAAATAGAAAAATGATCCTTTCAGAACGCGCAAAACGGCAAAATTGAAAATGTTGCAGTATCTGTTTGATTGTGCCTGTTCGTGGATAGTATTGAAAAGAACAAACTACCGTCCACGTACCTAGCAACTGTTTAAGCTGACGGCAAAGTTTAACTATGAAAAATGACAACAGTTTTGATTTAGAAACATCGGCAGATGCAAAGACTCAATCTAATCGTGTCTGCAGTTTTCATGTAATTTTGCTGTTCTTAGCGCTTCACTTTCTTCCAGTCATTTGAATATCAAAACAGCAGGTGTCAAGTGCCGCACGGCAGCCGTTAAAAAGTTACCCAATACTTAACTTCAGTGTTGTTTTTTTCTAGGGGGCATGAGGGATGTTGAACTTTTTCTTTATCCCTCATGTACAGACTCAATCAAACCGAGTATGCATTGTCATGTAATTTTGTTGTTTAAGTACTTCCGATGTATCACTTGTTTCAGATATTTATCTTAAATGGATATCAATTATTGAAATCTGAGTAAGCTAGGGGTTATTGTGCATGTCTTTAGTTTTTATTGAAGTCCATAAATATGCTGAATCAAACCCAACCTTTGAATAATCTGGACGTTCTTAATGAATACTGTTTTATAAGTATCACAGTTTTGATCCTTCACATTGATGATGAGGCCATCGTCTTATTGGTGATACAAGGGACAACACCACAGTACGAATACCTGAAAATGGCGTTGCTAGAACATTGCCTAAATGTCATTTTATTTCTTTTCTTTTCCAAAGAAACACATCACAATTTCATGGCGTATAGTCTTAAGATATACAAATATTTATTAACGGAAGAGAAATAAAGGATATCAGTCAATTAAAATGTATATTGCAAAACCACCATTACAAAACATATTGGCTAAAGATTGCTGCATTGTTGACAGGAATCTAAAATTTACTGAATACTACAGGAAGGTTATAAAGTTTGGTATAAATACAAAGCACAAATAAGTACAGTACATTTTATTTGACTATTGACAGGGGACAATATCATGTAACTTGAACTCGTTTCCGCAATAGATAAAAAAAATTTGAGCAGATTAGAAATGGCAGCTTCAAAAAAAATTAAGAAATTGTTGTTTATGAGATTTTTTTCTGTTTAACAATAAGTGAACTTTTTCCAAAACTGTTTTTTTTTAAATTACTTTAAAAGATCCAATAATAATCTAAATTTTATAAAATACATTTCTTACCACGAATATATTAATTATTCACAAATTCACAAAATTAAATTTATTGGCAGATTTTATGCGATTAAGTGTGACAGTTTTAAAAATAGTAGCATGGACATATGTGGCTTTTATTAGCAGTCTCAGAAAATGTAAATACCGTGATATCATAGAACCCGTGATATCATAGGTACTGAGTATACCCTGAAATATGAAAATGTTTGGTATGGGTGGATCGAATAGTTGAAACCTTTATTCTGAACGTTATATAATTGTTTTGCATCTCGGAGGAAATGATACGACCAACAACCGATTGGTTTAGAGATATCTTCAATCGAATGAATTCAAGCTATTGGAACATAAAGAACTAACAATTATCATAGTATTGCAAGCAATCCATAAGTTCCCTTACGGTTAAAACCCCAGCAACATTCTGAAAGGCTGAAAGGCATTACACATGAATGAACTTAAATCTTTTGTGTCCAGGTTTGTCTTTATCTTAGTAATGTGTCCCTGCCTAGTAATGAAATTATTTTTGTACAAAGATAATCAGTAGATCAAATTTCCTCGGAATGAATATTAAAAACTAATGTTTGAACTTCTGTCTATTTTAAGTAAATTTGTTGGAAAAGTTCTCTAAAAGTGATCTCAGGAAACAGATTTTTTAGGAACGGAGAGACAGACGACCGAACTGACAGACACTCTGATTTTACATTTTTATAGACGATAGATTTAATATTATTATGATGTTGGAGTTTGAAGTAAATGCTTTGAATAAATTAAGAAGTTTGATTAAAAATAATAATGTTCAAGGGGGATTCTGAAGATAGTCAAGCTAGAGTATTGAACCTTATCTCCTAAATTCAAGCGAGATTATTCTGATAATTTTTGTGCTATAGTTGTAAACCTTGTCACATATAATGTGGTTGACTATGAGAAACATATATTTGGAGTTTAAAGTAAATACCTTAAGAAATAAAGAACGTATAGTGAAAAGCCTTAAAAAACCTGATTAGAAATCTTGACGAGGTCGACGACGCTTGATGAGTCGGATAGCCTAAATTAAACATTAAAATGATTTTTATATAATATTCTGCCATCTTTTCATATTTTAAGTTTCAAAAAAAGTTTTCACTACTTTTTGAGTAATCACAAATATTGTTATATTTACCCTATTTTAAAGCTAGTTGTTGCCATAGCAACCAAATCGGTAGGGAACTCAATACGAGTGAAGTTTGCTTATGTGGATGAAATACTTACAAGATATATTTTTTACCAAATAACCTTGACAAAAGAAATATTTGAAAAATATTTAACAAGTGTTGTGAATTTTACTCGAAATACCAACACATTGCATATGGTCTGCAAGTTATTACGTCTCATTAGCGTGTCAAAAATGATTAAAAAAGATTTTGCTGCCGCACGTAATACAGCGTTGGTGTCATTGTGGATAATTTTTATACCATGAGGAATGCTATGAGGGGCAAGATATCTCGTCGCCCTCCACCAGTAAATCTAGAATGTCGCTGTATGACTGGTACAGTGTCGGTGTAACTGCATCTGATAGTTTGTGTAGTTCAGACTTCATAACATTTGATCCCCGTTATTTATTTGATCCCCATTATTTCGTATCACACTTTTTGTTTCATTTAGTGCATACGGATTATTATTTTATAAGGGATTTCTTAAATTAGTACATTCTCTTTATGCCGACAACAAATTGCGATATTTCTGAAATATTATATTGATGCACGCTTATTATACAATTATTGACTAGTGAGCCATTGAAAATGATGTGATATTCACCGGCATATGTCAATATTACTATGACTTTCTGCCGGTGAATATCACATCATAGTCAATGGCTCACTAGTCAATAATTGTTTTATTATATGAATAGGCTAAGAAAAAAAAATCACAGAAAGTACAACCTTATATACATATACAAATTTTAACTCTAAGTTATGTCCAGTCACGGTCCCCCTTTGGGCGCCAAATGTCACAGGGTGGAAAATGTGCAAGCTGACCGGGACTCGAACCAGAGACATTCGGAATACAGTTCCGCGGCTCTACCGAGTGAGCTATCCGGCCGCTTACACATCTTCTCCCCTAAATAGTGAACAGTTCTGAACTGTGACATACCATATTTAAGTCCGTTAGATTTAACATGATAATAAACAGTATTCGGTTGATTTTATTTCTGTTATCTAAACGTTTCTACAATCCATAAAATAAACTAATGATTTGTCCTTAGTATCTTGATAAATTTTCAATATTCTTTGTTTAATTGCTTACCTTTTTTCTTAGAAAACTCATTACATTAATTGAATACATGTGCGGTAAACAAAAAGACACAAAATCACTGTGTAAGTGTGCGAGCTGAAATATGGGGGTACAAATTACTTTCTAAGGCAACACGTGTATAAGGTAAAATGTCGTATATTCATTGGATCACAACTCTATAATTGTTTTATTATATGACTAGCCTAAGAATAAAACACAAAAGTAAAGCCTAACATTAAAAACAAGTTATCAATTGACATATCATTAAGGTATAACTTTTACCTATTTTTGTGAACTAAAAGGTTTTTGAATCCAAAATTATACCATGCAATAATTCTAAATGGTCTATGCTGTATGGTCATAAAATATGAGTCTGGATGTATTTTAGTGAATATGATGCTACACCTAGTCTTTACTGCGCATGCATTAATCATATTCACTAAGTTTGTTTCTGTTTTTGGGCACCATACGCCGTTTGTCGTGGTACACTTTACATTGAAGGTTCCATGGTCATCGCCGTATAAATACGTCTGTGGTTGAATGTTAAATGTTGAAATCTGCTTAAGTCAGTTCTATGGCCCTTGACACTAGTCGTCAGATTCCATTACCGTCCATTAATAGTATTAATCAAACTGAGCTTGCAACATTTCAATTTATGTACGCTCTTTGGGGATTCTGTTATTCTCTATTTTATAGATATCATAAGTTTGCTCTTTTCTATTGCCGATGACGTAATCACTTTATTGGTGTTTAAAGGGGCAACACTTACTAGAACGTTTCCTAAATGTCATTTTGTTATCTTTCTTTTCCGAGGAGACACATCTCGATTTCGTAGTTGTGAAATGGCGAATGATCCTAAGTGATAAAATACTTGTGACCTGTTAGGCACCTTGCCGGTGGTCCTGTGTTTCTGGTTTGTGTTGGGGGTACGTTCATTGAATGTGACCCTTCTTTGTTGATCTTTGTTTTGTTTTATATTTGATCATATTTTAAACAAAATGTGAATATTTTGTTTTCAATCCACACCTGTGGCGATAATACATGCATTGTTAAGATGACAATTTTTTACTAACGGTAGGGAAAACGCTCGAGATTTGTCACGTCGAGAAAGAAAGAAAATGAGTTGACGTTAAATAAATGTTTAAAGTACGTCATAGTGGGATATTTCACATCGAAATTGCATTCAAAAATATGACAACAAGTTGAATGTTTTACGTAGCATGGTATTCCTAAATATTTAAAAAAAGAAACATATTAATAGTGGCAATATTTCTTTAAATGTCCCATTCAATCCAGGAATGACGAATAAGGACTTTTTCAATTATGAAAGCTGTAAATGTATTTTTTTATTTTAAATACTGAGGTGTTGCTTCTTCAAACTCGGAGTAGCTTACATGTTTACTAGTTTTTATGCAAAAGAAACACCAATAAAACCAAAACAAAACAATTTCGAATGTGAAAAATTTGTAAATATTGATAATTTTAAATACATACCTGCATTTCAGCAATGACACAGAATTGGCTCAATTGTGATTAAACAATTCCTTTAAGCATAAAGGTATTGCCTTAAATGTTACATTTTTTGAAGGTTCCACAGATAAATATTAATAGTTCGTAATTCTACAGTTTTCAGGTTCGGAACTCCCGTTTACAGTTAATCACGCTATGCCGTTTTCATCTGTATGTGTTGGGCATGTTGGGGCTCATTTGATCTCTCAATAGCAAGTTTAAATTTTAAAACATTTTATCAGTTATGTCTTTACACATAAGTTTCAAATCAATTATCATACCCCCTTTCGTCCGACTTTTTCTAGAGAATATTGGAGCTACTTCAAATCTCCTTAACCACTCATATGTCATTGGCATTATGATTGTAAAAATCTCGCTATGCCGTTTTCATCTGTATGTGTTGGGCATGTTTGGGGCTCATTTGATCTCTCAATAGCAAGTTTAAATTTTAAAACATTTTATCAGTTATGTCTTTACACATAAGTTTCAAATCAATTATCATACCCCCTTTAGTCCTACTTTTTCTCGAGAATATTGGAACTACTTCAAACTACTCATATGTCATTGGCATTATGATTGTAAAAAACAGGAAAAGGAAATATCCTTCGAGATCAATGAAATCACAACAAAACGTTGACAATTGCTGACACTCGGGTGTCTGAATGAAAGATAACTTAATTTGTAACATCTCCTACCCCAAATAGCTTCTGTTTTAGTAGTATTCAGTGCTCAAATGTATTTGAACAAATGACCCCGAATGACCTTTTGCAGATGCCACACACCACTTGATATCTGATGTTGTAGTAAAGAAAGATTGCACGAGTACAATGAAACCATGTTGCTTTTATAACATATTCGGCTTGATTGTCTCTATTAATGAGAGATTATTTAATGAGTAACATCTCTCACAACCCAAGCACTAGCTTATGCAGTATTCAACCTCCAACATTAAAAGATTTTAAAATCAATTCTCCCGAAGGACGCCCAGAGAAAATATAAGAACATTGGTCACTATTCAATACCATATGAAAATCCAATCCTTAAAAAACCCCAAAAAACCGGGACAATTTAAAATGTTGCAGGTTTGGGTTTGATTTACCCTCCCCCATTGAATGCAAATTTTGGAAGTAACTGCCAGCGAGAGCAACCGAAATTTCTATAAAAATATCAAGAAAGTTTCAGCCATTGTCGTCTAATTGAAAGCTCTTTTTAATTGCTAACAAACTTTAAAAAATGATTCATAAATTTACTTAAAACCATAACATATGAAACTGCCCTCATAAAATAAATTTTAATTAGTTTGCTTTACTATTTTATGAATAGTTCAGATTTTAATTCCCTACCCATTTTTATTTTTTCTCTCAGATAACATTTTCAATTTAAATGTATTTTATTACTTGACCTTTACTTTCAATTTAGTAATTTTATAGCTATCTATTTAAACAACATGTTTTCAGCTAAAATTTCGCAAGTATTAACAATTACTATATAATCTTAATAAAGCTGCAATCTTCAATCTCACTGGTATAAACAGTAAGCAACAGAACCGTTTCTAAAATCATATACTCTGGATGTAGTATCATATTCACTGACTGAATTGCTTGGATTTTCCCAATGTAAAAATAGAATGAAACTAATATTCATTGACCATACGTCGTAAACTGTAACTACCTGCTCATTGTTGCATTTTGTTCTTTATGGCATTTTTCTCGATTAAGATATCATTACACGTCTATAATTGGAGTTAAAAGATAACATCGCAAAGATGAGTAAACGTTTGAATTACTTTGGTTTCTGCAGCTATTCCGATGTCGTTGGACACTTGACGACATTTTGTTTGTGTGCGTCTTTTGTCCGCAATGACAAGTTTTTATTTGGGGCGGGGGGGGACTTTTGTGTGTTTGTTTGTTGTTGTTTTTGTTTGTTTTGCTGCATTTTCTGTAACTTAAGTTCTCTAAATGACTAGACAAACGTATAATGAAGACAATCACGTTGTACATACATGCAAATGTATATGTGTTGTTATGACCCAAAATTATTTACAACAATATCGTTAATCAATTTCTTCTTATAAAACATGTTTAACAACTCGTATGATATTAAGACGTCTATAGAGGAACACCATTATTGATTTTAAGCTTGAAAATTGACATTGCTGTTAGAACTCCGGGGATGATAATCTGAACTACGTCTCTATTTTGTAAAAGAGCATTTACGAAACTATAACATGGTGGGCTTGCAGATGGTCACAAATCATTGCTTCTGATAAAATATAAAAACTTTAGACAATGGGTTTTGAGAATAATATTTTGGATTTTTTAACATGGCTTTATATTAAATCAATTGAAATCTTTGGAGAGCAAACTTTTGACGTAAGCTTGCTATTTTGTTGGTTCATCAGAGTTTGAATATTTTACCAACATTGATTTGATTTTATTTCTTTTAAGGTGATCTTTCTACAGAATAGACAATAAAAATGAACTATTAAATTGCAAAATATAATTTCTAACACAGTTATCCCCTCAGAATCTTATCAATATTCAATGATCATTGTTAAGTAACGTATTTTTTAGCTTTAAAAGGTAATGAAACTCTTCTTGTTATATTCGTGATTAAGAAGGAAAACAGTTTTGATTTAATTTTCTAATTAAATTATTTCTCTGTTAGAATCCAAACACATATTGAATAAAATAGCTTCCTTGAAACAAATGACATGAATGATAATCATTTCTTTTCGACACAGATTAAAAAACATACTTCTTTCTTTTAGATAAAAGATAAAATCAAAAACATAATTAAATTATTTATACTGTTATACACATTTTCAGGTAAAAAATATTTTAAAGTTTAAGCGTGTTAGTGTTAAGAAAAAACATTTATCAATAATGTGAAAGAAACAAAGGCATCAACATTTTTCCTTAAATCATTTCACCTCTTTCTCACAAATTGCCCGAGATTTCGTCTCGGAACAAGACGCATCTGCCCAACTGTAGGAAAGGGGGCTATAAAATAAAGCACAATCTTCATTTCCGCCGTGGTTTTGGGGTTCAGTGCCTTTCCAGTCAGTGAATGGTACAATATTGTTTGTACCTGATATCTTCCACAATCCTTCTGTTTCTATGTCTGTCATACCAATCCAGTAATGTGCTTCTGAAATACATAGTAGGTATTTTAAATATTAAGATATTTGATTAGCATATGTTTTTTAATTCTTCCAATCTTTGAAATTATTTTCACCGTAAGAAGAAAAAAAGTCTTTATCTCACCTTTGAAATAATTGGCCATCAATGATTTCAGAAATGAATTTTCTTCTTGTGTCTCTAAACGTACTACATGAGCATCCCATTTGCCACATTCCTTCTGAAATACCACAAATATCAAAATACACGCAGAATTATTCATATCGAAGATATGACTATATCAAAAGCTAATCAAGACACAAGAATAAATCAATTTTTGCCTATTACATAGAATTATAATCTAAAATAGGCTGCAACTACGTTGTCATTTAGCCAAAAGTAAATCAAATTTTAATGTATCTTACTGTAACGGTATTAATGTTAAAATATCCGCTTCAATCATGTTTGCTTTTGTATTTTCGATTGTTTATTGAGTTTTATGTTGCACATTTTACTTTAACTTGCCTTAACAGTACTATTATCCTGGCAATACGTTTGATAAAATTCAAGATAACACCAACTTGATAAGGCAATCAAGAAATAAGAGACGCTCAACTAAATATGATATTGAATGATTTCTAGCAAGAAGCATACATATTTCCTGGACTTGACTCGTTTATTTGAAAACCCATATTATAAATAGTTTACTATAAAGTAGAATTTTATAGTAAATAATGGTAAAATATTTTCCTAGGGTTTGGATTCATATACACCTCAATATGTATAACGAAAATAAGAATAACATTTGTAAACATCGAAGACTAAAATAATTCAATAATGTATATCAATTTACTGATTGACATTTGAACATTCAACACATATCAAATACCAAATGTAATATCTTGATATGCACGAAGAAAACAGTAGTAGCACAAGATACCTCAGCTGATTGAAAATCGAGGGTTTTTGTGTCAAACAAATAACACGAATCTTTAAATGTGATCCAGCCGTCCAAACATTTCATATTTCTTGTCATTTCGGATGCAATGTTTCCTGGAAAAAAATTAAAAGTAAATCAGTAAAGACAAAAAAATAACATTGGTTTCTGTGATTTTGCCTGTAAAAAGGTGATTTTGTTGGGTTTTTTTATTTATGTACTTCAACATAACTATGTTTATTTTATTTTTTTAAATACTTCATATGATTTTTGTGTGTATGCTATTGTATATAAGGGGATTTTTTTATGCCGATCGCCACTTAATTTTAAAGCATTGGATAATGATAGAATAACTACTGTCAGTTTAAAAATTTTAAAGAATAAATTACCAATCAAACATTACACTATATACATGACTATAATTATTCTTTGTATAAAACATTTGCATTTTTAAGTTCTGACAAGGTCATCAATTACTTCAATTAAATGGTTATATTTATCTCATTACTAAAAAGGAATTTTTATGAGACAATAATTATTTTATCAAATATTTCAAGTTTGCTACATGTTAAAATCTTACTTTCTCAATTTTAAGAAAATTATATTTTACCTTTACCATCTAAAAAATTTATCTGAAAAAAATTTTTAACTCTTTATAAAGAGGGAAATTTGGTATCCAGTTCCACGTTTTTCAGGGTTTTCCAGTGTACAGTAGAATTAAATTTTTCCATCGTAAACCACCAAAAAACATACAAGTATGAAGCATGTGTTCATTGCCATTGTATACTTTGTTACTTTTAGTCCAAACAAAAAACCTTTTAAAACTTTGATAAACTTTGTTAATCGAATGAACTGGGTAACAACTAAGTAAAAAGACGTAATAATATAAACTTATTAACTTAAGTTCGGTTGTTTATATATACAATGTAGATACATAAATCTTCCTTATGAGACTCTGATGACATTTACTCTTTCAATTGGGCGTTTTCAGCTTCTTATTCTTTCACTCAACAATACGATAGTTAAAACAATTAGGTAGTAAATACCATTGGACTTATCAACAATAATTTTTATATTGTTCGTATACAAATATTTCAATGAACAATAAGGGTCGTGACTTCTGTCAAATTCTTTCCTTCCGACAAAATTATCTTGAGATGAAGAATGCTTTTTTGAATCATGCTTGTTTGAAGATATCTGTACAGAAGATCGTTGTCCTCTCAGAGCAAGATAAAATATCGCTTGTTTACATGGGAAAAAATGTGACTAAAATTTTTCTTTCGCTATTATACAACATGTAAAATATATTTAACATTTAGACGACAAAACTACAGAACAAATAAACGTTTAGTATGTCACATGCTTTACTTTATTGCTTATGAGAATAAAAATATTGTGTGTCTGTTTTAGCCTTTTATGAGTGCTTACCTTAATTTTCGCACGTCAGTTTCGGACATCATCAGGAAAATATATTTGCCTTGCAAGATAAGATTCTAAGTAACTAGAGACAAAAATGAAGTTAAGCTTTACCCCCCGCGTGGGTCTTAAAAAACACTAGTTATTTCCCAGCCATCTTGCTTTTAGCCAAATTTTGGCAATTATTAACGATTATTATACAAGCAACTGCATGTATTAAACTTAAGGTTGAAAATTTACATATTTTATTAGAATTCTTGATTTTGATGCTATATTTCTGCAAAACTACTTAAAGGGTCAATATGCTTCGGAAATGCTCCTACTTTTACCTCTCAAAAGCTTGTTATTTAGGGCAATTTTTTTTGTTATCAAAGAGCTAAAGTTGGCCAATTATCTCAACCATTTTTTTTTGCAAATTGACTGCTGTCTCGTTAGTTTTTACCCATTCCAGAAATTTCATGTAGTATGGGGTTGCCAGAGGAGTCTTGTGCTACATCATAACATGCTTAGGATGACTTATTTTGCCGTTCTGAATGAAATTTTAATTTCAAACGCTGTGTAAGAAAATAGTTACTGGTGCAATATGTTCGCATCGGAATATCCGACCATCAGAAACCCGCCTATAGATGTCCCGATCTGAATAGCAGCATGTAACAGATATTCTTATTCTTCTGAAAATTTTAAAATCTGTTTAAAGTTGTGTTCTCAAACAGCAAACAGATAAGATGTGTAACAAATTAATTGTACAGTTCCAAACGATACATGTGGGGAAATTTTAGCTTTTTATGAACACTATAAATTCTGAAATAAAAAAGCAAATGCCATCAGTGAATCGTTAGAAAATAATTATTTTATATAGTGATACAAGAAAAACTTAGTTTCTAGTTTTTTTTATCTCAGCAAGACCTTGTAAAACTGGGGGGGGTTCTCATAGAACAGTACATTTGTGCACGACATCATATTTCACGAACATATTTTTGACAATTTGCAAAACTTCCTGGTGACTTTTAAAGTTTTAGTTAGACACTCATCTGTCTCATCATGTCGACTATCATGTCGACATGCTATTTTAAAAAAGGAAAAAGCCGAGGTTAAAGAAAATATGCTACCTTTATATTGTATCTAAAACTTTTAAAAAAAATATGGTTTCGCCAATCTTTGTATTTGTTAAACAGATATGGCAGGTCAAAATAGATCAACTAGATATACGCAACTTTAAAACTGTTTTTGTTATTCCTAACTAACGAGATAATCAAAGATTATACGACATGTTGACCTTTTGTTTGTTGTGATAAAAACCTTGAAATATCAAGGAAGAGAAAAAAAGGATGAATATTTGTAAGAAGTCAAGTTAGTAAGTTTTTTACAGCATTACAAAAGAATGACAAAAACATCCTTTCCTAAAACTCGTTAAGTTTACTTGCAACATGTACTTAAAATTTCAAATTAATTCAAAAACATGAGTAGTATTAATAAATACGTTCCATTCCCCTTAAATACTATATTAACACTATTATCTTTTCAAATTACATGTACTTAATGTTATACATAAACAGTTTTGGACTACTAGTATTTGTTAACATGCATAAGAGTAGAAATTATGCATTGTTCTAACTACATAGTAACCATGATTTAAATGCATTTGTACGACTGATGTATAAGCTTAACAAATAGAAGGGGCGCCGTGAAACCGAATTACGATATATTGCGATAATTGTAAACCTTATTGCAATACATATTATTGGGATTATATAGATTTTGATGAAATATTATGTAAAACTAAATTGGAACTTATAAAAGCTAAAAAAAACTATGAATAGCTGTAATATTTAAGTAAGACATAAGAAGGAAATGACAATGAAAAGAACTTGTTAGTAGTTATTAGAGATATTACTTTAAGATACAAGTAGCCATCCATATGGGAATATAGTCATTGGCTTATTGTTTACATCCTAATCAAACTGTCCTTAATAAATTGTACACACGAACCATGTGAGTTAATTATTGATTTTTTAAGTAATAATTGGATATCACATTATTTTCGCATTAATATTGAAACATACTATTTTTGACCAGCATTTAAAGAATGTAGCGGCAACACAAAAAGGTTTTGACACATTTTCAAGGCTTGAAAAAATTCGAAACACGTAAATGTTTATTTTGATTAAACAAAAAACATGTCCACGGTCTATTCATGTTTTTTAAACTTCCCTGTGACTTTGTTTACAAACAAAACTCTTTGAAAATTCGTATAAATCTTAAGAGAGCAATTATTTTGGATTTAAGAAAGACAGAAAACTCACATTTTTATCTAATCAAAGTCATTGAAATTAATAGACTTAAGAAGAAACATAATTACACTAGAATTTCAAAAATAATTTGAACAGAATTTACCATAAATATGCATGATTTATTATAATTATAAATTTCTCCATTCGTTATTTTGATTTTTTCTTGTTTAAACCGTCACGAATGTTTCGGTAAATTTGAATCATTCAGCCACAGTTAAACAGCTGCATCCTTGTACATATTAACAAACCAATCTAGATTTTAACTGGTTTTATAAACTTTATGCTAAAACATATCACTCTGAACATATATATGATTGACTGCTTCCTTCAGTGATGCTCACTTTGAACATAAGTTTCATGTCAAAGGGTGAGAAAAATCTGCAGCCTTACAGGGTCTCTAAACCCCGGGAAAAATCGGAAAACTATTTTTTCTTCCCCCTCGACTGAGCTAAAAACCCGGCCCCTTTTCACATCTTCCCCTAAATAGTGAAAGAAGGGAAAAAAAGAATGAAATTTTTTTAAATTTGGTAAAATTGGGAAATGAAATTTCAGAAGATAAATTTCTCTCCTAATTTTTCGTTTTTTGTTCTGACCCAAAATTTTAAAAAAATAATTGAAGATTATAACCCCTATTGGGGAAAATTTTATAAAAGAAAAATTTCTTTTTAACCAAAAAACCATTTTCCGGGTTTAATTTTTTTCCCCAATTAAATTTTTTTATACCTTTTAAAATTAAAAAAATTTACGAAATGATCTTTCAAAAAATACCTTTTTTTTTTATTTTGTTATTTTCAGAGATAATTTCAATATGAATGGGTTCCCAAAATTTAAAATGCGTGTAAAAATTAAACCCAAAACGCTTAAAATTTTTTGAAAAACACATATATTCACCTAGCGTAGTTTTATTTGTAAAATGGAGATTTGCCCGCCCAAGATCCCATTTATAGATTTTATTAAAAGCTTCACAACATATATACCTTAAGAAATGCAGCTGAACTATACAATAGTTAAGCAATCATTTTAGAATTTGTTTTCAGTTCATTTTACTTTCCAACAGTAAATTGATTGTACCTTTAAAAAAAACAACATTTTAATTTTATCATATCATCATTACCGACAGCATAGCAATCAAAATGCTTCTTTTTGCCCTCACAATCCTTACTGTAATCATCATTAGCATCATCACCCTCATCAATGCAATGAACATATATCCGCTTATAAGCAACATGACTTTTTCATTTATATTTTTCAATTATTAATAGGACAATCATCATTATAAGAATCAACTGTATCAGAACTTTCATCAACTTCATCATCATCATCAAGATGAATGTGTCGTCATCATCATCGTCAACATATCTTCAAATTCTAAGATGATCATCATTATTATGAGGCATAACAGCATGATCATTATTTTGAAGAATGGCAGCATTTATTTATCAACAGCATCATGAACATTATCATTATCATCATTATCATCATCATCATCATCATTACAATCAGTTTACTCGCTTATCTTTATTAAAAGCTATCATTTTACAATTATTAAGAATTATGAGAAGCATCAGCAGGATTACATGATCAGAATCATAGCAATTGTCAACATATTTCCCCGAATAATCATTATTATCATCATTATAGGCCAAAATTCTCCCAATGGACAAGTATTCTCATCCCTCCCACTGATCTGGTATTAAATACCATACCCCAAAAATGTATAATGTGCACCCCCTTCATCATCCCAACCCATTTATGAGTACCTTTTTTACAACTTTTTGACGACACTTTACCTGACCCCCTCCCCCACGCTTGGACTGTTATTTTAAAAAAGGCGTCCGTTCCGACAGGTATCCCATGGACAACCTCTTGAAGGCACTTTTTATGATATACTAGTATATAACTCTACACATTAGAAAACTCTTTTATTAGACTAGTTGAAAAACATGTCATAGCCAAATGTCTTTACTGTAATCAAAATGTTAAACACGGTGTTTTTTTTTTTTTTTTTTTTTTTTTTTTTTTTTTTGTTGTTGTTGTTTTTCAAGATTCCTAAACATGAGATATAATCAAGGAAAATATCTCTTTAAAAAGATGTATTGTTTAAGTGTAACAACCACACCTAAAATTTAGTAACGTCATTTAGGTCATTCAAAAATAATATTTTTAAAATGCGCAGTATGTCAATATTAGAAAAAAGTGTTTTTAACATTTTTTCAAACATAACTCTTTCAAATTTCATCCGATATAACTAAGTTAAATTGTTAAAATAATGCTTTACTAGTCCGACAGAAGTTTGGCAAATAAAAAAAGATATACTAGAATATAAGTTAATAGTAAGATCATCGAAGAACGAGGATATCTGATTTATACAGGGATGGGGGCGTAGTCCCGCGTATGAAACAGATTGTCGAGTGTTTTGATGTTCTATTTTTGTATCATACGCAAAAATAAAAACGCATTCCCTGTCGTCACAATATGAAACCCCAGAAAAAAGGTAACCAACGAGCCAGCATCTGAATATGACTTTTCTATCTTGATCCCTTTCTCTGTCGTTACAATGAGTAAACCCCAGGAAAAGAAAAGTCTGTTAACTACAGTGCGAGTAGTTAATGCATGTACCTACACTCCAGTTTACACACTGTGCATGTATTGGTATACGATTTAATTCTGAAACCTTTTCAAAATAAAGCTCTCCAAAATATGATACTATTAGTTATAAAGGTTTTTGACAGGTTGTATGGCCCTATACAAACGGTTGTTTGTTTATATAACCCGAACTGCTAGGCGGGGGTTATATTGCTAACAATAGTTAATGTATGGCCATATAAAATTTCGGGAGTCTTTATGGCGAATTTATAACACAGCAAACTGCCGTTTCAGGGAAAAAATATGATTTCTTAATAAACTGACAGCTGCCGTGTATATTATTAGTTATAAAGATGTTTGACAGGATACATGTATATGGCTCTATAAAAACGGTTGTTTGGAAATATCAACCAAGACCAAAATCCAATATTAGCGGCGATGTCTGAACGCCAGGATAGGTATAAAAGACGTTAATACTTGGTAACTGCTAAGCAATAATGGTCCTTTAAGCCATTGTGTCTTTTGGGCCTGCGGTCATCAGGCCTTTATGTACATCTTCGGGACATTATCGCATAATGGCGAGCAGCAACCAAGTATTAACCTCTAAATTACATCGTTTAAATGTTTTAATATATTTAGTTACTCTTAAGACATGAAGGAATCTGCCGAATCAAGACGAAAAATGTTTTTAAAGTTGATCGGTCAGAGCACATTTCAAGAAATATTTTAGATATTGATAAAAACAATAAAAACGTATCATTTCGATGTTCCTTGAAAAAAATGTTTATCGAGTTCTACATGATTCAATATGCCATTTATATGATGAATTACTAAATTAATTTATTGTTCCAGAACATTTTATTTTCAACAAAAAAAACATCCATAAATAACTTTTTCATGGTTTGTTATTACACACGATGCTTAATACTATCAACATGATTTTAATGGTATTTCATTTTTTTCCACCATAGATCTCATCACTTTAAATGACCAATTGCTCGCAATTCAAATGTAAACAAGAACAGGTTGAACCGGGTGAGGCTCCCCGAATAGGTTTTGGACACAGGAAAGTATACCTCTTGTTGTGTCAGAGTTATGTCACAGACAAAGTTCAAAGTGTAAAAATAAACAAAGGGCAATAACTAAAAAATTAAGCAAGGCAGAGCTAAGGTTATTTTGCACTGCACTTCTTTTTAATGAGATCAATCTACCTACAAAGTTGCATGTTCATTCCTCTTATGGTTTTATGGTTATGTCTCGGTCAAAGTTCAAAGTGTAAAAATAAACAAAGGGCAATAATTCCAAAATTAGGCTAGACAGAGTTATGGTTCTTTTGCACTGCACCTCTAATCAATAAGATATATCTACCTACAAAGTTTCATGTTGATACCTCTTGTTGTTTCAAAGTTATGTCCCAGCCAAGAATAGCGGTCGGACGGACGGACAGACGGACGAACGGGCAATGGGGCGACTTTATGCCCACCCTTCTGGGAGCATAAAAGCCATTGAATATAGTATGCAACTACGCTACATATTAGGTGAATATGATACTCATCTTTGAAGTCTATTGTTTTGCGTACTTATGCAAATTCATAACCAGATGAGTCTCCGTGTACTTGCCCCTCACCGCTGTTGATTCGAATCTCGCTAAGATTATTTCATTTGAGAAAGCTATCAAGCTAGCTTGCGGAACGTCGGTGGTTCTACAAAGGTTCTCTTGCAACCAATAAAGCTGGAAAATCACTATATAACCTTTATGTTTTGGTGTGACGTTTTAAATTCTAAAAACTCATTAGGACTTTCCAGTCCAAGTTATAAGTTTATAAAACTTATTTGGAGAAGAATAATTCTGATTTGTTCTTTGTATAAAAACCTAATTACAAGTTACAAAGTTCAAATTAGATTTATTTTATATTCAGTCTTTTTAGCTCAACATTTGGACCTACAAAGTCCTTATTAGGATTTTGTTTTATAAATTAGGCTTTTCAAACGTATTATGTTTATCATGAGTAACAATTCCTAATTAGTTGTAACTAGGAGTTACTTAGGAGTATGAAACTTCTTATTAAGTGTATGAAACTCCTAGATGGAAGTAACAAAGTTCTTATTAAGGGTGCATATTTCTCAATTAATTAGATTTGCTAGGGCGTGCAGTCGTGTTGATGATTTTAATGAACGCAATTTATTTATTACTAACAAACTTCTTAAACAAGGGTATCGCTATCATAAATTGCGTAAATATTTTACAAAGTTTTACCATCGTAATTCAGACTTATTTTTAAAATGTAATTGTAATTTAAATATTCTTTTACGACTTGGTATTAGCAAACCTGACTTCTATGGAGATGTGGTTTACAAACTTCGTAGGATCATGGGTCATAGAAATGTTTCTGCCGTCTTCACTAAAATTATCAAACGGTTTATTAAAAGAGGTTATGACCCAATTATTTTAAGGCATACCGCATGCTTGGTGTTCAACCCTTTTACAGTTGGACGCTACCCTTTCCTATTTTAATTACATCTGACTGACTAAGTGGGAGACTCTATGATTGACAATTCTTAAAGCCCTTTGGGACTGAATTGTTTTAATGTTCGTCTTCTGTCTTGCTTCGTCGGGCCCTTGTAGGTGATTTTCTTGTTGCCCTGCCTTCCTTTAAGGCATCGAGTACTTTGGTAATGGTCATTAGACTGTACCTTTTTCTACATATTTACAAAATTTTATTTATAATGTGTTTTATTTATTTCGTCTAATGTAACCATGACCATTGTTAGAATTTCACTTGGCGGGGATTAATTTTATTTACACTTTCATGTCATTCAGGAACATATTGGGGCTAAGAGTGAGGTTTGGCGCGCCTTAAACTGGTTAAAACTCCCCAGTGGTTTAACTATCACTGACCGTTCCAAAGCGGTACCCCTCTGTGTTCCTTCACGTGTTTTTCATGTCTGTATTGTTACTTGTTTCACCCTTACAACCCGTATCCCTTTCATTCCCTTATGGGCCCGTTTTAGTTGATATTATTTCGCATGACATGTCCAACTCCTTTCACCCTTATGCCCGCTCCAGGTTTTTTTGAGTGTGTCGGGGCCGCGTCCTGTGAACGTTGCCTTTGCCTTGCTGATCTTTATTCTTGTTTTTTTATGTTTTAAAAGTAAAAGTGTTTTTTTCTAAGCCTTGCGGTTATTTTCATGTCTATATATTTTATTTTCTATGATTAAAGTATGTTATATTGTTACTTACAACAAACACATGGAAGTGTCTGTGAAACATGTGTAAAAAACATGTTGTTTTATTTTTTATTTGTTTAATTTTGTTTATCGTGTAAGAGAGTAGGTATAAATTGTTTTGGATAATGTATTCCCTCTCTTAAAAAGATAAGCGTTGATACTGAAGAACCTGTTTTTCTGCGATATTGAAGAAAATAGGGGTAAAGAAAATAAGCAAAATGTTGTAGATACCTTTATTTTCCATTTCACGAACGATAGGATGTTCTAACTATTTTGGCAAAACATTTGAAAACTATGTCATAATTTGACATTGAATTGCCTCATCATGAAATGTGATGTTTACTACGAGGATAATTCAATATTTATATTCTGACTAATGAACTATCAATAAAAAAATGTTTTCATATGGATTGCTTAAAGCCAAAATCCAAAGAGCGTATTAAACCTACGTTTAATATCCACCAATGTAGTAACTGCGTCGACCATTAACTATCAAAAGTCAATGTAATACATGTACATGGAAATAAAAAAAAGCTTCAGATATACTCGAAACATTTGTAACTTAAGATTATATGATAGTAAATACATGAAATATTATATGTATGTTATATCTGCCTTAAGCAGTAAGCGATATTAATGGCTTAATGTAAGAAATATAAAAAGGTCATTAAATGGTCTCAATTTTGTTTAGACTTTTCACATGCTACAAAAGCGGTCCTCGAGCTGCAATTTATGTCAGCCCATTTGAAGTTTCCGCGAGAATAAAAGGCGGCACAGTCTTGACCGGTCGGGTCATTCGACTCGTTCTGAGGTTCTCCAGTATACCAGTCGAAGAAGGCAACAATTTTGTCTGTCCCTGTCATTTTCCATACTCCTTCCTTCACTGCATCAGTCATGCCAATCCAAACCAAATAATCTAAAATGTATGAATATTAACAAATTTGCTTACAAATCATAATTCTGTTAAGTATTTAGGAACAATCATGAAAGTGCTGTTTAAAACATTATTGGCCATGCAAAACGAATGCGACTGTTTAAAAACTTAATGAAACTGAAAGGAAAAGGGAAGACAATGAGTTGCCTGAATATTAAAGCATATCAAATGTAGTTTTCAGATACACTACCCTATTGTACAAATATATAAGAATTTTAGAATGTTTAATTCAACATTGAATTGATATATTAAATAATTACTAATATTTACGATCTGGATAAAAGTAACCGTAGAAAACAACAGCAAGTGTTTTGCTGGATATTATTTTACATAAACATTAAACATGTCGTGCAATATCTTCTTTTCATAAATGTTTTTGCATCTTTTATGCATATTAAAGCGGCCAAACCCTTTAAGGTGGTAGAAAGGACATACGTATTTCTGATGAAAATATATTACTTTATTGCTGCGTGTAAATAACAATTTTTACGTTTAAAGGTTTGTTTCTTCCGTTTCATGGTGAAGAACAAGTAATAACGAAGAATAATTAATGCTCAAAACGATTCTCTTTTAGATAAGAAGTCGGAAAAAACAGCATTATTGTGACTCTTCAAGCATTTTTACCTTCCTTATCTTTATAAACCTCTGGCATTAGACTTTGCAAATATGCATTCTTTTCTCTTGTTTCTAAATGTACCAGATGAGCGTTATGTCTTTTACAGAAATTCTGTAAAAAAGTTATTAAGAAAATGATTTATTCTAATTTAAAACAAGTTTATACATTGAATATTCATGTTACATGTATATACAGTTGTATATATACTCATTCGCTCATATCTGTACAGATAAAAAAACTGTTTTACCATGTGCAAAATAATAATACTGTTATTCGTTAACAAAGTAAATAAATATGAAAAAATGACTACCTCTGCCGTAGTGAAATTGACAGGAATGGAATCAAAAAAGAAGCAGGAATCGTTATGTTGAATCCATGCATCTGGGCATTTTCTCGTTCTCTCTAAAATCACACAAATTGTGACATTTTATAGTTTCAAAAAGATAATTTTTTTCGTAAAAATGTTTAACCCCCCTTTAAAGGAGGGGGAAAGGGAAAAAAAAAAAAAAAAAAAAACCCAATTTTTTTTTAAAAAAAATTTTTTTAAAACAAAAAAAATTTAAAAAAACCATAAAAATTTTTTTAAAACCCCAAAATTTAAATTTTTTTTTTTTTTTTTTAAAAAAAAAATTTTAAGTAACATTTTTTTTTTTTTTAAAAATACTTGAAAAATTTTAAAAAAAAAAAAAAAAAAAAACCCCTTTAAATTTTTAAAAAAAAAAATTTTTTTAAAAAAAAGGGTTTTTTTAAAAAAAGGGGTTTTTTTTTTTAAAAAAAAATTTTTTTTTCTAAAGTTTTTTTTTTAAAAAAAAAATTTAACGTAACATTTACTTGAATAGAAAAAATAACAGCATGTATAGTTTACATTCGCAACAATAAATGTTATAGCCATTAAAAATAAAAGAAACACTTCAATGCATTTTCAGTAGTATTGTATTTTATAACAAATTAAATTAATAGTAATACATGTATACAAACACAGGAATATTCTATAATAAGAAGTATTTGATTGGTATGGAGATAAATCAATCTAATACATGTATTTTCATCTTTGATATATGTTGTGAGTCGAAATAATGAAGAAAAACGAGGGAAAAGAAATAGATATTCTGAAATTTTAGTGTTGAGTAAAGCATCATTCATTCATAATAAGGTACCGAGGAAATGGTTAGGTCGGGTACCTTTAAAACCATCACCAGCAGAAAAAAAAAGTTTTGTGATTATCTTCCGCATATATTATGATAAACGAAAGAATATTCTAAATTTAGAATTATGATTGTTGTTTGCGTCCAGTATAGACACACAAACATCTGAAAATGAATGCTTTATTATCACTGATCATCGTTTAAAGATTGAAGATAACCTTTTAAGTAACTTCCTAATTCATAAAGATTATCCGACGAAACAAAATACTTTATTGTGCGTGTGTGAGGTTACGTGCGTGCGTGTGGGTATGTATGTGTGGTTTAATAGGGTTCAGTCCGCCCTTTCCAACACTAAGGTACGGTCCACGAACATGTTACCAGTCATATCCTAAGATAGTATTTAAGTTGCAAAATGGTGACGTATTAATTTTGAATCCAGTAATTTTTGTGACCATTAGTTTATGCATCATGCTAAAATGTTAATGAAGTTGCCAAAATAAAAAAAATAAGTATACCGGACCCTGAAAGTTCGTATCGGACTTTTAAGATAGATTTTTTATTTTACTTTTCTTTAAGAAACTCAACAAAAACAGAAAAAAGAAAGATAATCAAGTTATGTTTTACAACTAAAAACCCCTTTAAAATATGAACAAGTAGGAACCATGCTTCACCTGAACGAAAACAAACAAATATATTTATAAAAATGAAAAAGTAGGACCATATTTTTCCTAAAAAGAAAAACAACAACAACAAAAACAAACCATTTACCTTGAAACTATAGAACTATTTTCAAACATGCGTGAAAAGAAATATAATTATTCATGTATAGAAATAAATGAAAAAGAGTCTCCATAAGCAGTGTCAGGCCGTATCAGCAAATCTTTCAGCTCGACATACGTTTTTGTCCCAAATTTTAAATGTCGAGCTGAGACCCCAGGGAAATCTGTCATTATTTTATTTAAACTCATTATATAACATAAACAAGGGATACAAGTTGTAGCCTCGAATTATCAGCATGCGTTCGTAAAATGCATTTACGCATGTAAACTATCTGAAATATCCTCTTTTCTTCCAACGTTATTGAAAAAGATAAAATATGGACTGCTCATTACCCAAGTTCTCTAAAAACTGTTTATAAGACGTGTACCATTGCAAGAACTAACTAATATTTCAATATTTACTTTGGCTTACCAACTGTCGCCTATTGTACAGGTGCGTTTATGTTGCGAGTTTTTTCATGCATTGATGAATAACCGCTATTCTTTGCGGCAATATGCTATTGTTATCCTTATTATTACTATTCATAAACCAATTAAACTCACAGTCACTCATAGAAATTGGGTTTGGAACATACGGACAACATTCAAAATGGAAGCCAAGGATAGAAAATAAATACAAACCAAATTTATTGGAATAGTTTGTACCATAAGTTAATGATTGCATCTTTGTTCGTGGTGGGTGATTGATATGAATCGGTTTACATGGTTAAACTTCCTCATATGAGCATACGTTGAAACAATATCTCGTTTTATTTGTGTAATTTTGCAAATCGAAATTTTACGAACGTGTGTTTAATAAAAAAAAATGGTAGTTTTATATAAAAGATTGTCCTTGTATTTTTTTAAATAATAAATTCTTTCATGAAAATCCAACATTGAAAAGAAAAATGATGAAACTGTCGTATACTGCGTTCTATTTACTTGCAATTTTGAGTTGTATCCCTTGTTATATTATATGTATAGTAAGAACATAAAAAGATGACATTAGCCCCTGTGGCTGGGTCGTGAAGCAGGCTAGACATTCAGCAAACGTTCAGCTTTATAATCTTTTTTGTCTTCTTTCTTTAATATCTATCTGTGACTTAAAGCTGGCTAGACTTTCAGCACAACGTTTATTTTACATTCATTTTAATCTCCTTTTTCAAATGTCAAGCTGGGATGAGAAGCTAGATAGACTTGCAACAAACATGTGAAGCTGGCTAGACATTCAGCAAACATTCAGCTTGACATTCGGTTTTTTTTTTAGTTTTTTTTTTAATTGTCGAGCTGGCTTGGTATTGTAGCTGGCTATACATTCAACAAACATTCAGCCTGACATTTTTCTTACTCTTTTGGATGTGGAGTTGTGATGTGCAGCTGGCAAGACATTCAGCAAAACATTCAGTTCTACTTTTGTTTGCTTTTGTTGTTTGTTTTGTTTTTTTTTTGGGTTTTTATTTTTTTTTGGGGGGGGGGGGTTGTCTCCTTTTTCAGTGAAACATTCAGTTCTACCGTCTTATTTTTTCTTTCGTTTGGTCTTTTTCAATGTCGAGATGAGATGTGAATCTAGCTTAGTTGTCAAGGTGTTTAGACATTCAGCACAACATTCAGCTCGGCATTTGATTTTTTGAAAGTTGAGCTGAGGTGTGAGGCTGGCCAGACATTCAGGAAAACATTCATCTCGACATTCAATTTTTGTATCTTTTTAATGTCGAGTAAGGATAAAAAGCTGTCTAGATATTCAGCGCAACATTCTTCTCAAAATTCGTTTTTCGTTTTTTTTTTTTTTTTTTTTTTTGTTTTGTTTTTTGTTTTTGTTTTTTTTAATGTCGAGCTGGGTCGTGAAGCTGAGTTATTACTATGAACAACATCTAGCTCGTCCTTCGTTTTGCCTCTGTTGGAATGTGGGCTTGGGATGTGAAGCTGGCTAGACATCCAGCATAACATCAGCTCAACATTCGGTATGTCTCTTACTTTAACATTGCGCTTGGATGTGAATCTGGCTAGACATTCAGCACGACATTCGATTTTTGTCTCTTTTTACAATTCGAGCTGGGAAGTGAAGCTGACTTGATATTCAGCAAACATTCACCTCGACATTGGTTTTTGTCTTCTTTTTTGATATCGAGCTGGGTGTGAAGCTGGCTAAAGATTCAGCGCACCATTCAGCTCGTCCTTCGTTTTTTGTCTCCAATTTCGGTGAAACATTCAGTTTTACTTTCTTTTATGTCTCCTGTTTCAATGTCGAGCTGGATGTGAATCTAGCTTGGTTGTGAAACTGTATAGACATTCAGGACAACATGGAGGTCGACATTCGATTTTTTGTTTCTTTTTTGTACGTTGAGAAGGGGTGTGAAGCTGGCCAGTCATTAAGGGATAAACATTCATCTCGGCATTTGATTTTTGAATCTTTTCAAATGTCGACTGGGGGATGAGAAGCTGGCTAAACACTCAGCACAACATTCAGCTCGACGTTCGTTTTTCGTTTCGTTTTTGAATGTCAAGCTGGGTTGTGAAGCTGACTTAAAATTAAGCACAACATCCAACACGTCCTTCGTTTTGTCTCTGTTTGTTATGTCGACCTTGGATGTGAAGCTGGCTAGACATTCAGCAAACATTCAGCTTACAATTTTTGTCTCTCTTTGACATTCGAGCTGAGTGAAGTGAAGTTGACTAGATATTCAGCATACGTTCACTTCGACATTGGTTTGTGTCCCCTTTTTTCACATGAAACTGGTGTATGAAGCTGGATATTCATCGCAACATTCAGCTCGACATTTGTTGTATTGGATGTTTGGGGGGGTTGTTTTGTTTTGTTTTGTTTGGTTTGGTTTTCGTTTTGTCTCCTATTTGAATGTCGGCCTAGGATGTGAGTCTGTCTTATCATTCAGCACAACATTCATCTCGGTATTCGTTTTCTTTTGTTACCTTATGTATGGCGAGCTGAGTTGTGTAGCTGATTAGACATCCATCCAGCACAACATCCAGTTCGTCCTTCGTTTTGTCTCTGTTTTGAATGTCGAGCGTGGATGTTAAGCGAGCTATACATTCAGCACAACAATCAAATAGTGATCTGAATGTTTTCTGAATGTCAAATCTGCTTCTCATTTCAAGCTCAACTTTCAAAAACGAAACACAAAAAATGAGCTTTTTGTTGTGCTAAATGTTTAGACAGCTTCGAATCACAGCTTGTCATTCTAAGAATATCGAACTGGATGTAGGCTGAATGTCCAGTCTTGACATTGCAAGAAAGAAACGAATGCCGAGCTGAATGTTGTGCTGAATATCTAGCCAGCTTAAAATTTAAACAGAGACAAAAAATCGAATGTCGAGCTGAGCTGAATGTTTGCTGAACGTCTAGCGAGCTTTACATCCCAGCTCAAAATTCACAATGGGAAACAAAAAAAGAATGTCGAGCCAAATGTTTTGCTGTGCTGAAATATCTAGCTAGATTCTCATCCCACCATTACATTAAAAAAGAGACAAAAAATCAAATGTTTAACCAGCTTCACATTCAAATTCAACGATCAAAAAGAAAGATAATGAACGATGAGCTGAATGTTGTGCTCTATGTCTAGTCAGCATTGATAAATCAAATGTCGAACTGAATGTTTAATGTCGATTTTTGTGCCAACTTAATGGAATCAATATTAATATTTTGTTCGTATTTCGAGTATATTTCTTATTGCATCTATTTATCTAGCTTGTATTTTACGTTTCTTTAACGTTGATGATTGATCAAACCGAACCTGCAACATTTTCAATTTCGTTGTTTTGGACGTTCTTTGGGGATTTCATAGTAACATTTATTCAATGGCGTATGCTCCTAAGTGCTAAAATTTTTATTTATGGTAGAGAAGTCGCTCGAGATGTGTGACCTTGAAAACGAATAGAAAATATGTATAATGTTTGAGATACGGTAGAGATATGTGTTCCTCAGATGTTTATCTTGTTAATTGTTATTATATTTCTTGCTTTGTGTCTATGCTAAGTATCTCCTCTTTACTTATAGACTTTTTTCCAATTTAACCTTACCATTATCCTGTCAACTGGTCCCTTTCCCGTGCATCCTTGTCCTTTTATCGATCTTTTAAATATTGCCTTGTAGGTTTGTATTATCTGTTTGGTTAGCCAGTGATCCTGTGTTGAGGGATTTGTTTATTGAATGTCGCTCTACCTTGTTGATATTTCATATAAAATTGAATAAGGCGAATAAGGACATTTTCAAAAAGATAGGTGTAAATGTATCTAAAATAATTGTTTTAACATCAAATTGTTTTGATTTTGTATATTTTGATTTTGAATACTGAAGTGCTGCCCATTTATATTAGGATCGCATACATGGTCTCTACTTTTTACGGGCAAAAAGTAAAACAAAACAAAAACGAATCAATCAAGGATAACAACTATTTTTAACGGCTTTAGCAGTGTTTAATGCTCAACACTTAAAGTATTGGAAGCAACGACCCGAAGGCTGCCACACAACACTTGATATCGGCTGTTTAAGTATAAAAATCCGGAAAAAGGAAGGCCATTTGAGTGCAATAGAAACAAAGGAACAGTTGGCCTTAACTACAGATCCGGTTTGATTGTCTCTATCAATGTGAGATAATGCAATGAGCTACATCTCTCTCATGACCTTAGCACCAGCTTATGCAGTATTGAAATTACAACACTAAATTTTCTCGGAAGAACGCCAAAAAATGAAACAACACCGTTTAACTATTCAATAAAAGAGAGCAAATAGGAATACTTCAAAAACGTAAAAAATGGCATATTTGACAATGGTTATAGCTCGATTTCATTAAGCCTGTCCATGGACGGTAGTGGAAATTGCAAGTAACCATCCACGCTGGCTGCACTGAGTATTTCTATCAAGTATCAGAAAAAGATTGAGCCATTGTCGTCAAACTGAGAGCTCTTCGTCGTAGACTGCTAATTGTGCACGCACTTAAAATAATTGTTGCGATTTGTTCTTTATGACAAATTTCTCGTTTTAAGATATCATTACTTTTTTATATAATTTAAAAGATTTCACTGCAATGGTGAGTATTGACTTAAATTACTTTTGTTTGCACAGCGTCCACGAGGTCGTTTCACGTCTGACTACATATTGTGTACGTGTGTACTTTTTCCCGAGCTTCAGTCATAACTTGCAAAAGCTCTTACGCAGCATTTTCTGTAACTTAAGTTTTCCAATGTCTGGGCATAGTTATACTGCAGACAATCGTTTATGTGCACTATGTTCTGCTGTTAATCGATTTCCTACTATACCCACCCCCTCCAACAACTCGTATGAAATCTTTATGCTATGAAATCTCCTTAACAACTCCTTTGATACCTTTAGTTTTTAAGAGTGGAAGCCATAACTGATTTGAAGCTTAAGGAATTGACAATGCTGTTATATCAGTTTCTATAACTACAAGGTTGGGAATCAGATCTGTGTATTACTTTGAGCCGCTGGGAATGACTAATAATATTAGTAGGTATCTCATGGAACATTACATTTTCCAAATTTTGATTTGTAATAATTTTTGTTTTCTTTTAGGGAAATACAATCGTTGCTCTTCATACAATGTCGACATTTGGTGTTACAAAAGAAAGAAATCAGCTCGATGCTGACCATCAATATGGTAACTGTATTATGGTGGGCTTGCTGGGGATACAGGTCAATGCTACTGCTAAAGTGTTTAAAGTTAAGACTATTTGGGTTTAATAAGAATAGTGTAAAGGGTGTTCTGAATGTCATAATGTAAAATCAATGAAATCTGGGGCAAGCAAAAATAGACACAAAATCACCATTTTGTAGGTTCTTTAGAGTTTAAATATCTATGGACAGCATGAAGTTGATTTCTTTCTGTAACGAAAAAATCAATAAAATGAACTACTAAATTGAAAAGATATTTTCAAACACAGTTGTCATCCTAGTTTAATACCCTTTGCATTTTTGCCATTGGCAGTTATTTTTACCGTTAAAACAAGTATACCATGTTACTAAGAAATTTCGTTTCGGATCTTAAATTATTTTTGGTTGAATAGTCAAAAAATAAACATTAGTTTTCAGCGGAATTTATTGCATGTGAATAATAACATGTGTGTGTCAAAATGGAACAAGCAGACAATTAAAGCATGCAATAAAGGATATTTTTTTTTAATTTTATTCGTGAAATATAACAGTTGTGATAGGCAGATGAAGGATATCATCGTAAATGGCCATGGTCAAAAATCATGTGATGAATATTCTAGATAGGATAACGCCTCGGGTAACAGTATTTTCCTCGGGGTGATATTATACTATTACTGACAAGCCATTGTGTTATTTAAATTATGTTATTCAATAAGCATTGTTTAATGACTTATATTTCAGGTTTAAAAGGTAATGAACCTATTTTTTGTTATTTTCATGATTAAGACTGACAACCGTTTTAATTAAGTTTTCTAACTTATTTATTTTACTGTAAAATTTAAAACACACATTGAATTAAACATTTTACTTAAATATCAATGTTTTCTTTTAATCAGACGAAAATATAAGTCTAACATAAAAATTAAATTAAAAAAAAATTTTATATACATTGTCGATTTAAAGAAAAATATTCAAAGCTCTAAGCATGTTGATGTTAAAAATACATTAATCTAAAAAGTGAATAAAACAAAAGCATCAACATTTTTTTCTAAAATCATTTCGTCTATCTATTTAATACTCCTGCTATCTTTCTCACAAACCACCCTATATTTCAAGGAACATTGCACATCAGCCCAACTGTAGGCAAGGGCGCAAGTTAATATAGCACAATCTTCATTTCCTCCGTTGTTTTGGGGTTCAGTGCCTTTCCAGTCTGTGAATGGTACAATTTCATTTGTACCTGATATCTTCCACAATCCTTCTGTTTCTATGTCTGTCATTCCAATCCAATAACGGTTGTCTGAAATTTATATCGTGTATTTCAAATAGTAATATTTTATTAGCATAATTATGTTGTTTCGTTTTACATTCTATCATTTTGAAAATTATTTTCACAGTAAGAATTAAAAATTTAAATCTTAATTCTACCTTTGAAATGATTGGTCATGATTGATTTTAGAAATGTATTTTCTTCTTGTGTCTCTAAACGTACTACATGGGCCTCCCATTTGCCACATTCCTCCTGAAACACCACAAATATCAGAATATATAAACAATGATACATATTCAAGGTACAACTATATCAAAAACTAGATTACTTTTAAATAAGCTTTCTATGATAGTTCTATTATCCTGATAAAACGTTTGATAAATATTTCGAAACACAAAGTTGAAATTTCAATCAAGAGAAATAGAGACATTCAACTTACGATGTAAAATTATTTCTAGCAAGAAACATTCAATCATGTATTTAAACTTGGCTCCTCCATTCTAAAACCCATATCATAAATTGTTTTAAAAAGGAAAATAGTAAATAATGATAATTTATTTTCCTTTCATTGATTAATGTTTGTATTCATATATTCCTCAATATTTATACTTTATTTTAGAATTATGTATGTAAATATAATAATTCAATTATGTATACATCATTTTACTTTTTTTGATTGACATTTGAACATTCAACATATTTAAAATAACAATAGAAATATATATATATAGACTAAGAAAATTGTAGAAGCACAAGGTACCTCAGCTGATTGATAATCGAGGTTTTTAGTGTCAAAGAAATAACACGAATCTTTAAATGTGATCCAGCCGTCTGAACACTTCACATCTCTTGGCATATCTGACGTCATGTTCCCTGCAAAAAAATAAAAAGTATCTCAGAATGGACAAAATTGATAATAATTCAAATGATGTTTGTATTTATAATATATTTCCGGCATTCATGTATATGTAAGTAAATTTTTCATGCCGTTCACCAATAAAAGCCTTAAGCAAAAAACTGCTTTCAACGTTAAAAAATGATATGAATATAATTTTGTATTTTACTAGTCAAACATTACACATAAAATGTTAAGGTGTATGAAAAATTTGCATTTTTCCGGACAAATGCCGGCTTGTTTCCATCTTGACTTCTTGTAAAATTTACAGGGAAGAACTTAATATAAGAAGAGTTTTCAGTGGTCATTTTAAAAATTCAAAATGAAATCTTGGAATCTCATTGGCAATTGTTAAATAAAACGTAAAGGACAGTTTTTGACATTCTAAGCTAAAATTAAAAGAAGAGTTCTTGTCGTTATATGATAAAATATTAAGGATTGTTCTGGAATAAAATGTACAGGATAGTTATTTAACTTTCTATTTAAAATGTTCAGACATTTAATCTCCGTTTAACAATACTTCCTCACACAAAAAAATTTACACTCAGATCTCAGTATATTTTCTTATAAACAGTTTATTTTACGTAAGAACTTACTGAGTTAATTTTCCACAAGATCTGAGTTTTAAAATTATCCAAAATAACGAGAATAATATACGTACTTATCAGATACCCTACGCTTATGTTGTTTAACAAGTGTCTAATATATTACAAATGTATATGGTTATTGATGTGTACAAGTGATATAATATTTATAATTTTCATATATTTTTGCAAATTGAAAAATTATTAATAAAAAAATAATTGCCTACCGATTGGGTGGATTTTGGTGATAACAATTGAGTTCATTTGCCTTAACACGACAAGTTTGTTAAAATACACATTCATATTAAGAGTCTATTTTCAAGATTTTTGACATTACAAGAAATCATTATGACATACTTTCATTCCTTAATTTAAGATACAAGTTATCTAGTTTTCTTCGGCCGAGAATTTTTTTAATGACACTTCTTGTTAAGATCTGACAAGGTCATCAATAACTTCAGATAATTGGGTACATTTATCATAGATACTCAGTCTAATTTTATCTTGCAAACTGGATATCAAAATATGTTTGCATGTTGTTACGACCTGGTCACATGTTTCGAACCTAAAACTTGTTTCCGCTATTTTGACAACGTTTACAAAACTCCCTAAAATATCATAACTTCATAAAGATAACAACGTTCGCTTCCGTTTGATGTGAGACGACCGGAATGGGTTTCGGCACTGTTTTGCGCTTTCATATTATGCTGCGAACCGAGCATGTTTCTCGAAAAAAAACGTGCAATTTTGTTCACATGTGGAGGAATTTCATCCAGTTATATAACATGAACACCGTGAAATTTTAAAGAAACATAATTCAATAAAAAATGATATTCAAACACTAAATGTAAAAATTTTAACGTAAAAAGAAATAAAATAGTTATATATTAGTTATATAGAGAATAACGTACATTTTCAGTCATAAAAGTCTTTTACGAAATATTCTAGTTTCCCTGCATTTTTTACGCAGTAAGTTGCGGGAACATTACAGTCGTCATGAATTCATAAAAAACATGTGACAAAGTTAAGAAAATTTAATTTAATGTGCAAAGTTTGGGAAAAAAAGTATGATCGGATAGATACTTATATTTATTTATCAGAAGAATATATACTTCGACTGATTTACATCCAAAAGAAATGACATGCAATAATATCAATGTTTGAAATTCATGTAGGTCAGTTGTGTTTATATTTTGAAGATTGGTATCTTCAGGACATTGAAGCGTTGGCAAAAAAATGACTTTTTGAAACGATATGAAATTCTGTTCAAACATGTTCGCGTGTTAGAAACTCTCATACTAATATAAGTAACAAATTAAAATTAATTCTTGTAATAAATAATACTTTAAGTTTTATTTATTCAAGGGCTGTGAAGGTCGGGAATCTAAAATCCGAGTGCCTGTGACATTTATCTTTATACGAAATTGTTTATGAGACAATACAAATTTTTATCAACTATATGTTAAAATATTACGTTCAATATACAATATTTAAATAAAAAACTATGTTACCTTTACTTTGGCGTTCTAAGACATTTAGTCTGGAAAAGAAATCGGCCAACATCTTTTTAATATTGGCAAATTGTGTTCCAATGTCAAAGTTTGTATCAGCGTTTTCCGAGTCGTATAGAACGAATCGGCAGTTTCCCATCGTAAACACACAAAATAGCGATATTAATATGAAGCATGTGTTTATAGCCATTTTATCGTTTATTAATTTTAGTCCAAAGAAAAATATTTGAAACTATGTCAATCGAATAGACAGAGTAACAACTGAGTATAAGACGTGATGATATAAACTTATGAACCAAAGCTTAAGTTTGCTTATTTATATAAATTCAGATTATATTTAGTATTTCTTATTGGCGATTTCAGCTCCTTATTTTTTCACCCAATCATAGGATAATTAAAACAATAAGGAAGTAAATAACAATAGTTTGAATTGTTGGTATATATCGTATAGAAATATTACAGTGAACAATAAGGGTCGTGACTTCTGTCAATTTCTTTCGTTCCGACAAAATTATCTTGTAGATGAAGAATGCCTTAGGGAAATAAAATTGTTGTTCATATTTGTTTGAAGATATCTGTACAGAATATCGCTGTCCTGTCTGAGCAAGGTTAAATAGTGCTGGTTAGTATGAGAAAGATTGTGACTTAAAGTCTTCTTTCGCTTTCAAACAACAATATGTAAAATATCGGTATTTAACTTTCTGACGATAAAATTACAGCACAAGTAAACGTTTAATCTGTCACATTTGTGAATGCAAAATATATTCTTTAGAGTCTGTTTAGGCCAGCACAAGTAATTACGTTGATTTTTGCGTGTTTCTTTTGAAAACTTCTGATAAGTTCGCCCACCTAAAAATGAGGTTCTTAGTGAAAAGCGACATTAAAAGTTAGTCCTCGTGAAGGTCCAAAATAGACACGAGGGAGCAGACTTTGATATTTTGATATGAAAAAGTGATATTGTTCTCTGTTTCTACGGTTAAATGTAGTTATGCATATTTTCTGCTAGGACAACTTAAAATCCTTATCTGAAATAGAAGACCACAATGTCTACAAATACAGGACCACCACATGCTTTATTTGTTATATTCTTAAACATTAATTTCTTTTATACTAGAGAAGCAAATTTGCCACTCAAATTCCTCTATTTCCTTCTTATAAAGTATGTTGGTTTTAACCTTATTACTTGGCGATTTATTTGTAAGAACTATAAGACCATTTAAACATGGACTATCTGTGCTGTTGCAAACTAAAATTTATAATAATATGATTAACATATTATATTCCAAAATGACAGCACTCGTTTCTTATTGTTTATATTATGTTTCTTTTCGTCTCTTATGGAATGCTTTTTTTGGCCCATGGTAGGAGCTGTTATTATAAGAATGTCATATTGTGTTAACTAGTTTCATTTTGATTCTTAAAAATCAAGTAAACAAATATGTTGTTATATTTGTATCTAATAACTTTATGTAAAAAGAATATGAACTGGGATATTTTGTCATGAAATTACAGGCTCAGTTTAACAGTTTGTCCCGAATATTAAAAGCCGGATTCCTTATATCGTTGTGGTCTACATTGATGTCATTTATATTCTTTTACATTTTTTGTTCTTTATCTCAGATTATGTTACTATTTTAGTTTTCAAGGTTTAGTTAAGCATTGTTTATTGTTTCGTTCTATACATTGTTATGTCAAACCTTTTTCGTCAGCAGTTTAAGGTGGTATGTGAGGTCCGAGAGAGGCTATGTTTATATTTGTAAGTCATATATATTTTTAGAATTTCCCTAAAAGAAGAACGTTCTCCTGCAAATGAGTATAAGCATTGGAAATGGAACTGTTAAAAACGATTATCTTATTGATTTTAACCATATTATGTTTATCTATTGCACAAAATGATTGTGTTTACCAAGTGTCCCAGTATCCGGATGTAAAAGCTATTCAGTTTTCTGCGATGTAATTTAACTGCTGTCACATGGTATTCACAGAGAAGAAACATGTTTTTTATAGATAAAACCATAGAGCGTATTATTAAGCTCGACATTTTGAAGAATAGAGAGCGATATTATACTCACAAGGCGTCGGCATCACACTTTGTTAACGTTTTGCTTGCAAGTTGGTTTCGCAAAAAATTGAATAAGGAAAGTGGTTGAAACACTTATTTGAGTGCATTATAGAAGGTCACTGGTCATTATTCTTATATTATATTTTGACAGAATTATGGCCCTTTTAAAACATAAAATTCTTCATTATCCTGGCTCTTGTTTAACTATCAAGCGCAGAAAACAGTCCTGCCGACAGTTCTTGTTAATATGCGTGATTCTGACACCATGCAATACCACTAATTGAAATAGCAACCCCCAGTTATCTTATTATCAAAACATATCATACATGCGCTTAATCAATACGAAACCGGTTTCTTTATATTGAAAACAAATTCGAATAGCAGAATCACCGAATCACTCGTATACTATTATATAAGAATAACTTTAATACATGATTTTGTGCATTAATATCTGCAGAAGTTAAATCCTTGGGGCGCAGGCTTTACATGCGTTTTCGTGCTTCAACAGATGTTAATGCACGAAAAGGGTGCATTAATCCTCTCTTCTATTGTATTGATTATTCAAGTGCACGCGATCTCTTTGTTTATAAGAATTAAAAGTTCAGGATGAACTAATAGTGTGGGAGGAGGTTGAGGTTCTTTGATATCCGGTCTTTCTAAATTTCTGTAAATATGTTTTAGTATGTAGCCACCTTGTGCCAGTCTTATTGAAGCTGCAAGTAATTTTTCATTGGTAATTCAAACAGCATATTTTGTGGCATATGCTCTAATTGTGTTATTATTCCGGCGAGGTCTTGTGAAATAAATTAGAAAATCAGAACAAAATGGAACTGAAAGTAATATTTTGGTTTTTAACCTTGGCATTATTAATATTAGTCTTTCATGATTTGATATTAAATGAGATCAAATTTAGACTTTATAGTTGATTATATTTGATAATTATGATATAATTTTCCATCTCTAAGATTGCAATTAGTTTAATGATGTTTTAGAATTAAGGGGTTGCGATCAAGGAGCGATGATCTCCCATGTTAATGATGAAAGACATAAAGAAAAACGAGTGAAGTTTGCTTATGTGGATGAAACACTTACAAGAAATATTTTTTCACCAAAAAACCAGGACTTGCAAAAGAAATATTTGAGAAACGATGAAAAAAGTCCTGTGAATTTTAATTGAATCACCAGCACATTGCATTATATCCGCACACAGCATATAATCTGCACGTTATAACATTAACGTGTCAAAAAAGTTTTAATAGTTTTGCCGTCGCAAGCAATACATATGTAATGCATTGGTGTGTTTGAGAACATTTTTTATACCAAAAGGAATGCTATGAGGGGAACAGATCTCGTCGCCCTCCACCAGTCAAACTAGAAAGTCGCTGTATTCCTGGTACAGTGTCGGCGTAACTGCCTTTGACAGTTTGTGATTTGCAGACTTCTTAACATTTGATCCCGGTTCATTCCAGTTATTTCGTTTTTCGTTTAGTGCACACGCATTATTGATTTAAAAGGGACTGTCTTAAATATTGCATTCTCTTTACGCCGACAACAAATTGCGATATTTCTGGAATAATATATCGATGCATGCTTATAAGCAATATATAACAAAAAAATGTATTATAATAAATATTTAAAATGTAAAAATTCCAAAACATGGGAACAATATAGAAAAGCTAGAAATAATGTAAATAAGATAAAGAAAAAGTCAATAAACAATTATTTTAATGAAAGGTGTATAGGAGGATGCAAATCATCAGAATTCTGGGATACAATCAAACCATATTTATCAAATAAATGTACTCTAGAACAGCCAAAAATTATTCTTAATGAAAATAATAATATTATATCAGACGACTCAGAAGTTGCTGAAATTTTTAATAGCTTTTTCACAAATGTAGCAGAATCTATAGGGAAAGATTATGAATACAATGTAGAAAATCATCCTAGTATTGCTCAAATCAATGATAGAAATTTTTTACAAGATGCCTTTAGCTTTGAACAAACATCACAAGGTAATATATCTAAACTTATAAATAATCTAAATGTTAAAAAGGCCACAGGGGCAGATAAAATTTCAGCCAAATTTATTAAACTAGGTAAACCATCACTAGTTGAACCGTTGACAAATCTAATTAACATCTCAATTAAATCACAAGTTTTTCCGACTAAATTAAAACAAGCACAAGTAAAACCACTTTTCAAAAAAAATGACGCTATGACCAAATCTAACTATAGACCAGTAAGTTTATTACCTATTCCATCTAAACTTTTTGAAAAGGTATTATTTGATCAGCTCTCTGCTTTTTTTGATGATATATTTGACAATTATTTATGTGCTTTTAGGAAAGGCCATGGGTGTCAAACTACTCTGTTAAGACTGCTTGAGGACTGGAGACAGGCCCTGGATAACAATGAATATGTGGCAGCAATTTTGATGGACTTATCTAAGGCATTTGATTGTCTGCCACATGACATTCTTTTAGATAAGCTAAAAGCATATGGCTTATCAGGCCCTGCCACCAACCTCATGCAATCTTATCTGTCAAACAGGAAACAGCAAATAAAAATAGGCAATATTGTAAGTTCATGGGCTAATATATCCAAAGGTGTCCCTCAAGGATCAATCCTGGGCCCTCTACTGTTCAATATTTTCATAAATGACATATTTTTCTTTATAAAAAAATGTACCTTATATAACTATGCAGATGACAATACCCTTTCTTTTCGGACTAAATATTTTGATGAACTAATATGTACCTTAGAACAAGAAAGTAACTATCTTATAAATTGGTTTCATTTTAATAAAATGCAAGCTAACCCTGATAAATTTCAAGCTATTGCTGTAGGGAAGAAAACTTTCACTAAATCCCCAGCTTTCAAAATTAATACTAGTGAAATAACATGTGACGAAATTGTAAAACTCCTTGGCATCGACATTGATCAACAATTAAATTTTAATTTTCACATAAGCAATATATGTAAAAAAGCTGCTAATCAGTTAAACATCCTCAAAAGAATAGGTCACAATTTAAATCAAACAAATAGGCTAACAATCTTTCATACTTTTATTTTGTCCAATTTTAATTTCTGTCCTATGGCATGGCATTTCTGTTCAGAAAATAATACAAACAAGATGGAAAAACTACAGGATAGAGCACTCAGATTTGTATATAATGATTTTAATTCAAGTTATGAAGATATGCTGATAAAAGTTAATATACCAACTCTAAAAATAAGAAGAATGAGGGCTATGGCCATTGAAACTTTTAAAAT